GGCTTATAGTAGCCTTATTATTTAACCGGGCCTTTTAAAGCCTTTAGGAAATTTAACGTAAACTTCTTCGTTAATTAAGCTATTTATAAAGGCGTTTACCACGTTAAGCTACCTAGCTTTAAGGTTAAATTTAACTATAATAGCTATTAAAGTTTAAAATAACCTTTTAACTAGGGTTATAGCGTAGGTCTTCTTATTATTAGGTAGTTAAAGGTTATCTTATACGTATAAACAAGCCTTAAATTTATTAACGAATTTATATTTATCGTATTTATATTTAAACACTTAAGTTAATAGTAATAGATAATATAATCGTTTTATTTAATTAGGTTAAACGAGTTAAAAGGTCTCTTAGCTAGTTAAGGTATTATATTTAGCTTAAGTAGCCTTTTTAAATTTAAGCTTATAAGAGTGCTTTTATAGCTCTTTCTAATATTAAGGTTTAAGTGGTAGGCTTCTTTTATATAGCCTTTTAAGCCGTTTAATTAAAAAGCTATTATAAAAGCTACTAAGAGCTTTATTAGAAATCTATTATAACTATTAAGGCCCTTTAAATTAATTAAAAGGCTCTAATAAAGCTAGCGTTAAAAGGTTTTAATAAGGGCCACTTATATTAGATTTAAGGTTCTTAAAAATATTAGATTTAAATAATTAACTTTCTTTTTAATTAGCTTAAAGGCCTTAAGTATTAACTTTAATAATAAATTATATCTTATTAATATTACTATTATTATTTAACTTAATATAAATTGAAAATTTAAGCTATTATAGCTTTTATAACGTATACTTACACCCATCTCTCCGTCGGTTTCTTTGTAAATGCGGCCGAAAAGTTGTCTTAATTCCGGAAGAAGATGGTTTTCAAAACACTCGATGTCGAGGGAGACCTGGCAGCTCAGGGCTATCTCACACATTCGTATGACACTATCATTGCGGTCAATGTTCTCCATGCCACTAGAGACTTGAGCACCACGCTGCGCAATGTTCGGTGGCTGCTTAAACCCGGTGGCTATCTGCTACTCAACGAGACGACAGGGTCCCAAAGTCTACGTGCTACTTTTAACTTCGGGGGACTTGAGGGCTGGTGGTTGGCCGAGGAAGAGGAGCGTCGATTCAGTCCACTCTTGTCTCCGGTGGACTGGGATATGCGACTACAAGACGCCGGGTTCCTGGGTGCCGACAAGATCATTCACGATATTCCTAATGAGCCTAAACAACAAACATCGTTGATCGTCAGTCAGGCCGTGGACGCCCAACGCGATCCGCTCTCCACGACGGCTGCACTCTCTCCTGTACAAGAGCCTGTGCTACTCATCGGGGGCAAAACCCTCGCAACTTCCAAGCTGATCAAGGAGGTTCAAGGGCTACTTCATCGACAATGCAGACGGAATGTGAAGCGTGTTGAGCATCTCGAAGGCCTTGAAGCAAAGTGCCTCAGCCCTCGCTGTGATGTGATTTTTCTTCAGGAGATGGACGAACCCCTTTTCGCCACACCCACGACGACGAAACGCTTAGCCACTCTTCAGAACTTAATGATCTGCACAGAAAACCTACTATGGGTCACGAATGCCCAGAGCTCCAACTCTCCCATTCCCAGAGCGAGCATGTTCCGCGGCATCTCGCGCGTCATGGCCGCCGAAATGCCCCAGATTCATTCCCAAGTCTTTGGCTCGAAGCTGGCACAGCACCGACGATTGCGGCGAGACACTTGGTCGAGGCGATGCTGCGGCTACGGGAAGACACGGTTCTTAACGGTGGCGATAATATTGACAATGGAGATCGCCACTTGCTGTGGTCGCACGAGCCCGAGATTGACCTCCTCGCCAACGGCCAGATGATGATTCCAAGGGTCAAGCTGGACAGCCCTCTAAACGAAGCCTACAACGCTTCGGCTCGAACCATCACCAAGACAGTAGACGCCAATCGTGTTCGCGTCCAAGTCGTGGCAGGACCAGACAAGATGAAGCTTCAATCTATTGCCGATACAACTTGGGTATGCCGAACCCGCCAACGACGCATCTGTTCGACGTGTACACATTCAAGTCCAACATGCATTACACTTCCCAGAGGGTCTAAGCAATAAGTCTCTATATCTCGTCTGTGGGTACACCAAGATAAATCCTGCATCAAATGCAGCCCGAGCTCCTGTCATGGCTCCGTCAACAGAAAACGCATCCATCGTCGACGCTGAGCACACTGCAGTCGTCAATCTCAACCACGACCATCTTACGCCCGCCGTACTCCTCCACGCGGCGGCTTGCATAGATTCCCTGATCAAGGACAAGGATCATCCGACAACGCCCCTTTACGGTGCGGAAAAATCACTTGCTGACTTGGTTTCTGCGAGACTTGCGCAGCGGGGAGCTCATGCATACTTTGCCTCTTCCAGCGGTGATGTTTCGGAGGACTGGCTCAAAATACACCCACTATGCAGCAAGTTCTCTGCCAGCAAGCTGATTCCCTTTGGCGTCGGGGCATTCATTGACTGTCTTGGGTCTGCCGAGTCTGCTTCTGCATCCAACGTGCTTCAATCCTGTCTGCCCAGGAGTTGCATTCTCCGACAACTCGACGCAGGTCTCATTAAGCAGGCGTCGAAAGACGCGGCAACGCTGCGTGACGATGCGTGTTCATACGCCAAGACAGCCAAAATACCCGAGTCGAGCCAGCATACCAATGTCGTTGTAATTCCAGCCGCCGAGCTGGCGGGCGCGCACACACACGCTCTCAGGAACAAGACATATGTCACGGATTGGCAGACCCAGGACTTTCTCCTTGTTACAATACCCTCCCTTGAAACTCAGGGCCTGTTTAAAGCAGACAAGACCTATCTCAGGTTGGGAGCGGCAGGCGGCCTGGGTACATCTATATGCCACTGGATGCTCTATAACGGTGCGAAACATGTCATAATAACCAGCCGTAATCCCCAAGGCGACCCGGGCATGCTGGAAGCAGCACGCCTCTGTGGCGCGACGGTAAGAGTTGTCCAAATGGACGTCTGCAGCAGGCCATCGATTGATCATGTCATCGATCATATACGAGGTACCATGCCTCCTATCGCAGGGGTATGCAATGCAGCCATGGTCTTGTCTGACAAGCTCTTCCTCGACACGAATATCGATCAATTCAACAGCGTGCTTGGCCCCAAGGTCGATGGCATTAAGCATCTTGACTCCATTTTCGCCAACGAGTCTCTCGATTTCTTCGTTGTCTTGGGTTCTCTTGCTAGCATCGCCAAAAACGTCGGCCAGTCCAACTACCACTGGGCCAATCTTTTAATGGAAAGCCTCGTTGCCCAACGCCGATCAAGGGGTCTCGCAGCGTCTATTATCCACATTGGCTATGTTTGCGATGCGGGATACGTGGCGCGCCACAGCAAAGTCAATCCTCAAAACGAAAGTAAGCGTGAAGATCTGCGATCAACAGATTTATCAGAGACGGATGTCCATTATGCTTTTGCTCAGGCTGTACGAGGCCGGAACCCGAAGAGCACCTGCGGCTCTCACAACATCATCATGGGCATTGAGCCACCTACACATCCTCTGGATCCAACCAAAAGGCAGGCAATCTGGCTGTCCGACCCTCGCTTGGGCCACATGGTGCCCCCAAGCTCACTTCAGAGTCAAAGGGAGGAGATTGAGCATACTTCAGCTACCTCCAGTAGTGTCAAACAGCAGGTCAATAAGGCACAGACAGAGAATCACGCCGTCTCGATTGTGCTCAAAGCCTTTTGCAACAAGCTCGAGTCAACCCTGCTTTTGCCACCAGGTAGTATCGAGGAGGATAACGTTCAAAGACCAGTTATCGACTTGGGTATCGACTCCCTTGTAGCCGTCGAGATTCGTACCTGGCTCCTTAGGGAGCTGGGTGTGGAAATACCCGTGGTGAAGATTCTTGGAGGTGATACAGTAGCTCAACTCTGCGCATCGGTGGTCAAGTTGATGGCGAGGAACAAGAATAAGATGGCTCAGGTCCGAGAAGTGCCACAAGAGAGCCCTACGTTGCTACTTAACCTGGAGGGCAAGGCAACTCCAAAGATGGACGCAGCAATAGAGGCTTCTGCTGGCGTCATTGAAGTAAGCACAGAGACTAGCACAGAGTCTTTGGTTTATCCCATCTCGCGGAGAACCCCCCTTGACATTGTGAGTCGTCCTTTTAGGTGCCAGCTCTGAGGGTGACGACAATTCGCGAAAAGATGCCTCCTCCACCGACAGCAGACCAACTGCCGGGTCGATTGAAACTGACCAAGTCATCCAATCTGAGCAACATGAGATGTTTTCGAGCCTCGATACTGAACACGCAAAGGAGTTTGGCGCTAGACCCGACGTAATCCGAGAGGCACCAATGTCCCCAGCCCAATCCCGCATTTGGTTTCTGTCGAAGTATATGGCAGAGTCAGACGCCTACAGCATGGTTTTTCACTACAGAGTCCATGGTCATCTGAGTATGATGCGATTTCGTCACGCAATGCAGACTGTGACGCGACACCACGAGTGCCTTCGTATGTGCTTCTACCCGCACACCAAAAATGGCCATTCGATGCAGGGACTGATGGCCACGCCTGCATTCGAGATGAGCCACGTAAACAGGAGTAAGGAGAACGATGTCCAAAGAGAGCTAATCAGGCTCAAAACACGCTATTGGGATATTGAGAATGGCCAAACCTTGGAGTTGGTGGTTCTTAGCCGGCAAGACGAGCCTGAAGAGCACTCACTACTCTTCGGATATCACCGCATCGTCATGTAATCCTAGCCGACTTGGACAAGGCCTATGGCATGCAAGCTCTCGACAAGAATGCTACAGGCTCGTATCTCGACTGGACCGAGATGCAACTCTTGCAGGATGTTTCAGAGGCATTGGAAAGGCCGCTGGCGATTTGGGAGGCCGAATTCAAGACTCTCCCCGAGGCTCTCCCACCTCTTCCGATGGCATTGGTGAACTCCTGGCAGGTTGCCCAACAATTTACTGTTGTGAAATCAAGGACAGGAAGCCAAGGAAGCCACCGTGTGGTCCAAGAGCTCGGCAAGGACTAATTTCGTGCCATCAAGGAGACATGTGAGCGTTTACGTATCAGTCCATTCAGCCTGAACATTGCAGTCCTGCAGGTCCTGCTAGCACGTCTAGCCAATACTGAAGATGTTTGTATCGGTATCGTCGACGCAAATCGACGCGATGCTCGCTCTGCTCAGATGGTGGCCTGCTTCGTCAACATGCTCCCGCTTCGGTCTCGCGTGTCCGGTAAAGCTACCCTGGAAGACATTGCCAGAGCGGCGTTTCGCAAGGCCCTTTTGGCTTTCGCCCATGGCTCCGTTCCTTTGGACAAGATTCTCGACAGGGTCAAGGCTCCCAGGTCTACCGGGGCCACGCCACTGTCCCAGGTCGCCATGAACTATCGTCCCAACACAACCATGGCCTGGGACATGACACTGGGAAACGAGTGTCAGATGGAGCTTTCACCATATGATATCAAAAATGCTGACAGTCACTTCATCAGCGTGCTTATTTCAGAGATTGTTGGCGGAGGGTTAGGAATAGAACTTTATTGTCAGAAGGCCTTGTACACTTTGGAAGGTAGCCAGGCACTGCCAGACTCGTATTTGCTCGTCCTTGAAAGCTTCACATCCGCCCCGGCCCAACGCGTTGATGAATGCGTCGTCTACAATCCGATCGAGGTCGACCAGGCGATCAAGCTTGGGAAAGGTCCTGAAATGGATTTCGGATGGCCAGCCACTATGTCTGAGAGAATAATGGACATGTGTCACTGCACCACTGTGAGCCTGCTATCAGAGACGGGCAAGTTGAGCTATCGTACGGCCAGCTAGCTGCCAATGTTCATGACGCGGCAAACGCAGTCCTCGCGGCCGGGTGTGTTGTCGATTCCCGCATTGCGGTTCTCTGCGACCCAACTGTTGACGCAATTGTCGCCATGCTGGCTATCCTCCACATTGGTGCCGTTTACGTACCCCTAGACTCAAGTTTACCCAGGGGTCGACACTCAGCCATGATTTCAAGCAGCAAACCAGAACTTATAGTCTCTCAGGAAGCAACCCATGAACGTGTCCAGGATCTAAGACGAGTTGTCAGCGTTGAGTGGCCAGGCGTTGAGTGTCGTATTGACAAAATCTGGGTGTCCCAAGAAAGACGTTCAAATCTTGGGGAAGCAACAGTGTCAGAGCCTCGTACAATCGAGCCTAACAGTCCAGCCATCCTTCTGTATACGAGCGGCTCGACAGGGATTCCCAAGGGCGTAGTGCTCTCACAGGCGAATTTTGCCAACCACATTGCCCTGAATTCAAATATTCTCGGCCTGGGCCGCGGCCAGTGTGTGTTGCAGCAGAGCTCCCTGGGGTTTAACATGTCCTTGGTGCAGACGATTTGTGCCCTAGCCAACGGGGGCTGTCTCATCATAGTGCCGGCAGATGCGAAGCGCGATCCGGTCGAGCTGACGAGTTTAATATGCCACCACAAGGTCTCTTTGACGATTGCCACTCCGTCCGAATACCTTACTCGGCTGCAATACGGGACCAAGTCACTTAAGCAGAACACGGCAAGGAGGCATGTGTGCTTGGGTGGTGAACCAGTTAGTCAACAGTTGAAGTACGAGATACGTCGCCTTGATCTCAAGGACTTGACACTAACAAATTGTTATGGACCTACGGAAATTACTGCAGCGGCGTCATTCAAAGCAATCCACCTGGGAGAACATGGGGAGCAGATCAAGGACGAATGGGCCAGATACGCTGTCGGTAAAGCGCTTCCATATTATTCTTTGCGAATTCTGGGTCCTGCTCGCCTGCCCCTGCCTGTAAATCATACCAGCGAAATTTGTATTGGTGGTTCAGGGGTGGCGTTGGAGTACTTGGGTTCGTCAGAGGAGACTTTGAACAAGTTTATTCTAGACGAGGGCCAGCGGTTTTACTGCACCGGCGACAAAGGACGTCTGCTTCCCGACGGTACTTTGTTATGCTTTGGCCGTCTCGAAGGCGATAACCAAGTCAAACTGCGTGGTCTCCGAATAGAGCTAGAGGGGGTCGAAACAGCCCTTATCCATGCATCTGGTGGCCTATTCCATGGCGCCGTTGCCTCACGCCGTGGCGATGTACTTGTCGCCCAAGTTACATTGTCTCCTGGGGAAAGAGCAAATAATGTTGGAGATGAGGAGATTACGACGATCCTGAGACAGCTAACAAAGGTACTGCCGCAGCATGTTGTCCCGGCCGCCATTGTCATCCTTCCGCAACTGCCAACCAACGCGAATGGCAAACTCGATCGTAAGGCCATCGCTGCTCTGCCTTTGCCTCAGAGGGGTGAGACCACATTGCACACTGCGCTGGGCCAGGAGAAAATCTCAGTGCGTCAGGGCGAGCTACGATGAACAAGTTTTGCCCAAAGAAGGCACCAGTCGCATTGGGCCATCTTCGGACTTCTTCTTGAGCGGTGGCAACTCGCTACTTCTCATGAAGTTGCAGGCAGCTATTCGTGAGTCCATGGGTATATCTGTATCAACAAAGGCCCTCTATCAAGCCAGCACTCTTGATAAAATGGCCCGACATATTCATGAACGGCGACAGATCATCGTCAAGATTGCTTGGAGGACGCGCTTCGAAGTCGTCGACAGAGACAAGGGGAGGTTTGCCAGCGACCAAGCTCGATTGCAGGGCCAGTTCCAAGATAGTGTTCCACAGTCGAAGGCGCATCTCGATGATAAGCTTTGACTTCGGCCGGGCAAATGGGTCTGCTGTATCCTTGTGTAGCCCCATGTGCATTGCGGTCCTGATTAGAGCACCAACCGCGATCCAAATTGAATGGCCATCAATACCAGTTGCTTCCTGCGCCATTAAAAGCAGAATTCTGGTCTGCAGAGACTGCAGGCTGAATCGTGATTTGCCTATTGGCTCTGACATGTAGGTTTGGGCCTCATAAACCCATGTGATAGCTGAAGTGCGCAAGGAGAAGTTGACATCGTAGGTGGTCGCTTCGATGGCTAGAACCAGTTTGCTGTATCAAAAACGCCTTGTCGAGTGGCTTATCCGATCCACGTAGCCATAGACTTTCGTAGTCTCTCTTAAGAGAAGGAGTGTGCACCACTCTATACACAGTCTCGATGGTGCCGAGGTAAGAATCCACCAGTGAATTGGCGACAGCCTTTGGAGGGAGGATAGCAGTGGGCGGCGTAGGCCAGGTGGGCGTTCTATGCGGTTTTACAACTTTCGCCAAGGCCTTGCATCTCCTCATCCCGGAGACTGCCTTACAATGTTCACCCTTGAGACCTAATGCGGCCGTCTCAAACAGGTCTGGAAACTGGCACGGGCGAATATTGACATCAGTGAATGATAGCTAACGGGGCTGACTTGACGCAGGTGGACATACCGAAGCGATGATAGTGATCCAACGGCTTTGGCCGAAGAGGCGCGACTTGTGAGCCACGCTACCATTGAGAGCATAGGTTTCCCCAAGCAAGTCGTGTTCGAATGGACCGCGTGTTTGAACAGCCTTACTTGCCTGGGATTAGGATGGAGCCTGGAGTTGAACAAGGCCTGGAGGTCATCATCTGCAGTGAGCTTGATGAATGCGTGTTAGAGGAATGCGATGATGAGGTGGGAGACATTAGCCTGGGCGCATATGAAGGTGGCTGCCCTCGCTGATCCAATGATTGCCTGCGCCGTTTGGACCAGGGGTTAGGCGAGTTTACATCCTCATAGACGCAGTCTTGCCCTGGATCCGTTGACCGTGACCGCAGGCAATTGCTGCACGGATGTTCACGATCACATTTCAACTTGTGTTTTCGACAGAGGGAGCATGCCCTTGTCCACAGTCTGTCAGCTAGAGCTTGTCGCGGGTTAAAAAAATGGCACTGTGCTTACGCGGATGGTCGCCCAGAACGAGGGGCTTTCGCTTCGACCATGGTTCCCTGTGTCCTTTATAGTGTGTGCTGTGTCGAGACCAATGTTGTATGATGTTGGAGTTTATCAGAAGCACAGTCAGAGTTGAAGCCGTCTGGTGACTCTGGTCTTATGCGATGAGCGGGTGCTGCGCTCTGTATGTGATATTCCCAGCCAAGTCAGGCAGAATGTTAGCAGAGAAATCCAGCGAATCGTACTCGCATTCTTATTTCTTACTGAATTATGCGCTGATCGCGATGCATGGATGTTGCTTTCACATTCATGGCTCAAAGTCGATTGTGTTGTCGTGGCAGAACTGCACTCTTGGCTTCCGACTCCGACTCCGACCCCATTTTGGGACATTGCCGACTTTGACGACTACTCATAAGTTATGACTTTCCTTGGATCAATTGCGTCTTTTCCAGATGCTTGCAGATTCTACATGCAATCGTCCTGGATGCCTTTCCTCAATTGTTCACTCTCGCTTAGCATTTACTTCACCTGAAGCCTCGATTCTATGGGCAGCTAACAACCATGCAACCCCGAACCATTTCAAACCAAAGTCAGCCAACAAAGGATGAGGGCCAAATTAAACGCCTTGACCGGAGCTACGAGCCGGAGCAGGGAAAGTCATCTACACATGTCGACGATAAAACTGACGACGGGCCAGCACCCGACGGTGGTATGGAGGCCTGGCTTGTAGCGGGTGGTGGTTTCTGCATTTTCTTCTGCTGCCTAGGCTTTTCCAACTCATTCGGCGTTTTAGCAGACTACTACATTCAGAACCAACTCAGAGGGGAGTCGGCTCAGAAAATAGCCTGGATCGGCTCCCTCTCTGCCTTTTTGCAGTTCCTCTCCGGCATGGTTGGAGGACCATTGTTTGACCAATTCGGCTCAAAAGTTTGTTCTCACATACTTAAGCACGCGTCTGCCCATTTCTTCCTAACCACGTGGCAGATAATTCGTCCGCAGCTGTTCTTTACGTCTTCTCCATGATGATGTTGAGTCTGTGTGAGACATATTGGCAATTCATGCTTTGCCAAGCTGTCCTCATGGGTTTGCTCATGGGCCTTTTGCAGTTTCCATCCATGGCTGCCGTCTCGCAATTCTTGGACAAGAATCGGGCAGCTGCCATCGACCTAGCTGTATCAGGCTCTTCCATTGGCGGCATTTGCATCCCCATGGCCTTGTCCAAAATGCTGAATGGCACAAGGCTGGGTTTCGGATGGAGTATTCGGGTCATTGGCTTCCTAATCATGCCCCAATTAGCTTTCTCCATCTTCACCGTCAAGGCTCGACTCCCACCGCGGACAAGATCTTTCTGGCTCCCGGAAGCTTTCAAAGATGTAAGGCTAATGGTCTTGACCGCATCCATGTTCTTTGTCTTTATGGGAATGTTCTTGCCCCTGTTCTTCATACCAACGTACGCCACAATCAGAGGCATGGACGCAACACTGGCTGGCTATATCTCTGCAATACTCAACGCCTCTTCAACATTTGGCCGTATCATTCCGGGGGTCATGGCAGACAGAGTTGGCAAATTGAACGTGTATTCCGTCGGGGTCATAGCCACCAGCATCGTCATCTTTTGCATGAACGAGGCAAAATCCAACGCAGCCCTGATTATATACTCAATCGTCTTCGGCTTCGCTTCGGGCACTATCATCTCCGGGGCTTCTGTTGCCTTCACCGTCTGTTGTCCAGATGTTCGGGACGTGGGCACCCACTCGGGGATGGGCATGGCTATTGGTGCTCTTGGAGGACTCATCGGTCCCCTCTGGATGGCGTCATGATAGGTCACTATCATGATTTCTTTCAAGTAGCCATGTACGCTGGTTCTGTATGCCTCTTCGGTGGTATACTTGCATTTGCAAATAAGCATTGGACACCTCAGGGAGTATGGGGCAAGATATGAAAGCTTAGTATAAACTTCCTCCGAGGCTATCCAGTGGCTTGGCTGCTTTTTTAAAAAAGCAATGACGCAAACGTTGCAAAAAATAGTGGGGTGCCTCCAATGACTGTAGCAAGGACATGACATGCCGTGGGGATTAAAGGAATTGTGAAAGCGGCGAGGGCGTTGGCTTTCATTCAGCGGAGATTTACATGGTAATTTTGGTGCAAGTAATTTTGGTAGTGGCAACTTGTGGAAATTGGCACCTCTAGGCCCTCTACCAGATGAATCGAAACTCCTATATTACTCTCAAGATGTATTAACGCTTTGATCTGCTGCATTGAGCTATTCAGGATTATACCGCCATCTCTCGTGGTTTTCTTTCAACCACCACCGTGTCACAAAAGCCGCTTCTTCAGCCCACTTGGCGGCTTCTATACCATGCTTCTCTTCCACAGTTTGTAATAGCTTCCTAAAGCCGAAGGATCCGATAGGATCCTCTTCATGTGGATCGTTATCGAGGTCACTGAACCACCACTCCAAGTCTTCAATTAGAGGAACTACTAAGCGCCAGCGAGGCTCGTCCATGCTACGCACCGAGACCCCTTGGCCACCGGGGCTTACAGCTGTGAACTGCCATCGCTGTTCTGAATCGGTCTCTGGCGCCTCTAATGACCGGATAAGTGACTGGCTCTCATAGTTTCGCAAAAGATCCTTGGCGGCGTGTTGTTCCGACGGCGAGAGTGAGCCGGTTTCAATGAGCAAATCCAGTATAGTCGGTACGACGGACATTGCAGTGACCGATTCCTGGATCTCAACGGCAGGTAAGTTGGGGTGGGAGAAGGCGAGAGGTACCCGAAACCCCCCAATGTTGGGGATTCCCCACGGTGATACTCCCCCCGTCTCTGCAAGGGGAACGCCATGATCGCCGACAAATACGACCAGTGTTTCGTTGGCAGCACCTTGTTCTTCGATGATATCCAGAACTCTACCAACCCAGCTGTCGACATATCCCACGGCGTTGAGATACATGGACATATCATACGCGTAATTACCACTACCCTCTGGTATAAGCGCAACATATGTTGCGGTTTCCGGAATTTCGTATGGGTAGTGCGCCGTGCTAGTTAGGTGAGTGAGAAACAGCCGTGTGTTATTCTCCCTTGCTGTTTTAAATGCTTCGGCGACATATTCCTCGAGAGCTTCCTCTTCCCACCCCATATAGTTGACATATGGCCGGTTGGGGGGAGAAAAAGCGGCTTTGTCACTCTCCAAGTATTCCACATCGATAAGCTCATCGTCTGTGTAGCCGATCCCTTCCATCAACTGATATTGGCTGTCAAAGTGGCCAGTCACTGACATGAGGAAAGAGTTGTTCCAACTGTATTCGGTATACTGTCGATTTATACGGCTGTTGGCGGAGGCGTGGTCCATGTTGTTGAAAAGCTTGAAGATGTGTGGGAGACATAGCTGGTATATATGGCTATAATACTCATGATTGCCATCAACTGCTAGTGGGCTGATTCCACAGAGCGTTCCCGCACAACTTTTCAGTGTGTATGTCGCAGACGGGGTGCCGTGGATAGCATGGATACCACCGCGGCGCCTCGTGTCAGGATGGTCAAAGCCGTCGTTGTAGTCGCCTGTAACAAAGTTGGCAGTTTTTGTGAGACTTGCGAGTCGCTCTTGCACGTCGCTTGGTATTGTTTTGTTTTCCCAAGTTTCCTCTAGCTTCTTCCACATATATCCGCCCTTCTTGAAGGGGAATACATCCTGACGAGTGCTCTCTAATAAAATAATCACAACATGTCGGATATCGACGTCACCAAGCTTCCCACGTAGCGGGGAAAGTAGGTCACCATTGACGTTGGTCTGGTTCAAGGGGTCCAAAGCCGAGCTATAGTGTGTTCGTTCCGGCTCATACCAATCACTAAAACCCGACGGAGGGTCGTCAGTGTTTGGCAGCCAAGCCCACCGACTGGGTTCTCCCAACGCAGTTTTCCCCTCCCATTTCTCGATAATATCGGGATTGTATACAGGTAGTAATATCGTCAGCGGAGAATCGGTGCTGAGAATATCGGCGATGGGGAGGGCAATCGAAGTCCATGACATGAAGATGAGGGAGAGTTCATTGGGCCTCAAAATGAACGTAATGGCCTGGGCTATGAGAAATACGCCGGTTGTAGCATACAGGAACAAGGCAAGCCGCTCTTTTCGATTTCTAGACTTGTGAATAGTGTCCTTGTGCTCCAATTCGTAGAGCTCTTCCTCATCTCGCGCGACTTTTCCGTATTTTGAGCTGGCTGGAACTCGACCACAACTTCTCAACCTATTAAAAATCGCGATTGAAAGAGCCTTGATAACATCGAGTGCTATGCTTGCGAAGAAATAAGGGATACCCATAAGCATGAATGATGCAAGCACAAGGCCTGCGAATGTCATCAGGCAGGTTGGAAGACCCTCTGCAAATGTTGACCATGATGACGAGTCTGTGATTATGCCGACATTTCGCCAACGAGGCTCTGAGCCAATAACGAGGTAGAAAGTTATGTTGATCGTTGCAATTGCTAGTTGTATCGACGCGACGATTGAAGCAAAGGTAAATAGCAGAAAGTGAAGGCAGCGGCTCGTAGTGCGGGTGAATGGTCCAGAAGCAAGAAGTAGTCTCAGCAAAAGCAAAACCGCCGTGTCTTGTGCAAAGAAACTGAGTGACCATTTCGAGAGTTCTGTCGACGTCAGAGCTCGTAAATGGACATGTATGTGCAGGCATTTGCTGATTAACACCGAAGTAGTTGCGATGGAGAAGACAAATCTTGCATCGATGAGTCGGAAGAAGGAGGTTGTAATGATGGATAACATGCGACGGGGACTACATAGACATCTTCGACAAGCGAAACGAGATGCGTAGGGGACAGTAGTCCGTATGGGAGAATCCATAGTAGTTGCTCTTGGTCTGAAGTCGTCGCTTTGCCAAGGGAGGGAATCTGAACAAGATGCCATGAAGCACACTCAAGTATCGCGTCCAGAGCTACTATACAGACTAATGAAAGTAATGCGGCCATAGGTACAACGCGCATTGCTGGGAGAGTTGGGTCTTGAAGCAGCACTGCATGCAATGTCAAGGAATGGAGGAAGATTGGCGTGGCGCAGATTGGGACGTTTACAACCATTCTAGCCGCAGGCCTCGTATAGTGTCTAACGCCATCTTGTGAACGCGGATGCAATTTTGGCCATGGATACAATCCGGATCCGTTTCGTGTTCGCCTGGTTTGGGTCTGGAATGCAAACTGCCGGGGAGGGTGTGGATCTAGACGCTGAATTCACAAACTAGGTCTCACTGTCGCGTGATGCAAATCACACATCACACGCCCTGATTCGCTGTCAGGATATACATACTGATTGACATTTATTAGCTCCGGCTATCATTTGGTGTTGATATCTTGTCCACGGGTGAAGTTGGGCAAGCCGTATTCTACAGCACCACCACAATGCTATTGTGATATCTCTTAGCTTAAGGATCTTAGGCCTGGCCGAGTCTCACAGGGCCCAAGGGGTAGTGGGTTATCTATCTATTCATTACCCCAGCCTTGACTCGATTAAAGAAGGTTTTCACCAAATAGGGAGATTGGGCCAGGAATTAGCTTACACGATGACTACTTTTCAGCCAAGTCTTCCTCGGACTCAAATTTTTGTTGCAAGCGCTCATACACAAAGTTGAATATCCGTGCCCGCTGGTCACGAACAGCAAGTACTGCTGGAACAAGAGGTTTGCCACTACTCCGTAATACAGAAACTACAGGACAACTTGGAGACAAAAGCTATTGGCGAATGCACGTGTTTTTCGTAGACAGACAGAATTCGAAGAATTGTCGGTGGCGTTTTAAAGTCCACCGCTGAAAATCGACAGCAGGCACGCTATCATATTACCGCCATCGAATTGAAGGCGTCTGGGTCCGCTGATGCGACTAGTGAAGTCAATCGGAGAATAGATCCTCTACACTATTATTTGTGGCAGAAGCCTCAAGTGCTTTGACCCACGTCCCGCCGACCCGTTTCGGAATCGGGCGATGGCATATCCGACCCTACTACCGGGATGTGGCTACACATACATCTCCACTTTTCTTATCCGATGGGAGTCGAGTTTGACGCCTTGAGCTTTGCTCCGAATTTGTCAATTAATAGAGCTGACTACGGCACCCATAGCCGGAGAAAGAGTGGAAGTGTATATAACATAATTTGACCGCCATGGAACTTCACCCAGCTCTCAGGACCATTGACTTGGATAGCATCACCTCATAGACACGAGAGAAGGACCGAGTAAAATTGTCATGTTTATGCAATTCGAGCTTGAGAGGTGTTGCCCACGCTGCATCAAAGTTCGCAAGCGGTCCGCTTACAAACCACTGCTTGGCAACAATATGATAAGGACGATGGCTGAAAGTATTGAAAGACACTGGAATGAAATTGACAACAAGTGTAATAATCCAAACCAGTATTCATTCTCAGACAAGCCTCGTTGTTCCTTACTGAACTCTCCTCGCACAAACAACAAGTTGAAGCTTTGAAAAATGGCCAATTTCAAGGATATCCACAAACTTCGCAACGCACGTATTCTCATATTTGGGGCCACTTCAGGATTGGGCTTTGCTGTTGCAGAGGTCGTGATTGAACATGGTGCCAATGTCATCTTATGCGGCTCTCATAAGTAGCGACTTGACGGGGCTACTAAGCGGCTCGAGGCCTCATACCCTGAGTGTACTGATCTGGCTGATCTGGATAATCTGGAAGCCCATCTAAAGAATATGTTCAACTCTGTCACTGAGAGTGAGACCTCCAAGATGCATCACATCGTTTTCACCGCCGACGACTCCCATGCAGCTCCCCCTGTGTCCCAAGACTACGCCCAACGACATTCATCTTTGATTGCGACTGCGGGTGTAGTCGTCCACCATTCTGGCCAAAGTTCTGGCAACAAACGACTTTCTTCAGCACTCGCCGAATTGTCAGTTTGGTTCGTACTGGCGTTCCCGGGCTGAGACTTCTGGCGAGGATAAGCCCTCGCAATTCCGGCAAAGGATAGAGCCTTTATTGGATGGCGTATGCATTGCACAGCTAGTTTGAACACGAGATTCACTTCTTCGAGCCCTCCCAGTGGCTTGGCTGGCCGCGACCACGCCACATGGATCTTGGGCGGAACGAGAGTCTGGCGCCATCAACCAGATCATTGTGCGGGGATTTTAGATATGTCAGTTGAGGCTATTAAATGGGCCTAGGCTTGTTCTCGTCGACGCCAAACGCACGGTAATGTGGCAGGCGGACGTAGTACATACCTGCATTCGTGTCGTCGCGGGTTGTTCCCCATGATCTGGTTCCTGCTCGCCCAGCCTCCTTCGGTCGTGGGAGCCCCTAAATAATCTGAATCAGGGCTCTGTCATGTTGGTAGGTCAATCGCTCTTGCCCACTGTGCAACTTGAGTTCAATTTATCGTGCTGTTGTAATTACCTTTCATTCCAACTCGCGACCGGAATTGCGCTACAACATGGCCTCGTCTACAAGACAATATTCCACGTCCAGTGCAAATCATTTTTTCGAAAAACACTCGAGTCCTGAGATGATAGCATGTCCGGGGAGGAAGACCTTTCGCACCGCTGTGTGCATTTCGTACGTGGGCCAAACACTTGCACTCCTACTCATTGACTCTTCCTATGACACCAAACTCGAGCATCACATACTAACGCCATCGCCCCTTGGATATGAAAGTTCATGGGTTATTATTTCCAATAGCACTATTATTTTTAATAAGTGGCTTATAGACACAAGGAGGTTTCGTATGACTGCCCTTGCACCACCCCTGACATGGTATTGATTCAACAAATACTAGTTGCGCAAGCAAGGACCATATACTAATTCTCTAGATTTCCGTACGTCTGGAACCCGCTTTCGACCTTGAAGGAACTATGATGGGGCATGAGGAATACTTCAGCTAACGAAAACTGAATAGCGATTCTACTGACATGTTGGCACCTATTTTTTGCAACCATCGCAACTCAAGTCCTAGCACACACCACCAAACTTCTAGATTCCCGGAAGAACATATCTATTTCACCACGTACTTACGCTCGCGCCATTCTACCTATAAGCATCTTTTACTCTCTCTCTCTCGTAACCTCAAACATGGCGTACCTGTACCTCTCCATTCCGTTTATCCAAATCTTAAAGACCACGGCGCCAGCGGTGATGCTATTTGTTGCCTGGGTAGCTGGCACCGCAAATCCTACATTTGCCACGGTTCTGAATATCCTATGGGTTGTCAGTGGTGCTATGCTTGCCTCAACAGGCGAGATACAGTTTTCAACAGTAGGATTTCTATATCAGATGGGGGGCATTGTTGCCGAATCGATTCGCCTCATTATGATTCAGCTTCTGCTGAGTAGTGATGGGCTGAAGATGGATCCCCTAGTTGGACTGTACTACTTTGCTCCTGCCTGCTGCTTGATGAATTTTCTTATTGCCTTGCCTACAAATGAGGCGGTGGATATCTCCTGGCATGCTGTGCAGGATGTAGGAGTGGGCCTACTATTTCTTAACGCGCTCATTGCGTTCATGTTGAACATTGCAAGTGTTTGTCTGGTACGCTCTTCTCCATTCTTCGCTCCCGACAAACACGTCAGCTAACAAACATCAGATAGGGCAAACATCTGGCTTAGTAATGACACTTGCAGGAATTTTGAAGAACATCCTGCTTGTTATTGTGTCCGTCATGATCTGGCATACGCATATTACGATTCTGCAGGCTGTGGGCTACACGAGTGCCCTTGCTGGTTTGGTATACTATTCGCTAGGGTACGATCAATTGCTCGAGGCGAGCCAGGCTGGTGCAGCATGGATAATTAGTCGTTGGAGAGGCACGTCAGTTTACGGCCCCAGCTCAATAAGTATGAAGACACGACGGGTTATTTTTGCGGCTTTAATTATCATGACGGGGCTGGTAGGTCTCTCGCCTAGGATGTGGAGCTATTATAAGCATGATCAGAGGATAATGCAAGCTGTCAACAGCTGAGTCATCGAGTTATCATTTCGGTCAAACCGCGCGATTGTTAAGCTGTATCCAAATAAAGCTACCTAGCAAACGGACTAGCTAATAAGAAATCTATTCGTTGGGGCAGCAGGATTAAGGAGCATCAACCAAAGCCCCCATTGGGTAACAGTACTCGGACGAATTTCACAAAAGAAGGGCGAAGGCCGCTGGGAGATGTGGAAGCACCACATCAGGACATATATTTTGGATTATGCTCAAGTTGCCAATACGTGGTCATGTATATGAGTGTCACGAGTTTCTTCAACGCCCTCCTATATATGTGTAGGTGCGGGCATAAATTCAGCCAGTTGCCCGTCCAAATGATCTTGCCATGATAACCTATTAACAACAATGGTTTTGCCTGTAATATTTTGTGACAACAACGACTGATGTAAAGGTTAGTTTATGCCCCCAAAGTGGGTAACAGAAGTATTACAACGTAGCATTTTCACACATTACACGGGTCCTGTAGCTGTTGGATCAGGTTGCCTCTTTTGGTTGAACAAGCAGACTTGACGTAATAGCTCCGTCATGGAACCTAGTGGTTTCAAGACTGGCCAACCATCCTCGCTATCTACAGTTTTGTGAACTATTGTTCATTACTTCCAAGTGACAATGTATCTGGTGGCTAGTCATCGGCCTGGTTGGTTGAATTTGAAGCCATTAGATTTGGTATCCAACTACATCGAGCTTAATTCTTTGGCGGCTCACATTCTCAGAGACAAGAATGTGAAACAAAACGGAGTACATAAGGACAACATTTTGTCGCTTCTATTTATTCATTATGAGCGTCTTGGTTTTGATAAAAATGAGCTCACTTGTCAACAAATACACAATGCGATTTCACGAAACAGTGCTACGTAGTGCCATATTCAAAAGGCGTGTGGGCTGGTCCAATGGACCGAAAAGATCAGCCATTGCTAGTGCTGCGCCTTGTGAGCATTAGGGCGGAAGCGGCCAAACAAGAAGCCATTAATGACATGCTCAAAGCATAATTGGTTGTGACTCATGCTGTTCTTTTGCAGACTCTTGTAGTTTCCTGTTAGTCGTACTCTAATTACTGCCAACAACCGGAGCCAAGCCTAAAAAGTCGACGCTTCGAGCCAAACTGATTGCCTCTATCCTTTAAGCCATTTATGCCCATATGCTTTTCCCCAGCCCACTCTGATATCCGAGCTACGGCAAATATCTTCGTGCAATGATAAAGGACGAGACTAGTAGCGCGCTACAAACTAAAAATACGCTATTGCGATGTTCACTACCTGTATTGCTTGTCAGACGACAGACAACTTAATGGGCGCGTTGCCTCCGACAGTCACATACCTTCTTTGTCTAGACTGTGCCCAACCACGACGAAGACATTGAGAGGAAACCGCAGAATGCTGTAGATCATTGCACGGGCTCTGTCCTCGACCAATTCGCTCTTCAAGCTCGCCATGGCGGGGAAGTAAGCTCCGATGCAAGCTTCCAAAAGACAAAATGTCCAGAATACCGATATTTCATTCCGGAGCCCCACGGCCATGGCCAAGGAGCAAGCAGCTAGCAAAAGCACAGCAAGGAGAGCATCTGTTGAGCCTCGCGATCCGTTTGAGCGCTGAATAAGGCGAGTGACCAATGCAGATCCGGCCATCATGGCGCACATAAAGTTGGAGAAGACGAGTCCAAAAGGCAGATCCTCAGACGAGCCTGTTGCCATCCTGGCATTCTGCAAGGCAGCAGACCAGAAGAAAATAAAGAGGTACATGGTGCCTTCGAATACGCATGAGATGAGGCCAACCGACACAACGCGAGCATCACGAATGATGGCTCGAACCCCGGATCGAATGCCGTCTGTCGAACCGTGGTCCAGCGAAGAGTTACCGAAATTATCACGCTTCAAATGTGTTAGTAGCAGCAGTTTTGATGCGCGCTCAGATATAACTTACCCAATTCAGCCATATCAGCGTGCCAGAGCCACAGCAACAGGCTATAGCCACCATGAAAGGCCAAATTCTCGTGCCGGATGCTGTAACGAGCACGTCGCCCAGAACACCAGACACTATAGCGACAACACAGCTAATGGTAGTCATGGCACTGAATATAGGACCAAGCTGCAATGCGAAAGCCTGTAAACCTCTTTCATGATAGTCGGAGATCATCCAAGCCTCGAAAACACTGTAGAGAAGCGTGGTACCAACCCCGCCCGTAAAGCGTCCTAGGAATAATATCGGCAAGCTGTCGCTGATCATTGTCAAGCATGTTACAATATAAAGAATGCAATACAGTAAGCAAGCCTTCTTCCGCCCAAATCTATCTGCTGCGCCACCGACGAAGGATGCACTGATAGCTCCAGAGATGAACCCTACAGAGTACAAGGTAGCAACCATCCTCTCCGAGAGATGCTTGTCATACTTGTACAAAGCATATATATGCGGACCCTGCCACGTATTAACTCAACTGGTCATCCCAACAAATGACGATGCCCGACAAAGTTTTCACTGACCTGCAGCCAGTCTGCTGCTGTAGCTAGGGCATATGGAAGAAAGAAGTCGAGTTGAAACTTGCGAATCTCAGCGCTTGGCTTTCCGTCCTGGCAGCCTTCGATGGCCGCGTTATCAGAACGTGCTGCCTCATCATATTTCCGACTGGATCCTCGGTGCTGCGACCAAACAAGGTAGATGTTTGCAGCTATAAATACCCCCAAATGCGCTTGATAAAAGCTCATGATATTGAAGCAAAAAAGGCCTACTGGATGGCTATTCAATCGGACGGTCAATAGGCAGGCACCTTGCCCACTCAAATTTTGTCAGGCTGAGAGGCTAGGGCTCACCGATAACAATAATTCTCACGTCTGGCATGAAAGTGTCGCTTCTTTTTGGGTGGTTCTTTTAGGGCTAAGCCATCATGTTAGACTTGTGGGTGTAGAAATGCAGGATGCTTCATATCCAGAAATAAGCAAGACACTAGACGTGCTTTCCGAGCAGTCCCTCTTCCGGCTGGAGCTTCAAATGTTATTTTATTTGAACACAGAGGGAGAGGTGAGACATGCTGCACATGGCGCACCTTAGTGTGCTGAAAGCAGACAAGCCGCTGCTGCTATTGATGTTAAGGTTCCGGGACAGCGTCTCACTAACCGAAGCCATCTGGAATGCGAGCTCTAAAAGGGGAACCTTGAAGCCTGGCTCGCACAGGAGTGTCATTTTGCTCTTGGTGTCTCGCAATTTGCCTTTTGGGAAGACCCTGACCACTAATTAGCATTACTTCTTGTTTTGCTCGATTCCTTCATGTCGTCTCCCTCTGGCCCTGATGTTTCTTGAGCCCTTTCTCTCTCGCCGCCAATCCATCCATCGCTGTCAAAATGGGCATCAAAAGATCAAACCAACAACTTGTTCTGGTGGCAATCTGGGCTGTGCTCTTTCTTATAGGGTATTTAAGCCTCTCGCGCGAAGGCGTGAGCTTTATCAACAACCCCTTCAGGTGCAGCAGCATTCGACCTCGGTATATTTTCGTCGATCTTGGTGCCAACATTGCAGACTCACTCGATGCTTTTCTGGGGAAAGAGGACGCCAAGTTTCAGTATGAGTTTCCTCGCCCTGACTGGGCTCGGTACGACGAGGCTGGTAAGTTTGCCTGTATTGCACATGTTCCCGAGAGAATGCTGGCTCATTTTCTATTCTGCAAAATAGATATTTACCTTTTCGAGGGTAACCCGGCATTCAACCCAGCGCTTGTTGAGGCAAAGCAGCGATATCGCTCTCAAGGAATCAACGTCAACATCTTTCCCTCTACGATTGTCGATGTCAAGGACGGAACTCGCACATTCTTCTTGGATACCATTAATGATGGGCACGACTACTGGGGATCTTCGATTTACTCCAACCACCCCGACGCTGTGGAGTCCGGCTCAAACGGAACCGAGCTCACTGCCATCAATATCTCTAGGTGGCTATTAATGAACACTCTACCCCATGACTTCGTTGTGGTCAAGATGGATATAGAAGGAAGCGAGTACGATGTTGTTCCGCACATGGCAGATATGCGGGCATGGACTGTCATTGATCATCTCCTTGTTGAATGGCATAGCGGATTACACGACGAGGATGTCGTTCAAAGAGCCGAAACAGCTGCCAAAAAGTTGGTCGCCGAGGGAGTAAACATGCCTGAATACGATTCACCGGCTTAAGCTGTGGTTTCTTGAGATGGAGGCTACGTTTCAAGCATGAGCCACTGTCAATTTAACTGTATTCAAAATATCGTCTCTGTGTCCAATACGGTGCTTTTTGTGTCGGTTTACACAAACCTGCCAGAGCAGTTTACTTTTCCACGGAACCACACAACGATGTTTTCACATGTAATTTTTTCTATATTTTTTCTTATATGGGCTGTGGTGAGTGAATTTATCTGTTTTCTGCAACCTCGTCCGGAACGAGACTTCTGCGCTTATTCAAATGTATTGACTATTGATATATCATCTTCCCCATCGGCTACCTCTTTCTCTCGTAACAGGGGCCATAAGTATGAATTTATCTCAATACTAGAACTGATATCGCGAAGTATCCGTTTCCCGTTGAATCATGGACGCCGGCGAATGTAGTTGTAGGCTTGGTTTTCCTCAAATTTTTCAGCTGAGAGCGAAGCTGCACGCGATGCCGCGAGGAACAGCACGCTAGGCTTCGACTCGATTCATTTTATTAATATGCCAACCCGTTACGACCGCCTTGACGCAGCATCACTTCAAGCCTATCTGTCCGGCATCGACATCACAGTGGCTGCTGGAGTCAGCCCAGACATGATGCATGACGTTGGCATGCCACCCACGCATACACCGGGTATACTAGGTGGTGGGCAAAAGGGTTGTTGGAGAGCACACGCCAATGTGAGAAATTTCATCGAAAGCGAAGAGGCGCACTCATTTGCATTCGCGCTGTATTAACTTCTGCACAGATTTGGTCCAAAATGCTCAGAGAAAACACGAAAGCCGCTCTGATTATAGAAGCAGATGCCAGTTGGGATACGAATCTCCGCGAAATCATGATAAATTTCAACCAAAATTTCACAGAGTTTCTACGGAAAACCAACGCACAGAGACTGCCCAAGCCAAAACTGAGGACACAGCTACACCAGTCGAGTGACACGCCCTTGGAGACGGATAAAGATGACCCGTGGCACGCCGATTATTGGGACATTCTTTCCATTGGGCAATGCTCAGAGGAAACGCTCAACAACAACATCACATTAATTTACAATGATCCACACGTCCCCCCGGGCATGGACTATTACGGACGAGAACTGGGGAGGGAGAGAGTCATTCGGAAAGCCGGTCATCAGGGATGCACAACAGGCTACGCCGTCAGCCTGAATGGCGCAGCAAAACTACTGCTTCGATCGGCTGCAGATCTAGACCAGGCCGTGGATATGGGCATGTCGAGTCTCATTCAAAGCGGTCATCTAACCTCTTATAGTGTGTACCCTCCGATTCTAGCGCAATGGGTATACGTCGATGGCATAGGAATGGATCAGCGCGGATCAAATAGCGACATGGGAGGCACGGAGGGAAGTTCAATCGGTAATGAGGCGAATCCAGACACAATGAATTGGACAGATGTAAGGAAGACGGGCAGCGTATGGAAACCTAAAAAGTGGCCTTCTAATGCAGCTTTTGAAGACATGGCGTTACAGGGTGCGTGGCGGGAAATATTTGGCAATGCAGACCCCGATACGGGGCTGACGACTACATATTCATGGTGATGACTATAAAATGGACGAGTTTGAGTAGTTTTAGTTGCAGTTTAAGGCATTAGTGAGGGTTATTTTCAATTACATTAGAGATGATATTGCATCTGTCGCCTCGGCCGTTGGATCCATCAATATATGAGGTGTTCTCATCTCCTGACGGTTTGTTCTCGCTCGAGTTGTAACATGGCTTGTACCTACCAGGAGGCAGACTTCACGAGATGTCAATGTCAAGGAATGAAATCACGCGGCAATGATAAAAGGCGCATCGAAATCGGTTCCTAATTTACAAGATTGCTACATCTCCAACCCGAATTCTCCCTGGCCTCTCGTGTCAAAACTCTCGCGATATCTCACGTAGACTGCATTTCCAAATAACATCCACAGCGCATGTGGGATCGAGGAAAACCATAAATTATACAAGTCGATCGAATAGTAGCCATTACTGGCACACGAAAGTACGAAATATAAAACAGCCTACCAAGTCTTCTGGTCAGCTCAGTATTCCCGTCCATACAAGCGCAATATATACGTACGTATCGCAGAGACTGCAGTCCTTGCACACATCAAAGTGCGTTTCTTCTATAAACGTCGGTTGTATACAGCCCCCTGCAAACATTGGACCGCAGCATTACTTTGTCGAATTTGTCACTCCTCTGCGTCGTCGGTAGACTCTGTATCATCAACCTCGTCATCGTCATCTGTCTCTTCGAGGCGCGCTTCGTCTGAGCTAATACTCGCGGCACTCTCATAATTGGGCTCGTGGCCCAGAAAGAAGAAATGGCCCTCGTGCAGATGTTGGCGCTGGCACACAAATCCAACCGGGGTATTCAGAATATCGTCCGTCTGGCGCCTATAAGTAACCCACTCTTGCAAAAATTGAAGAGGTTCGCGGATCTGAATGCCCGTAGAAGGTCCAGATTGTTGCTCGTCGGGGTGAACGCCCAACCAGCTGAGAAGAGCGTTGTACTCTGAAAACTCAAAGTACAATCTGCCGCTCAAAATACCGACTTCAATGCTAAGCCAAGTAGGCAGTCTGCAATTTCTTTGCCAGGACGGAACGGCCAGATAAGTAAGGCAATTGAAGACTTGCATTGATTTTGTCACCGGAGCCGTATAGCCAAATAGCCAGACGAGGGTTGTGTCCATTTTTCGAAGCACAGGCATGATGGCATCAGCCTCCTCCGGGATGATGAGCAGTGCTGTTTCTGATGATGGACTCCACAGGATCCAATGGACGGGTCGCTAATTACAGTTAGAATGCGCATGATGTGGCAGTGCAGGCCAATGGTCTTGACTCACCAAGATCTCGTGTTTTGCCATCCGGCCGTCAACTGCAATTGTACGAGTATACTCCCTGGAGACGTAGAAACGCGAGGTGGTCGACTTGACACCAAATTGTTTCCCAATCTTTGTCCTTCCCACGTAGTCAAAAGCCTGCATCAAAGGCGCTCGTTTGCTAGTAGCTTTCGTATCTAGTTGACCCGTTTCGAGGAAAACCATGATGGCATGGTCAACCCCGGGAAATGCAAGTGCAGTGTGCTCCGTCCTACTCTGTCTCTCACGTACTTGCTCGACTTCAAAGACAACTTCTCTCTCCTGCTCGACTTCCATTAATGCAGAAGGACAGCTCGACAGCCCGTGCCGGGCCATTCCCGCAACATTGAGAGCAAATGTCTGAAGCTGCGGAGAAGCAAATTCAACGAAGCCATCCCGCTCAGGCTGCGTCCTTGGCCCATACATTTGCTGCAGCGTTTGCTGCTCTTCTTGTCGGATCACTTCAAGGACCTTTTCCAGGTCCTGCTTGTTCTTGCCAAAGTTGCGGTGCTTCCACATCACATCGGTGCGACGGCAGAAATCCTGACACTGAGAAAAATAGAGAGCCATCATCTGTTCGTTGGCTTTGCAACTCTGCTCGAGTAGCCAGCGTACAACGTCCGCCGAAGTAAGTGTTACAGCGCGCGGTAGCTCATGGGTGTGTGCTCTGCGCACGTCGAGTATACTACGATACACCTCGGGCGGTGCTAAGAATGCCACTGATTGCGTTGTTCCGAGCTGCCTGAGTCTCATGGCGGCTATCCATACGTTAATCGAATACCCAAAAGAAAGTTTTTGCCTTGAATTTGTGATTGAAAAACCCACCTTGAACGGTTTGATCCTTTGTTTGTCCTGAGCCCAATGTAACTGCCCCCTTCGCCGTGACCGGCAACTTCAAGTCTGTTCCACGGGTGTGACCTTCGTCAATATACACGACACATTTTTCAAGATTGTTAGCGAAAGGACTTGCAATAAGAGGCATTGGTACACTCTGAAACCGTGACGAAACCATGATCTGGCTATTTGGCCCAAAATATACCGCGCCTTGTGCCTGAGTGTCAATCTTTAGCCATGCTTTCGCGACGTCCTCATTTTGCATTTCCAAAATGTGAGCCCCCGCATCTATAAGTATTCGAATTTCTTTATCACAAAGAAATTTTAGCGTTTCTGTTTCATTAAACCTTACCCCAGCTTTTGCGGCAAGGTGGCAGTCTTTGTTTCTGCTCTCCAACAAATGGCACAGCACTTCCGCATTTGTGCAAAGTAACTTGGGTAGGTCGTCTTGCTTGATAGTTTGCGGCAAGATCCTTTTGTTGTCATTAGTCCCACTGAAGCCCGTTGTCAGGCTACCGTGCTGGCCTGTCTCGTTTGGTTGTAACAGAGGGATGTCCCAGCCCGACGCTTGAAGCTTCACCGAGAACTGCTTTGCATGGACAGGGAAAACGTAGGTGTTGAGGTGATGATTTATCACAGTGCGGTCAAACCGTAGATATCCCCAAAGTGTTTTGACTTGTAGGTCATTCTCTAGATCAACGCAGTTCCAATACCGAAGGTAAGCGGGCAGTGAGGCACATGAGCAAATCCATCGATCGTAGTGAGCTACTGGGTCGTCTGATTGCATCACTCCTTGCAGCCCTTGTTTTACCTGCTCTATGGACAAGCCCTGTTGATAGAAGGCTAGACAAGTAAGTATAAGTGCAGTATCCGGATGTCCATACTCGGCCGCCTGTGAAGGAACACCCTTGGCTTCGAAAGGCACCGCAATGGGTTGCCTTGCTGGATGCAATCCAAACTGGATATTCCACTTCTTCTTGAGACAGAGCAGAAGAATGCGTTCTGAGATGAGTCCTCGGAGGAGGTAAAGAGTCTTTAGTCCAAAAGCTTCATCTTTAAGGGACTTGACTGCGCTGTCCCAAATTGCAGAAGACACCTGAGCCCCGCTAATAATCTGCCTGAGATGATATCTCACATTGTCTGAGCTCGATTCTTGTATTTGGAGTCGTGGCAGTCGGCCGTTGCAAATATCCCCGACAAGCAGCTCGTTTAGTGCATCTTCAGGCTCTGTGGTCAAAAAGTGAATGATGGGATATCCCTGATGTCTCTGAACGACAACAATCTCGCCTTCGAATTGATCCTGGAGACTCAAAGCGTGCTTCTCAACCAAGCTCAGCAGTTCCTCCACAACAAGCCAACGGTAAGGATGGCCGTCAACGACGGTAAAATCCCCACTCGGATAGATCAATTGCGTTTGGACGGACAAGGTTAAATCAGACTCATCCAAGATATCGCGGCAAGTGGTATCTAACCAGTGCTGAGTCTCTACCATTTTATTTCCAGCTTGCTTCTGGCCATCTGCTAGGCGCTGCAGCCCACTCAGCTTGAAAGAAAGGATATGTCCCGGGAGGCAAATCATCACCCCTCCCCTCACCTGCATCTCTTGGTGAATGGCCCGATATCGAGATAACGTGGCTGCGTCGGAAGGTGATCGCCTGGCGAAAGGGACGTGACAAACCTGGCGTCCAACGAGGCCCCCAATACGGCTTTGGATGACCTGTGCCGTTTGAAGTAAGAGAGCTTTTGGGACTATAATTCTGCAGAGTTTGGTCTTGTCCGCCAAAATCAGCGCAGCCATTGGCATCACAACAGATGTTTTCCCTGAAAAGGTGGTCAGTCATACAGTTATAGTTGAAGAAAGCGCGAGCAGTCACGCCCCTCACCTTTACCCATGTTCATCTGCAAAACGGAGTTTTGGTTGGAATGCGGCGATATGATGGCTTTTGCTACCTCTACCTGAGCAGGCCTGATCAAGATATTGTTGTCGATTTCAAGCAATAGCCATTCTGGATAATCCATTGGAGTCCAGTTGGAATGACCCGTGCTATTCTTCTCCTCGAGGAGCTTCTTTCTATCACGACACCGTTCTGCATCATGCATTCGTAGAAGTTGCTGTAGTTTGGTAACCAAGATCCCAAGCTGTACCAGTGAGCTTTTTAGTTGCAAGGTAAGATGCTTATAGTTATCGAGACGGAGCTGCTCAAGGATGGCAGCAAGAGAGTCACACGGCCATAAGTGGCCTGCTTCGAGCCAGAAATAGCATGCGTCCTGGCTGGATAAAGCTTTTTGAACGAGAATTAGTTTTTCACGAAGATCCTGTTCAACAGCTGCAATTTCAACTTCCAAGTTTTCTGTAGTCAACGCAAGTCCGGCCATAGCAAGCCCGAGAGTTTGCAGCTGAGGCTGCTCAAGATCCCATGCCATTGCCGCGATTGAATCCTCTAGGTCCTGACCATACTGCCGCTTGATCAAATTTTGACCCGCCTTGAATGGTTGAACTATTTCATACAGCATCGACAGCTCACTCGAAATGCGCGGAAGCCTTTCGAGAATAGAACAGTCCTTGGGGTGATCAGGGGCCTCTAATCCCGAGGATTTTGGCAGCTGAGGACCTCCGGAAAAGATCTCAATCCTTCCACGACTATTTCGAAACACCTTGGTAAGACATGGGACATGGTACGCAACCCTGGGGGAGCTTGAAGCTTGAGGAGTGGTCCATGAAGCTTGAAGAGTTGCCCATGAAGCTTGGGGAGCTGTCCTTGTCGTTGAGAAACTGGGCTTCGCATTATACAAAGCGCTTTGAGCCGCCAACATAGCATTGCTACACTCGTTGCGTAGTTTTCCCGCTTCATCTTCGAGAGACCGCACATAATCCGACAAGCTAAGATTTTGCGACAGCCTTTGCAACTCTGGCCCCAAGAATTCCCAGGTCTTTGTCAAATCCAAAATCTTCAATTCTAACTCGTTACAAGATCCCACAAATCCGGCGAGTGTGAGAGGAATATCGGGCCACGCCTTTTCCAGCCAAGATGCCACTGACTCCGCCTCTTGCGCGATGCAGAAATCGTACTCCTCGATGTCGCACGGTTCCGTATGGAGAGATTTGTGCTTCTTGTCGCCATTGACGCGAGTGGATTCCCAAGTCGAATAAGAATTCTGGACAGCCACGACCGAATCCTCGGTGTGTGACTTGTTGGGCTTCTGAAAAGGGTTGAAACCCGTGAATCTGTCAACCTTGGGCGGTTCAATATCCCGCATCGTGCAGTTATTTGCGAGAGCCACCAGCCAGGCAATGACTTCTGTGTCGGCCTTTTCGCCAAAAGCATAAAGTGCAAGACTCAGTTGAGTAATGGAATCTGTCACGCCATCCGGACATCTCAACCTTGTTATCAATGGGCAAAACACCTGGGATGCATCAGCATTCAAATTTCGTTGAATGTCCAGTGTACTCATGGTGGCGTTGAAGCCATCAATATCTTGCCACTTCTGTAAGATGGGGCTTAGTTCAGGAAGCTCCGAGATTGTACCAGATCCTTCCCGTAGTTCTTTGATGACGCGATAAACCCGAATACTTGCTTCGGACTGATAACTAGAGCCACGCGGTATGTACAACCTATTGTCATTGGCCTGCGATAGTACTCTTAGATCAGAAGGATACTTGTTCCGTTCATAAACCTGCCGACGAATAATGCCCCGAAGAGCGAGATGATGTAGGTCTGGAAGGTCCATCTCAACCTGACTTTGTTCGCCTGTAGCGTTCTCGGGGATATCCAGTGCCTGAGACTGCCGAAGTATATCTCCAGCGTGAATAGCCAGATACTCATGTTGAATTGTGGCAGTCAAGCTCTTGTCCCAGAAAACGTCTTGGTAAAGTCTCTTGTATTCTGGATAGTATTTTCGCTTCGGGCTAAGAGCAATGATCCTGGACAACATTTTCTTCGCAACAAACCCGAGTGGTTTCCATGGCTGGCTTTGGGCAGCGGTTAAGCATAGGCAAGCCTCTTCGGTGCCTGTCCGCCCAGTAAGTTCGTCTGGTATAGGGAAAGATGTTATGGCATGGATCAAAGCTTTCATATATAATAGTGCAGGCTCGGGGGCACAGTTGAGTCTCCCTAGGAGAGGATCAACAGTGAAGAGAGCATAGCTCCCCTCGTTCAAGATCTTGACTGAAACATGCGGCCCCTGTCTTTCCCAGAAAAGGGGTCCGATGGGAACCATGACGCTTTTACGACGAAAGTTCGAGGTATGGCGCAGCACGAGCTTGCTTTGAAGACCATGAAGTGTACCTATGTTTTGCACTGGATCAATTTCAGAATGAAGCTGATTCGAAGATAGCAAACCTCTAGCATTGACGAAGAAACTCATTTCCAGACGTTTGATCTCAACAGAAAGACGGCCATTGTCACTTAGTGGTTGATAAACCGTCAAGTTTCCTGGGCTCTCAAAGTCTTGGAAGATATGCATGATATGCTTCCCTACTTCTGACTGCGGCTCGACCAAACACGTCCTGTTTTTGATCATCGTTGCGCCTGGCACCAGGCCCTTCTTCTGTCCGCGCGTTGCCATTCGGCTTCGAACATGCAAGACCCAGTTTGAATACTTTGATAACCATATGTCTGGCTTTCGACGCATCTCAAGCTCACCCGTGCGCAAGTTCAACCAGTGCACGCAGCCATCAACTAGTCCAGAAGGAAGGTCTGGCACTTTATCGCCCTTGAAGATTTCCCGAGGAACGTGCTCTATGAGACAGTCCATAAACTTGGCACGAATGACCACCTTGCCTTCCCTGAGTCCAACGTGGACCTCGTGTTTGCCAACACTGTTGACGATCTGGTATTCCATTCCAGCGACACCCGAGGGTCTTGTAAGTAGGTGTTGCCCCTGGAAAAGCTCCAAGATATTCTTGTCGTCTCTAATCTCAAGGGGTAATTTCCCCAAAGGCTTACCATCTATCAAGAGATGTCCCTGGAGAACATGATAGTGGATGGTCTGGGAGGCGACCAGTCCCGTTCCAATGGTTCTTGATGACACCCAATGACCCCCATCGAGGCAGTTCCATTCTGAAAATGAACGAGACTTGGAGCTCCCATCATCTGCCCAAGTCTCATTGATAACTTTCTCTAATGCGGAAGAATTTAAAAGTGTCCATGCTCTGATCTTGTCACTACGAGAGTAAGCCTTTCTCATGTCCTGAGCCAGCAGTCGCTTTAGATCGGGGGGAATGTCGCCCAGGTTTACAATAAGATTCTCAGAAAGTGCAATTGATGCTCGGAAGAAATGCAGGGCTTCTTGCTCTCCAAACTGAGGCACATTGTCGGGAGCCAGAGAAACGTCAAAAGTTTGGCGGTAAAGCATTGCGGCCCAAAACGCACTCAAGGCTGCTTTCCGGGCCGTCTCCCCATTTTCTGTGTATCTCACTTCATCACGAAGCTGAAATATCCAAAGAGACAAAACGTCACGGATTTGGCGAAGCAACTTGGCCACGTTTGCCCTGAAATCACTCGGGCACAAGTGGTGCAATCGTAGGCTGAGAGTGATGAGAATGCTCATGCAGACTAGGTCTTTTCGGCCAGAACTCAAGGCATTTAGACGTAGTCGGATCTGGTGCTCTAATCTTTCGCAGAATGCAACATCGTGGAAAATAGAATGGACTTTGCCCAAAATCTCTGACCTTTGATCTGGACCAGACTGTAATGCCAACCGTGCAAAGAGCTTGAGCGTCATGTTGCTGCTGAGACTCAGGTTTGTCGACCCGAGCTCACAGACAAGCATAATCCATCGTCTGTATACGCCCGAGATGGCCCGCTGATATGCCGTGTACTCATGGGGGGACATGCTTCTGGGGCATGCATCTTGGCGAGCTGCAATCTCATAGGAGCTCGGGTGCTCTGTGTTGTCCATGTACAATGAAGCTTCAGCAAAGGGATCTGAAACACTAGTCGGAAGCCAAGAACCGAGTAAATGATGATACCATGGTGCCTCGTCATGTTCGCCCACCCATATCATGTTTTTTGCGTCATAGTACGTAAAAGCCGCGCCGAAGGGCAACAGCACTTCAGCTTCAAACTTGGGCAGCTTTTGCGCTCTGTAGTGTGTTTGCAAAAAAGACTTTTTACGAGATGCCAAAGTTATCAAGGTCGACATATTTTTGCCGTCAAAGTTCCGCAGGGGCTCAAAGTCCTTTAACAGCATGGCCGCATTACTTTCAGAAAATCGTTTTGTTCCCATCATTCTCAATGTCCAGGTCGCATCTCGATACATGTGGAGATATTGGGGCATGTTGAGTTCAAGCAAAATGGCGGCTTTGGCCGATTCGTCTTGGGGAAGGAATGCCTCATGAACCTTGATCTTGAGGCGCTTACGACAACGCGCTTGCCAGCATTTTTTACAGCCCTTCACATCGAGACGGCCGTCCAGCATACGAGTGCAACGACAGACCCCCTGCTGAATTTGGACCGTCAATTCGTCGTATTCGGTCATGAGTCGGCGCAGTTCTATTCTCTTGGACTGCGCGGACCTCGCAGACGCAGCTTCAATCCGTACTTCCAGTGAGTGCAGGTCAGAGTTGTTATTGCCTTCTCGTAGACAGGATGCAGCGAAAGCCGTGGTACAACACGGGTCGCTGAAGATGGTCCCGTAACCGTCCTTGCAGCGCTTGATGCGGTCGGATATATATCGCTGCACACGGCGGAGTCGCTCCATGTCGTTTCTTGTCATGACGCAAAGCAAGTCTATAGCCTCAGGAACAAAGACGGGGTGGTAGTCATGGAGAAGGGGACATAGAGCGGTTGCTAGAGAGTCGTTAGCAACCCACAGCTCAAAAAGATTGAGCAGATACTGGCTCATCAGGATCTCATTATCGCGGTAGCAGTCCTTGACCGTATTCATGTATTCGATCATTGTCCGAGAAAGCTTGATACATTTGGCTTCGGGGGAGGTAAATGAACCATGTAGCTGTGACATTGCTTCCCTGTCGCAGACCATGAGCTTGGAGCATTGAGTTGCAAACTCGTCAACCTGTGACACTGTTCCTTCAGCGAGCGAGGGAGGGCCGAGGAGACACTGTGGTTTGGGTGGTTCGATGCTGGTACCCAAAAGTTTCTGCAGCTTACTTCCGCTGTTTTGTAACTTCAAGACCTGATCGCTCCTGGAAGCGCGCGATGGAAGAAGTGGTATGGAACGAGTTACCCTTCTCTTGTGGGCGTCCCAAAGAGTTTCCATGGCCCGCTTTGCGTTGGCCAGAGTGGATTCGAAAAAGGATCTTGTCTTGGAGAACTCTCTTTCGTACAGCTGACGGAGCACAGCAGGAGCCTCAGACATGGCAGTTTGCAGCTTGGCCAGCCGACGACACAATTTGGCCTGCAACATGAGAGTCTTTTCGGGATGCAGAGCGGGCTGACAGTCGGTGAGGAGACGAGCAAAGACGACGCACATGGCGAACTTGAAGTGGACGCGACTCGTACCGAGATCCTCACCGCATGAAGTCAACAGCATTCGCTGCACGGCAACTCGAAGCGCCAACCAGTAGGGAGACCGCCTCCATGGAGCTTCGGACAATCTAAGCACAACGTCGTCTCTGACGCGTTTTTGAACGACATGGACTGGAAAGGCCCTCCCCGTGGCCTCGAGAAAGGACATGAGCATTTCCGTAATGAGCGCCGGACTCGGAGTTTCGCGTGACTCGACGACCATTTCCCCCCCCTTGCATGCTCGGGCTGCAAACTGGTCCAAGGCCACCTCACTGGCCTGCTCCAAGAAATCTGCAAGGCCATCCTGGAACGAGTCTTTGCAAAACTCGGACTCAGCTATAGCAACGGAACGACCAGGAAAGGTCCACTGGAGGGCGTGGTTGGCTTCGAGTACAGCCGGAGAAGTAGGTGAAGCCTCGAATGCCTCAAAAACCACTTCCCTCGTGCTGTGCAACTTGTCAGTGAGGGAGAAGCCTTCAGCAAGCTATATGAAATACGCACTCGGTGTTTTTGTGAATGATGATGGCAGCGTTTTGCTCCACAGCGTGAAGGACAAGCCAGGCAACGGATTCGTCTTGAGCAACTTGGGAGAATGCTGCAACCAGAGATTCCTTGGAGACGGGTCCCCGGTTCAGATTCTGTGTCAGGAGCAAGGATTTCTCTACCGTGCTCCAAATGTCTTTGGACTCATCGCACCTCATTTGCTTGCAAGCGTCGAGGAAGCGCGCCGTCAGCTCCCAGTTGAGCGGAACAGAGTCGTTATCTGGGCTTGCTGGAAGCTTAGGCGGCAAGACCAAATGGTCAAATGCTGCCTCCAGCAGCCATTTTTCAGAGGACCCTTCCGGCATGACAGATGCCCTGGAAGAACCCCCGTGAGATGAAGTTGTCGAATTTCGTTTATTTGGCGTGATGATTGTGGAAAATGCAGACAAGGTGTCGAGCGAAGCCTCACGCATAGATAAAGATTCAAGACAGGGGCAGATTGGCAAGCAAACGGCCAATCGTGTCTGTGGGTCTAGCCACAGGACCTGGTCATCTGCACATGTATGCAGTGAAAGTACGGAGTACGACCCCCCTGGTTATCCATCAATTGATGGCTTTTGCCCCGAGAATACGGGATACATATGTGTCCCTTAGAATGTGCGTTTGCTGTATTGGCTCCACTTTTCTGCAGTACCGTGAAGATAACCTTTACAGTAACAAAGTCAGGCTGGCATTATGTCTTTTAGTGAAGAACATAAGGTAGTGTTTTATATATGTATAAGCTATTAATACTTTTATTATTATGTAATTCCTAAATAAAATTAAGTGTACTTTAATATAAGCTCTCTTATGAGGTAACATCCTGGTTTGGTACAGCAAACGCAACCTTGAAGTTCACAACCTGCGAAGTGGGGCGAAAGTGGGGCTGCGCAAACGGCGCTAGGCACGGCCCATGGCAAACCAGACTGTGAGATGATTTCCTCTTTGGAAAATGTTTGACAGCAACATGCGCGCTCGCCACAATCCCGAGTCCTCGATTCACATGCCCTCCAAGACGGCCAGCCAGAAACCCGGACATTATGACAGGAAGCACGTTTGACAGTCGGATGAGTGCAACTCATTCCCACTTTTCGCCAATCTTTCGCCGGTAAGGCTCCGTCATGTTACACGACAGACCAAAGACCATCATCGCCGTCACCAGGCAGCCAAGCATGGAAGCAGGCCAATGGCATACCAGCTCCATTGTCAACCAGTGAGTCACCAGGTCATCCTTTCACCTACTAGGCTCAGCTTAGCTTGTAAGCATTTGAATTGGAAGCTAGCTGGCAAACCTACTAGCAAATCTAAAAACTGTCCTCTTTGATCATTTGAAACTAGTCATTTCCTGTGAAAGAGACCACCGTCCCGTAGCTCAACCCACTCTTCAACTCAACCCATATCTCACAATCGTGACATGCAATCCCCGGCGAAATCTGTCTGCACCGCCGACGTGCTAGTTGAACGACACGGACGCGGTGCCCTGTATAATTCTCGACTAACTAATGAGCATGATTCTGATATCGAAAAATAATGTTGTACTATGCTCGAGATTGGGTCAACTCAAATATCGTCGAATACTTTGTTATTATACGGTTCAGCATTGGTCATTTAAACAGAGTCTTGCGTATAATTCCCATCCACAGTACTGCACAAAAACTCCTGGTATACTTATAATTGGAATGCACCAGAGATATAGATTGCCAGAGACCCATTTTACTAGTACGCCTCCTGTTGGATCAGCAAGGGGCCCCCTCGTGAGCAAGAACAACCCTCTTGTGCCAACAAGGTCTCGAATCAAGCAAACAATTATTGTGACAAGCGCTTGGGTAAAGGGCTTGGAACATAATTCGATTCAGCTAATAATTTACTTTAATATTAAATGTCCTTGGTTCTCTTAAGGCCTCTGAGGGCAGATGCCCGTTATTTATATAAAGTAGCGGTGAGTGAGCGAGCCTGGAAGCCCAAGGCCCCAACTAGGTCTTGAGCCCTTGTGTAACTATCGTCAGATTCAATGGTCGGCCCGTGCCTTCAACACAAGTTGACCTCGATGTAACATCTTGATCTGAGGGCTGTGTCGCGTTTAAGAACTCCTAGATTCGTCCATACCGGCTTCGGCCCATATACACAGTCGATTTTCAGCCAGAGGAGAACTCGCTTCGAGAGTAGGAAGAAAAGAGCGAGAGGTTGTACCGAGCTCTATGATACCATGTTTATCGCCCAGTGTTTTCCAGCCTCGGCTTTGGTATTAACAAATTACTCTTATCTGGTCCCGTCTTTGTCATCATAAATAGGGCCATAATCTCACCGTGACAAGCACGACGCAAAGAGGCGAAATTCGTACGCCACATGCACAAAAGGCCTGTACTGTAGACCGAAACTAAGCCGATCGTGGTACGTTGTAAGACCAAGGTGTGCTAAAGGGACCGAGGATAAGGCTAAATGTATGCCTCTGTAAGCGAAAATAAGGATATGCTGCCCAAGCAAACGAAATGTTAGCGCCATAAGAGAGAGCACCTAATACCGCAGATATATTCGCTTGCACCCTTGATGCCAACTGGTATTCTAGGCTTATAGCTATATTGTGTCACATTGAAGCTTCCGGCTGCATCGGCACAAAGGATGCATCGCGAGGGATCACAAAGAGGTCCGGAGGCCAGACCGGGCTTTTAAGGATCTTTTATACTTGAAGATAATTACTAGATTAAATTTAAAGTTATTTATAAGCCCTTTCATTGAGCCCTTGTCGCATATTGCGAACATGTACTCCGTAAAGGTGAGTTAAGCCGTCGAATTCTCTTTGTCGAATTCTATCTAGGCTCCCTTTACTCCTACAAAACTCTAAAGAAAGAACCAGACTCTTTTCAAAAATCTAACCGCAAGTCACAAGGTACCAAGGTACCAAGGTTAGTCACTCGGACCAGTCACCCACACTTTTTACCATAATTACCTAGGTATTAGTTACAATGCTTCTTATCGCACTCGGTAGCATTCTTTTAATCACCTTCCCATATCCTTCTGTGTCTGCGTCCGCAATTACCACAAAAAATATGGACTTGATTCAATCAATCAAAGCACGCCGCGATAACGATGGTCCAGTCGACATTACCTTGCGGGAATCGACCGAGAACACTCGGCCAATCTTTACTGTGATGATTCGAACCCGGACTTGGGCGTCGTCTGTGAAGTATCCCATTTGACGACTGTTGCATGGGCGACGACAAGGAGCTATTCGATAGTCCCGAAAGCAACCAGGCCGACGGCTGGACCAGCTTCGCCATCTATGCGGGGAGTAGCTATGATCCTTGGTGCCAGATTATTACAAGCAGCAGCTCGAGAGAGGATATTTGTCTGGCCGGCGGCGACTCAGGGCTGACCATAACTGGTGCTAGCTTCGGTGGTAGCTTGCAGGGTTCTAAAGATGAAAGTATTGGTGATATTCCAGGGCCCGCGGAGAATAGCGAGGTAGTGGTACCAAAAAAACCAGCAGTGCGTGCGAGTATGTACATCGCGCTGCAAATCGTACTATGTACTACCTTTTTATTATATCTCCGCTTGGGCGGGAGTATAAAAAGCTAGTAACTAAGCATGAAAAACGCGAGTTTATGGTCAGACATGGCATGTCTGGGGAAGATGCTAGCAAAGCAAAACGACAGCTAGCACAATAATAATGCTGTCATGTGTGAAAAACGGGTTCTGAAAACACACGTTAAAATACAAACAAGTCTTTGTTCATTGTTCAATGTTTCTTCTCCGTGGTTCCTATCCAGGGGTAACATGTCCTCACGAACTTCCGGCTAGACACGTAGACAAAGTTTCAATATCAACAAGCTCCCGCTACAACTCTGAACAATGGTCACCTTCATTAAGTGCTATTATGTATATGACCTCTGGATCATCGTACGATCCAGTAAATGACGACAAAAGTCATCACAGATATGAAGGCTATTAATGATGCTCTTAAAACAAAAGGTTGCTGCAAGCTTTGAGACTTCAGGCCCAATTCCTGTAGAAGCTTTTTGCATTTTCCACATGCTGGATGCAAGGAGGAATGTTGGGATTATAATTTTTATCGTCCATCTTATATGGCTTTTGTCAAGATGTATTCATAGCCCATCCAGAGCTAGCATATCACATGGAAAATTTGGTTTGTTTTTTTGGCTTTCTTTTACGCTCATCATCAGGGACTTCGAAGATACCCCCTAGGTTAATGTTGCCATATATACGGTTATCGGTTAGATCCTGAAAGACCCTTTTAAAATTGGGCAGACGCCTCATGATAATGCAGTCCCCACCAGCGAGCTCCATGCCAATGCGCCGCCACATACCGTACTCTGTACCCTGAACCGCATATTTCCTACTCCTACTTGAGGAGTAGCATTTTTGTTCAACGCCCTATATTAGTAACTGACACTGAAAATTTTCCAGTATTTGGCATCGCCAGTGAAGCCAAGTTTGGCCCCGTCACCAGACAAGTACTTGCCTTTATCCTGCTGCTTCCAGCTGTATCCCTTGCTGGGAGTGAATTGAACCGTAAAGGCTTCAGCGTTCTTGGCGTCGGCGCAGAGGCTCCCGTCCTTGCAAAGATACTGCTGGTTGCTCGCACTCTGCAACGTGAAAACATTTCCTCCGATTCTTGCGGCATGAGCAATCCATCTGTGGGCAACATCGTCGTGGTTTGGGGTGCTTTTGGTGAGTGTTGCGCTCTTAGTAGTATTGTGTACAGCGCTGGTCAATGAGTGCCCATTCGTTTCCAGCACCAGGTAGCGGCCCTCGGTGAGCTTTCCGCGGATAGCCTTGAAGCCATGCTCGACCACGGTGGTGAGATCCTCGATGACGCCGTCTCCGGTGTAGGGAACGGGAGGCCGGGTGGTCCGAAATCTGGACTGACAGTATGAAGATCCATCGTACTCTCCTTTGGAATTGACATGCGGTTTGGGGGCGGTTGGGAGATTGGGAATGCTGTAGTCTGGATTATTAAAGTCAAAGGCATTGACAAGATCACCCATGTTCTCGCGGCGCCAGGGAACCATCTCGCTGGTTTGGACGTTCTTGCCCTTGGCAGCCTGCCACTTTTCAATAAACAGAATTTGTGAGTTGTGATCCGAGTGCTCCGTGTAGACGCCGCCGTTGCGAGTCCATGGGGAAATAATGTAAAATGGAAGTCTGAAGCCAGGCCCGGCAAAAGTGTGTCCAACCTTGCCCTGCGGGTCGTTGAGCCACTCTCCAGGTGTCCCGTCTGGGGAATGATGGGGATTCACATGGTCAAACCAGCCACCGGTTTCGTCATATGAAATGATCAACGCAGTCTTGTTGTACTTGGGCGAGTTGAGGACGGCGCGGGTGATGGTGTCTTGCAGCCAGGCGCCGTCGTGCGGAGAGTATGGAGGATGCTCAGATAGTTGCATGGGACCTACAATATAAGACACCTCGGGGAGAGTGCCGTTGGCAGCATTGTCGTAGAATGAGGCAAGAGAAGAGCCTTGAATGCCTCGGTCATACAGAGCAGAGCCCTTCTTGGACCTTCTGAACTGATCAAACCAAGCATATGGGTTGTCGTCAAAGTTATCAGCGTCTTGAAACACATTCCAAGACACCCCCGCGTCCTGATAATATTCGGCAACAGTCTTCCACTTGAGCGGAAAGCAATTCACACCACCTTTTTCACATCCGGGAGTCTCGTTATTATCAATATATGGATTGCCACCTTGATCAGGCTTCTGGGGTGAGCCGGGGACATTGATGGAGCCTGAAATCCAGCTGACACGATTTGGATTTGTGGAAGCAACGACGGATTCCTAGCATTGTCAACCTTCAGACCACCGACGGCAGCAATCAATGGAGCAGAGATGTATACCTGGTACATGTCTCCAATAACCCAGTTTTCAGCCAACGCCCACTGGGTAGGAAGGTCTTGCTTCTTATAGAATCCAATGCTCCACGGGGTATTATTCATTGCCCAGTGGTCATTTGAACCAAAGTTCCAGGCGGCGTGGTTTTCGAACCAACCATTGCTACCAGCAGTCATGCACTGCGTAGCTTCAGACCAGTTCCCGCCGAGGTAGTTGAGGTACCATGGGGTCACATAGTCTGTCTCGGTGGTTTGCTTCTTGGTAGTGAGCTGCTTCCAAACGGGCACACCGTTGTTTGTTTGAAGATTTGCGTCACCAAATCCACGAACACCAGCCATGGTGCCAAAGTAGTGATCAAACGCCCGGTTTTCTACCAAGTCCCACGAGTCAACTCGATGAACGACACATGGATGCTAAAGCCTGAAGATGTGATTTACCTTGCATAAAAAGAACGACATGGTCAATATCCGCCAAGCCGGCAGCGTTGACATTTCCAGCAAGGGAGCTACAGAGCACCAACATAGGCGCAAGGCCAGCGAATCGTAGTCCAGCCATTTCTAAAGGGGGTGGCTTTGCAAGAACAGAAACCTATCCAGCCATCACTCGGAAGGGGAATAAGGTGAAACATGGGGAATCTGGAATTTATAGAATAAACCTAGCGTGAGAAACCGGAAAGCATCGCTTAGCTGTAAAACGAGTCCGTCTCTTGTGCATGAGCGCTGTATGCACGATGGCTAGCTTGAATTAGTCAAGTGCCTTATAGGTCACACCCCTTGGCGTGTTGTACACATGTGAAATAAAAATATGTCGTCTTTTAAAAAAGTGCGCCTGGTAACATGATACATACAGCTTCCAATAGGCGGACTCTGCACAAGACCACGTTGTCTCAACAATGCCATGACCATACAAACCGCTTCGATATTGGACAGTTTCCAAGATGATTGCTATCCCCATGACCCACGCCCACGCACCATTCAAATGATGGTCAAGACCAATAGTCCTTGGTGCCGCGGCCACGAGGGTGGATTCCCAGCGGACATGTCTGATGCAAGTCTCCTTACATTCCCTGTGATGTCGTGCATGAAAAATGAACCCCAGGGTTCGCTAAGCGATCAGTTTGCTAATCAAACCCAAAAAAGAAAAGGCACGTCGGTGTCCATTCTAATCTAGTCTCCAGATACCTTGAGTAGCAGCCCAACGAAGTTGCTGTCAAATTTCGGCAGTTGGTCAGCCGATTCGGCCAATGGAATTACGGATGCCGGCCACATGATGATGAGCTTGCTCCATGTCGGGCAAGATGGTCTGTGGAGCCGTTGGAGATGGAATAACGGGACCAAACAACAGCAGGATGGCCATGGGTCAAACTGCACCATCCTGTTGTTGGCATGTGAGCAAAAAATCCCGTTTCTGCCGTGTTGAAAAACGGGCTGTACAACGATGGAAACAACGAAGGAGTCACGAAGTTCCTGGCCATGGTCCACGTGGTCGGATATTGTTTATTTGATCCGTTGAATGCTACCACACGAATGAGCGACGGGGTCCGGGAACTTTTTCGTCTCTTGTCACTCGTGGTCATTCATGCCGGAGAATTGCCAATATTGCTTCGAGACGTCTTCTTGGTCAGCTTCAAAAGAGTTGTCGCCCATGCCCAGAACGCCACCTTTGACAGGAAATCATGTAGTGGAAACACGCAATAAGAGGCATGATCGATGGGCCAAGCCATTTGTCCGCAAGCCATAGTCCTGGGCAACTGAGTTATCAACCTTGTTGAAGCATCAAGCACGCGACACCTGCGAACCAACCTCACCAACGCGGAATTGACTCCCTGGCCATTGCTGTGAAGCCAAGACAGAAAGCACTATGCCAGAATTATTTTTTATTTTTTTTCTTGGCTTTCTCTCCTTGCCTTACGGCCGCAAAGCCTGTGCACCTTGGAGGCAATGTATAGACAACTCCAAGACAAGTCGCGCAAACTTGGTTTCCCTCAATCGCTCATGTACAATACCCCCCCCGTATGTTTCTACACGAGTGACCTGACAGGGTAGCTATAAGCAGGGGGTAGTACACTATCTATGATCTACATATTCTAAGTGGTAATATGTTAAGAAGGCTTACAGGGTTCACGATAAAGACCTTAACTTACTAAAAAAATCTCGGGAAATCTCAGGTACTTTTAATACCCACCTTTCTCTTATAAAATTATTTTTTATTGGTTATTACCCCCCCTGTTAGGTCACGCATGAAGAAACATTCAGGGGGGGAACTGTATGTAAATGTCCTCAACAACATGAGCTGCTGCAGAGGCTTTACATGACTAGCGCGCTTTGGTGACGCGCAAAGGGCGCAGAACCCGACGGCCCCACATGGTCGGCCAGAGAGAGATGGTTACGAGAACAACTCGTCATGACCAGAAAGGCCCTCAACCACTGCCGAATCTCTCAATGCCATACGGAGTACCAGTAACCGGAAATGACAGTGCCCGGCAAGACAAAACTAGTATATCAGTACCATGGGAAGCTCACGGAGCTCGCGACAAAGGTGCACTCTGTCCGGTCCTTTGGGAGTCTGGAGGATGCCAATCGACTTCTCTTCAAGAATGGCGCTGACGACGACTTTGTCGTGGTAACTGGTGAGACCATTTTTCACCCTCAGGGCGGGGGGCAGCCATCTGACCAAGGTTTCATGAACTGGAGCCCCAACGGCACGACAGCAGCCGACTTATCCTTCCGAGTCGAGGCCGTCCGGATGGACGCAGTCAATGGCTCGCAGGTGCTGCACCTTGGCTCATTTACAACGCCCGCCGCAGCGTCGCAATTGCAGCCCGGCGACCGAGTGAAGCAGGTCCTGGACGTGGAAAAACGACTCTTGTACTCGCGCCTCCACACAGCCGGCCATGTGCTGGGTTCCGCCGTGCGCAGTTTGCTGGAGACGGAGATCCCTGGCTTTGACGAGCTCAAGGCGTCGCATTTCCCCGACAGCGCAGCCTGCGAATTCCGGGGGGCCATAGAGGGGAAGTGGAAGGAGCCGATTCAGCGACGCGTCAACGAATACCTGGAGAGGTCAATGCCCGTGGAGATTGACTTTTGGACCGAGCAAGACTTTTGCAGGGAGGGCTTGGAGCGGCTGATTCCCGATCGGAGCCTGTTGCCCCCCGGCGAGGACAAGTTCCGCGTCGTGCGCATTGTCGGGGCAGAGGTCTATCCTTGCGGGGGGACACATGTCGATACGACCGACTTGTGTGGCGAAACCACTGTCAAGAAGATTGCCAGAAGTAAAGGCATTAGCCGGGTAAGCTACACGGTGACATGAGCCGGCGAGTGGTTGTGAACAAGAACGTGTAATAGAAGGACACGAAGACCATAGACACGGCGAGAGAGGCAAAGGAAAGAAATGCAAATCCCACATCATGTCTCATATAGCTACGACGCCGTAGCGTTTGACAGTGAGTATGTAGTTAGTCTACATTTCTTGAACGTCTTTGACTCAACAATATCATACTTGATATGTGTTGCAACGAAGTAGTCAGTCCCTTCATGACCCCCGGCGGTGCAGCTTGTACGGCTTCACAAGGCAACCTTGACCGCCACCACATTCGTTGAAATGAAGCCCGTCACAAACAACCAAGCCTTGCGCTCGCCATTCTCTTTCGCCGGGTCAATGGCCGCTAGAACAGCAGCGCTCGCCGTTCGGATGCGGGTCGAGTCGTCCTCGAACAGAAGCTGCTTCGCCCACGTCTCCTCCTTGCCAGCCGTCTTGTCACGAGAAGGCGTAGCCTTCCACACCATGGCGCCGTCTGTTCCCCGAGGACTGTGTTGATTCTTGGCCAGGTCGACAGCTCTTGTCAGACCAGGCACAACGAGACCGCTTGCATCGTACGTCGAGTTCGCATAAGGATCGCGGAACCAACTGGGATTGTCCAGGGTGGAATCGAACTCGACGGACTGTCGGATGGCAATCTTTGGGGACTCGTTGTCGTTCCTGGGTGACATGATGTCGCCAATGTGCAGCCTGCCACTGGCGCAGCTGACAATCAGAATCTCCGACGGCGTCCGGCCGTGGCCAAGGCCATTGTTGTTGTGCACACCATCGAGCGCGACCGAGGCCTTGACTTCCACATCGCTGTCGCGGAAGGAGCCGTCGACAAGCTCGGTGAACTCGACGTAGATTGTATTGGACCATTTTGCGCCAAAGAAGAGCGTCTCGATCTCGCGCCTGATGCCTTCTCTGTAGAAATGGTCGTTGGTGACGAAAAAGGACGTTGGCGACACGGCGACAATGTCATTGGGAGTGGTGATGAGCGGGTGCCACACGGAGCGAACGTGCTCGACGGAATCGCTGCCAATGTCATAATAGAAGACTTCGATGATGGAGCGCGCCTTGGGTTCGTTCGCATCGTCGGCGTAGGCTGGGTTCGGCAGATGGTTGACGGCAAAGATGTAGACGGCCTTGCCCTTGGGCTTGTCAGGATCGTCGATGACGTCGATGCCATGGGTGACAAACGGCCCGTTGAAGTTGGTGAACTTGAGCTTCTTTGCCTTCATCGTCTGCGCGGGAGAGCGTCAATACACGTACAGTCGCTGCTACCAAGCTCGGGAGAGGGTGTATACGGACGTTGGGATCAATGACCTCGATGCTGCCTTGCGCCTTGAGGCCCACGTTGGGGTCGTGCAAATGGCCCAGGGCGGGAAACCAGGCATACCGAGTGGACTCGACGCCTTCGCAGGCAGTGAAGATGAGGTGGCTGGGTTCATGGTAGTGAAGATCCTCGCAGTGGACGGTGTCGGGAATGGTGTGGAAGTCGTCGGCGTTTGTGACGACGGTGCTGCGTTGCTGCCGTCCGAAGCCGAGGACAACCTTGGCGCGTGGCAGCTCGACAGTATAAAACAAGGCCGCAAAGATGGCAAGGACGAGAATTGCTCCCGAAGAAGCCAACGACGGTCCGCCTGCCATGTTGGCTGTGATTGATGGTATGTTGATGCAACTACCGCCTGGTTTGAGGCGTCGGTCGCGGGCTACGCATCCACGTACATATATCCTCAGTCCCAACCTCCCGATTCCCGGAGCTAGAGAGACGGATGCGGGGTTCAAAGTTTAGTCCTCAATTTGGACACGGCAGCGGTTCCACAAGATCGACTCCTGGTCAACATCTATCCGAGGCTCAAGCTAAAGGGTGAGCTCAAAGGGGAGGACGTTGCATCTCGAATCATGTCTCCACCTGCAAGGCTTGGAGACACCAGACCGTTTTCAGTCGCAATGCCCGTCTTTGAAAGCGGCTCTCGGGTGCTGCAATTCGTCGTCCAAAGGTAAACCGTTCTGGGCCTGGAGACGCGCCACTCTGGAGCCAAAATACCACATTTGCAGCTGCTTTGCCGCGACGCTACATATCAATGTTTTCGCTGTCGGCTGGAGAGCCCTATAGCCGGGGAACAGGGCAGGTCTGGTGAGCGCGCCCGGTAAGATGTTACCCTCTCTATTCACGACTACGTTGTGGACTTGAACCGGGTAAAGTCGACCTCGTAAGACGCCAGCTCATGGTATGACTGTTCTCTCTGCAGCCTCCTGTAGCTCGGCTTCGTGGAATCGTGTTAGATGATCTTGATGCACTCCGCGCCTCCATTTCCAATTTCCAATTCCCCCGGGCCGTTACGCTGAAACGTCTAAAATTTGCTCATTTTAGATAAGTTGGTCGATTCTTCATACTACAGAATAATTGACATGGTGTCTCATAAATCAGCTGTATATATATGATTTGTGCCTGTGACCCTAGACTTGCGGAAGCAACTTTTGGTAGAGTTGCTGTACAACCGCCAATGTATTACGTATGGAACTGTCTAATCATGACACTGCACGCCACTGACAACCCTGAGAAATGGCTAGAGCTTTTGGGCGGTGCTCACTATAATTGATGATGAAGCAAAGAGTAAGTAACCAAGAGATCAACCGTCCGCCATCTCCTACAGTCATTCTTGGGCCATGAGTTATTTCTCTCTCTTGCCCATCAGCTTCTTCTTCATCTGTCTCAAGCGTGGCAGCGCCTTCTCCAAAACAAAAGTCGCGTACTCCCCATGTCCCTCCATTTCTTGACTGGCGCGCCGCTTGATACCCATGTAGACACTCCTCTCCTCACCCTGTTCCCCAATGGGAACTATTACCCCAGCGTAGCGGCACAGAATAGCATTAAGTATCATTCTGCACATTCGCCCATTGCCGTCTTGGAACGGGTGAATCTCGACAAACTCCAGGGAGTACTTGGAAGCAATGGAGAATGGATCTATCCCCTTCTTGTCCTCGGCGGCCTTTAGTTCTTCTTTGAGGGCATCGCACATTTCCTTCATTTTCTTTGGCACAAACTGGGGAACAGTGAAGTTGGTTGTGCCTGCGCCAACAACAACCTTTCTGTAGATTCCCCCATACTGGTCAGGGCTGACGTCTGGATGGCCTTCCTCGACAATTGAGACACCCTTGACAAGGATTCGGTGCGTTTCCTTGATAAGATCTTCCGAGAGATCTTTTTTCTCAACAACAAAAGCATGAACAATGTGCTGAAATGCCCTCGCATGTTGGACAACCTCGTTGCGGCTTCGTAGGATGTACTTGGCTGGCATGTCTTTGAGGTCAGACTGCTTGTGGTAGAGCTCCAAAAGTTGCTTTTGGTATGCCGGATCTCGCTCAGAAACCTCTCCAACTTCTTCGCCCAGATTACCTCTGTGCAGGTTCAGCTTGAGATCGCCAATTGTCTTCGGCACCTTTGCAGGCATTCCACCAACGTGAGTTTCCGCCCCGGCAAAGACTTTGCGACAAAGCTCAATGGTAAGGTCCAGGTTCAGTCCTGCCCGTTCGATCTGATTGCTGCCAAAGATTGCGCGGATCATGGCCTCGTGGAGCTCTTTGAGAATAAGGTCGTTTTTCACTTCGTCGCGCTCTGTGTTTTGGATGGAAATCATCCAGTCCTTGGCCTTCTCAAACAATTGTTGTGGGTTTTGGACAGCCCCAACATGGCGGTAAACATCGTCGGCATGAATGGTCATAAAAACATGATCCTTTTGCAGTGACGCGGAAGGCCATCCTCGGGAGATGGTATCGCGAAGACTGTGCTTCATCATAGCTCTTTTGGTTGGACTAGGGTCTCTTCTGGATGTCGATGCTGCGGGTGTAATGTTTATAGAATCCTCGAAAAGACTCGCCAGTGATTTGCGTCTGTGCTTTGTTGAAGAAGACATTGTACGCCAGCGTGTCTAGGTTTAGTCTAACTCTGTCAACAAGCCAAATGTTAGCAAAACTAAGGTTTTAAGTTAAGCATAGCAAGAAAACTTAGCGTACTTGAGGAGAAAGGCTTTTATAGCTCGAAAGAAGGAGCTAGAATTTGATAAAAACTAGAAAAGTAAAGAGAAGTGAGTCAGGGAAATGGGGAAAGAGGAAGAAAGGTCTGGCAGTAATGGGTGAGTAGAAAGTGAATGTAAAATGAATGGCGGATTCCTTAACGCGTCTAGTCTTAGTAGCATGGTGCTCTGATCAAACGGGATGGTTAACTTACTCGGTGCATAAATCACATTCCCTGAGCCCAAGAGTTTATACACACATTGTTCTCTCGCTACTCCTTACTCCCATCATCACTTATTCACCGCCCGGAATCTCTCTATCACTCCTACGTGTCTGCCCCTTTCGTCGCCCTGAGCGACGCTCATACAATAACTAAGAGCGCTGTTATGACCGCATTAATGATCCATGATCATGTTCCGGAGAGTTCAAGACGGTAGGTCGCCCTGGAGACTTGTACCACATAATGTGTTGAAATATACGTCCTGGAAGTGAGGACTTGGGGCTAGATTTAACTTCCTACATAACGGCCCTAAACGTGACACTTCGGCCAGTAGCTAGGCGAAACTGAATCGGTGATAGACAGGATCAACTCTTGACGCACCGCGAATGCGCAGTGGCCTACCATGTTGCTAGAATCAAGCGACGACGCCTTCAGGAAGGTCCAGAAGAACTAAGACCACTTTTGTATGACAGTTTGGCGCCGAGGGAGTGGAAGGCCTCCATGTTTCGGTAGAAGTGGAAAACGTCTGTTCTGATTTGCGTCTGGTCTGGACATGGAGTCTGGCGGCTCCACCGCCGAACCAGCCCAGTCCTTCTTTGTAACCATCTGGCCCAGCACTTGGAGCTCCCAGCTCAGCTTTTGGCGCAAACACTCTTGCATCAGAATATTCCCGCGCGGCCGCGAGTCCATGGTGCAGCCTAATTTATCGCCATGGACAGCCTAGACGACTTTGAAAAAACTCTTGCCGCCGAGCGGCTGGAGCGCGAAAGGGCAGAGAGGGTAGAACAGGATCGAGACCGTCGAGAAGGTCATCGCAAACACAGACATCATCATCGGCACAGCGATCATGACGACAGAGACAGAGACAAAGAGCACAGGCATCACCGCCGCCGAGACCACGAAGACGACCATGGCCATAGGCATAAGAGAAGTCGACACTCGCGCGACCATGGCGATGACTCGCACCGATCGAGACAAAGGCACCATGGCGACAGAAGCAGGGAGCGCCATTCACAGCATCGACCAGAGACAGGAAGGGCGTCATCGAGTAACGAAGGCTCATCTGATGCTCCCGTGCGTGATGCATGGATGACGGCACCGTCGTCCATTGAAGTCGAGCATGTACACCGCGCAGAGAGAAGCAAGCTTCCATCACGGCCTCCGCAGCAACCGAAGCGAATCATCCACTCTCGCGAACTCAATCAAGATATCCAGCAACTAGACGAACCATCGTTACTGTCTAATGTCCAGCAACCCGCCGCCGAGAGAAAAGTCGATTACGTATTTGGCGACTCTGGCTCTTCATGGCGCTTGACAAAGCTGCGGGGAGTGTACACCACTGCCGAAACAAGTGGACGGCCAGTCGAAGACGTGGCGATTGAGCGATACGGCAGCTTGCAAGACTTTGATGACGCGCGGGAAGAGAAGGAGGAAATGGAACGGCGCAGGATCTACGGTGAAGGGTACAAGGAGAAGGAAAAGCCCACGGGGGACTTGTACCGAGCTCGAGAACACGACAAGTCGACAACACATGACGAATCCGCTGCTGCTACTGCTGCTGCTGCAGAACCAGATTCCGGCACTATCATACCAGAAGAACCAGCAAAGAAAGCAGCCATGGACCAAACATCTCTCAATCGCCTCCGCGCACAAATGATGAAGGCCAAGCTGCGCCGGGACCCCAAAGCCGCGCAGCTGGAAGAGGAATACAATCGCGCCGCTGCTCTCGGGCCCCGGACCAATGCTCCCGAGGCCGTCGTCCTTGGCATCATGGACAACCGCCAACTGGCCGGTACCAGAGGCGAAGTTAAGGCTGTCGACACCAAACGCGGCCGCGAGAGGGGTCTGGTGGAGGAAAATAATGACATGTCCATCGAGGACATGGTCAAGGAAGAGCGCCGCACCAAGAACCAGCTAGGTGGCGAAGGACTGCGTCTCGCAGAACGCATTGCCAAGGACGCCAGGTACGACAACGACCTGGACTACATGGACGAGAATGCCGAAAAGCTCGCCAAACGCGTGCACAAGAGCGAGATCAACCTCAAGAACATGGCCGTCAACGAATTCCAAAAGATGAACCGCATCCTGGAGAACTGCCCCCTGTGCCACCACGAAGACAAAGGCCGGCCGCCCCTGGCACCCGTCATATCCCTCGGCACGCGCGTCTTCCTGACCCTCACCACCGAGCCCGAAGTCAGTCCCGGCGGCGCCGTCATCGTGCCCATCACGCACCGCGGCAACCTTTTGGAATGCGACGACGACGAGTGGGAGGAGATTCGCAACTTCATGAAGAGCCTCACGCGCATGTACCACGACCAGGGACGCGACGTCATCTTTTACGAGAACGCGGCCGCGCCGCATCGCCGCATGCACGCGGCCATGATTGCCGTCCCCATTCCCTACGAAGAGGGCGCCACGGCCCCGGCATACTTCAAAGAGGCCTTCCTCTCCAGCGACGAGGAGTGGTCGCAGCACAAAAAGGTCATCGACACGGCGGCCAAGGCCCGTGACGGAATGGGCAGAATGGCCTTCCGGAGGAGCATCGCCAAGGAGATGCCCTACTTCCACGTCTGGTTCTCGCTCGACGGCGGGCTGGGCCACATTGTCGAGAATGCGGACCGCTGGCCAAGGGGGGACTTGTTTGCAAGGGAAGTCCTGGGCGGGATATGCGATGCCGAGCCGCATGTTGTCAAGAAGCAGGGCCGGTGGGTGCGTGGTGATGCGCGCGTGGATGAGTGGAAAAGAGGCTGGAGGAAGTTTGACTGGACCCGAGTCTTGGAGGAACCATGATGGGAAGTTCGGGCGGCGCATGTTTAATATTGTATTTTTAAAAAAAAAAAATTCACGGCAGGAAATGACTAGGGTATCAGCCTTGTAGAATACCACTGATGATGATTACAGCTGCTAGGACCTGCGCTTCGCATTGAAGACCACCTGCCCTTGGACTGAATGTGGGACGGTTGGTGGTGCAAAGAAATAAAACACTCTCATTCCATCAGTGGCCAATTAAAAAAAAAATAGTAACAGATAATAATAAACGAAGGGAACTTCAATAAAAAAAAGCAACATTCGGAAAGCATCGTGGAACGATTTTTGCTCCCGGCAGGGCTTGAACCTGCGGCCTCCGCATCACTAATCTTTATTAGTACGAAGCTCTAACCAACTGAGCTACGGAAGCTCTCCGAGATAATTTGCTCATGCCGCTGCTAATTGGCCTATTTGATGGCTATCATTACGGCCGACTTCAAACGACCGGGGGGAACGATTCAGTAATTCTCACAGTGGTGTGGATTCAAATCTCAATACGACGTCGAGCCAAATGTTCCAAGTTTCAAACACCTTTTTTCGCGAAAATTGCCCAGTCAAGTCCGCAGACACAAAGGACAAGAACAGCCTATATACAGCGACAGCAAAAGTGGACGTCTGCACAGCCTACTGGGACACAAACGTTCAGCCGCCGAAATAAAACACCCTCTTGCCTGGGAATTGGGCGTGGCGGCGGTATTAATCTGCTAGCCTGTAAGATGAGTTTAGCATGTGGAATCATAGACGCTAGCCATATACGCCAGATGCGCTCAATACGGCCAGCTAACGGGGTAAAATGCAGCAGGCGTGATAAATACATATTCATACCTTAGCTATGTGACATTACGTTTCCTCCTAGTCTTTCTTTCTTTTCCTTTTTCCGTCGCCCTCATTCACTCCCAGCCTCCCGGCCTATTCCATTCATACCAAGCTACAACAACAAGCGCGCCAGAATGCCCACTGACAGCCTGTACAGCCTGTAATCTATGAATATGATTCCAAATGGCCCATGTATTATGAAACAGAAACGTCCTTATGCAACGCCAGGACCATCGGAAAATGCAGGACAAAGCGCAATATGTCTTGGCTGCTGACGCTTACTCCTGTCGCGCAAGGGATGTCGGTTCGAAACACAAGCGATTAGCCGTCAGTAGGGGATAACACCTCAATGGTATGCCTATATTCAGGAACTCTGTCTCGGATTAATGCATTGCCTATCATATGATTTTGGCGCTGAGCAGATATTAGAAGACAAAGGTGGCGAACGGGATGCTATACCTGCATGACTGCCATGTGATGTGGCGTATCGCATTGTATCAATCAATACTCCTGATTGGGAAATGATGAGCCTTCGGGGGTGCACACTGAAGCAGAAACAGGCGCTTCCGTTTTCTTCTGTTTTAACTCCTCCTTCAGTAGCATTAGTCGCAAGCGCGCGATGTTTCGCTCCTGGACCCCTATCATCCGCTGCATTCTGCACTTCATTAGTTCTGAGATCTGTTGCTCGACATGACTACCATATATCGAACTGAGGAACTGTCCCTGCGAGTGACCTAGTCCTTCTTCAGGAGAAGCGTAGCCAGTGCCGACTTCGTCCTCCTCGACATCCGATTGAGTGGCCTCCTTCGCAATGCTGTTCCCCTGTCTAGTCTCCTCTTGACAGGATTTTCGCGTTTGTGTATTTTCACGGGCAGTTGTATTTCCGGAAATTATTGCCGAATCGTTTAGAAGAATATTGGAGTGCTCGTCCGCCTGTGTTCCAGAACTTTCCGGCTCCCCAATCGACTCCCAGAAGACATCTTCAAAGTCTGCATAGAGTTCATTAAAACACCGAAAGGTTTGTTTGAAGTTTCTACAACATTCTTTAAAGTCTTTAAAGCGCTCTCCAGAGTCTTCAAAGTATTCTTCAAAGTCTCCAAAGCGTTCTTCAAAGTCTAGCTTCGACCGACCATTCTTTGGGTTCGCGACCTCATCGAGTTGTCGAATTGGTGCATCCTGTATATACTTTAGAACACTTGGCACCAAAACCAGCAGTAAACCAAGAGCCATGGCAACAATATACACAACAAGAATGACAAGAAAGTTGCCTCCGCCCTGAGAAGCATCTACTGTGCCAGAGGCAGGAGCTTCCGGATTCGAAGCCCAATAGGACACTAAATATACTCCGATCCCAATAAGAAACGCTCCCGAGGACCAAACCGATAATACGGCCGGAATTTTCATCATAAAAGCAGCATGGAACGACACGTTCTTCCAACGCATGCTTTTCGTCAGTTCCTTGGCCCTCACCTCGCGGTCCGGGCAGTTCGTGCCGCAAGTCGCTTCACCACCTTGTTCATGCTTGAGACTGCGAGTCGAGTCTTCGCCGACCAGTCTGTCAACTTCCGCGGAGGTCCCTCGTTTGTCGGCGGGTCTGCCAAACCATTTCTTCAGGTCAGAAGGCTCCAGAAGGCTGTCAACATGCCGGTGTAAAACAAATGCCAGGAAGGTGGACAGCGTGCCAGTCGTCAGGCTGAAGGCGAGGGCTGCCGCGGCTACCCAATGTAGGAGAATCAGATTGTGAAGCGACAGTCCCAAGAGAGACAATTGTGCCACGGAGCATGCCTGTTTTGCAGAATCGCATGTCAGCCCATGTAGAAGAAGAAAAGGAAACAACGACAGCAGAGGGGAACAAGATACACATACAGGACCGCAAAGCGTAATACAGTGATCAGATATAGATTCCTTTAGACTCATCGCCTTCTCTGCAGCTAGGGCGCCATCGACAGGCGGATCGAGTATTTCTCGCTGGATACGATCAAGTCCATGGCGAACATCAGGGAAAATGAAAACCAGGAGTATCGCACGAAACGCGCCGTAGTCACGTTTAAATTCCAAGAAGGAGCGACGTACGGACCGCGGGGAAAGCCCTCTCAGTATGCGTTTCCAGCTCAGAAACCACGATATTAGGCCACCAATACCCTGGAAAATTTGGGAAATAGTGACAACATTCCCCATGGCGGAAGTGAATGAAGGATTCGAATGTGACAGATGGGGTCGAACGACAAACAGATGGTTGAGTGGCTTGATGTTGAAGATGCAAGGTAAACTTTGGCACGAGAATCAGACGTTCTCCATCCCTCCATACCCACCGGTGCTGACCAGCTGGCAACCAGCGGCCTTCTTTCTTTCTCTTTTTTTAATATGATACGGAGCGCTGGTCGCTAGATCATGCCTGCCGTGAGAAACGTTTAGCCTGAGCGAAAGGAAACAAATCCAGAATCGCACCAGACGGCACTTGTGCAAGAACAGGGTGCAGTGCAACTCCAATGTTCTGTGCTGGAGAACAAAATCAACAATGACCCATGGAGATACATCAAATGTTCAGATCCTATCAACTTTAACGGCCGTCCGCAGTCAATCATGGCGAGCCTCGTCAAAAACTGCCGCTGACAACTTGGATACGGCTCATCAATTAAGAGGCTTGAACCTCCTTCCAGACAATCACACAGGATACTCAAAATGTCAGCTGCAGCAAAAGTACACCCCAGTCGTCTCAATTACATCCTAAAACAAATACACAGGGCTCTATTTCTTGTCCTTTTTTGTTTTACGCCAAGCAATGCCCAACTCATTAGATGTATGTGCTCCTCTCTGCAATCCCATTATACATGACCCCTTCAGTCTGCTATTTTATACTAATACAACTCACACAAAGTAATACCGGGGTATCTTCGTCGTAGTATTGCTTTCTGCGCTTCGTTCGATAAGTGATACATGGTATCAAGTAACAAGATTAATGAAAAGCGGATGCTCTCCGTGGTAGCGCAACATCCACATCCAAGAATGAATCGCGTCAACCTCTTACGCTTAATTAGTGATGCACCCTCTTGGCATCTCAACGAACAATCGTCCCTCGCCGTCCTCTCTCGCGGTCTTTTCGTCCATCTGCGCCCGTCAAGCGCATCCAATCTTCCCACTCTTTGCTCATTTCCATCAAGACTGAGCCCATGACCGTTGCGCTGGCCATCAAACCGTGTCCTTCGCCTTCCAAAACACGCACTTCGCAGCGACGCATCGTCTTGCCGAGCCATTTGACATTTTCAACGGGTACGCGCGTGTCTCTGCTGCCATGATGAATGACCACGGGCCGTGTGATGTCGACGTAGCGAAATCCAATCGTGTGTCTTCTCTCCAGACACACCAAAAGGTCAACGGCGGGATTGGCTCCTGTAGTTGCCAGCTCCCAAATAGCGTGAGTAAGGCGCGTGTCGTACGTCATTTGTCGTTCCTTGTCTGTCATGATATCAAGTGTAGATTCGGCCATTACCGAGCCTCCATTCACACCATTACCCCCAACTGGCTGAATTTGGTCCATATGCTCGCTCATGTTAGGAGAGTCAAACCCATTCTCCGCTTGCCCTCCTTCTAGCTTGTCTTTTCCTTGAGCGGTGCTGTTGAGGTTCTCCTTGTCGTTCATCTGCATGGCATTGCGATTACCAGTGTTGTTGTCTTTGCCGTGAGTATTTGACTTGCGTTTAGCGCGACGTGGATTCTTGGGCAAAGAGCTCGTGATGGAACTACTTGTTGCCGTCATGAAGCTACTATTAGCCGCCTTCAGGAGAGGTGTTGGCAGAGCACGCAAAATCTTTTGCGATGTGGGAATGGCATTAGTCGGGGGCAGCGTTTGAGATCCACCAAACACATTCATCTGAGATGGGGGAATCCATGGCGCCAAGAGATGAATTCGTCCGCGGATATGCTGGGGCATTCGCAATGCCGTTGCAAGAGCATAAATTGCGCCTGCCGAATGAGCAAGAATCGAGAACTTGGTAATCTTTAACGCTTGGCAAATGGCATAAACATCATCTGCGCCAGTCAATAATTGAACCTCTCTTCTATCACACAAGTGAGTAGGATACGTACCAGGCCAGCTCAAAGGAGTCGTTGTTCCATCGGCATAGGGCTCACTATCACCAACTCCGGGCCGGTCAGGTGTAATGAGTCGAAGTTTCAAAGTCAATGCCAGCTCATCGTAAAATGCGGTGATGTATCTTGTCAAGCCCATCCCAACACAGCAGAAAACTGCTGATCCATTCGCATCGCCGACTTCTGAGAAGGAAATGACTCGACCTGTCTGAGGGTGTCGAATCTTTTGAGACAGACGTGGGGAACAGAGGTACGATTCAACAGCATCGTCCACTGAATCTGCGGATCCGGGTCGTTCGTAACCGGCAGGATAGGCCTGCTGCTGAGCCTGTTGCGCGGGTTCGGGCGAGGCAGCCGCACTGGATCTAGATTCACTTCGAGGGCTAAGGGGGCCTGACAACCGCTTCAGACGCGAACTACTGCGCTTCACTCGCAGGGCCTCTTTCGGGGCAGGACTTAGCCGGCCAGATAGTCGACTGCTGCTACGTTCAGCGCTGTGGCTTTCCCGTCGTCTCTGCGAGACTGCGGGAAACGGCGCAGCTCCCTCATCATTGTAATTCACAGCTTCCATATTCAAATCTGGGAGAGGCTGAGGAGCTCTTGATGCCGACACGGGGGACGCTGGGCATTCTTCTGGACCGAGCAAAAAAGATTTTCCTTGGGTACCCGTCTCTGAGCCCGTACGAGTATGCTGCTGCTGCTGTTGCGGCGACTGCGGCGGCACATCAGAAGCGACGTGTTCTTCAGTCTCTGGTATGGCTATTGATGCCGGGGTATCACCATCTCGTTTGGACCGACGTGCGCTCGTGCGTTTTTGATGAGTTCGTGACTTTCTTAGGCTCGAGTCTCGCGCGGGAATAGGCTGCGGGCTATCTAACTTCTTTGGCTCATTCAGTCCCGGGCTGTCACTATGAGAGCCAGGCTCTTCGTTGATGACTGTCTCGGCGAGGGAAGGGTCTGGTCGGGCCCCGTTGTTCATGGTGCTGTTAGGGGTCCCTCTGCCGGATTCGCTTTGACTGCCGGACCTCCTTGGCAATCGTTTTCTTTCGAATTCTCTTTCACGGAGACGCTCCTTGGAGCTCATGTACATCAGTCCCTTTGTGCTCCGGCCGGTCTTTTTTCCCCAGCTGTCGTGCGATCGATGGTGTTTCAGCTCCGGGGTTGGCGCGGATCCACGTTCTATGGACAGGTTGCCTATGCTGTGAGTATCGTCATTCTTGGATGTAGCGGACGCCGGGGAGGATGGACGCGAGGCCACGCTGTTGCTGCGAATAAATGAACGAAGACCAGATCCGCTCTCGCGGCTGGTACTCCGGGTCGAGGGGCTCTTGGGACCCGTCAATGGCGAATATCCGCTGGTTGGCTTCGAGGTGCGAACAATAGGGGGACTCGCTGCTAGGTTGTCAAGTGACGTAGGGTCTTGAGTAGGTTCCTCGGGCTCGGAGCGAGTATAGGCACCGTAATCGACGCCAAAGCTGCCAGAGCTGGGGCTGACGGGACTCGTGGGCAAGGCGAAGTTGACGGCGGCTGGATGCGATTCAAAGTGGCTGCTGGTGGGTTGTGAGATGGCGCTGAGGCTGGTGATGAGGTTGGATATTACCTCGGGAGAGGCGGGAGGGATGACTGGGCGCGCGGTGCGCTGGGGCGATTGTCGACGAGAATTGCGAGAAGGGCGAGGCTGTAGATCGCGGGCTTCTCTCTGAGAAACGTGGATATGGTGGCGGTTTGGGATAGGGGGCACGTTATCGTCGGCAGTGGCATCGAACTGGAGATCCATTGTCACGTCGGTCGACCTTGGCTAGGAGCCACAACTAGAAAGGTCAAAATGGTGGATATGCAAGCCGTCTCAGGAGAAACGCCAGCAGCCGGGAGTCAACAGCCCGGCCTTGGTGCCCCGTGTTTGCCAGCGGTGGAAGATGTCAGGTGTCGGCGGTACTGAGCACGGAGGATGGAGTATTAGGGAGGAGGATGCTCCGTACTTTGTCCTCCATTGTAAGTTCTGTCCCCCTTGTTTCCCCCTGGTGTCCCCTTGCATCCGTTTGGGTCGACGGTCAATTGGTCAATGGCCAAGAGGTCAGTGACCCAGTGAGGCGGTGGGCATTTTCTGCAGTGCCGAGTGCAACCCCAACTCGAGAGCGTCTACCGTCTAGCGTCGTCGGCCGCCGTGTCGTCTGTGCTTGGCTCCTTGGCTCCAACGTAGGCGGCCTGGCGATTGAAGATTGACTAAAAACGGTGCTCAACAAGTCATCAAAGGCGGATCCACGGGAGGCTCCAGCGCGGGTCGAGTCCTCCGTAAGTTGTGGATGTGCTTCTGGAGTTGGTCTTGGGGGTCAGATCGCCCTAGGACAATTTCAATTTGCCCATGCCCAGGATAGGCAACGGTGCCCGCCCTGCGTTCAAGCCTTGGGGGCCAGGTGGATTTCAGCGACGGCAGGCGGGCCTCTGCCCTCACAATCTCTGCTTGCTGGAGCTGCAACCGATGATACTCGGTACAGTCTGAAGGTCGGGCTGAAGGCGGATTCATGGTCATGCTTTCAATGGGTCTGAGCAACGCCGACATGGAGGCAGAAAACCCAGGCGAATACGGAGTCGGAAGTGCGGAGTCCTTGTAACCCGGAAGGAGCGACCAGACACTGAAGCAAACATTCGAGTCTAGAGGAGAGTGGTTACTCCGTACCCGACATTTCAGTCAATACAATCCGAGCTTGACATGCACCGGCATGATGCCCGGGTTGCCAGCGAGGTTTCACAGAGATTGACCCGATGGATCCAGATCCAGTTGTAATACTCCTTCTCGAACCAACAGGTGCTTCATGATACACCTTGCTGCAGCTCCAACGCGCCCGAGATGGCAGCATCTGGCACACCCAGCTTCCGGTGGAGTTTACGAACCAACCACCGCAGACGCTCCGTCAAATATCGTGGGTACATGGACAAGGCCCCGGTCAACACCCTCTGCAAGGCGACATGATGAGTCTGGTGCTGATTATGCATCCGTGCTCCGTACCCCAGTGTCCTGTTGGCAAAGGGCAATGGCAAGATCCTCGCTGCTGCAACGTCATGATGCCAAAAGCGGCTTCAAATGGAGCGACAGGAAGGAGCGCCCAGCCAAAGGCTCTGCGCCACACTTCCCCAGATGCCAAAAACCTGTTTGCCGCGGCTCCCACCTCCACCAAGCCGCAAATGAAGTGGCTGCGTCACAGACGCATGTTCAAGGCTCAACCTCAATCTTCAAAAGCCCTGCGCACCTTGTGCAAGACGGGCAGCATTCGTCATATATTCTCCTTTCTTCTCTTCTTTTTCATGCCTCTTCACTAATCGTCCGTCAAGACAATACAACGCGCGCCCTAGCGTGCAACCATCGCCCACAATGCTGGACCTGCTCCTCTCCATTCCCATCCTCTCCTACGTCTTCTTTCCCACCACTGGGGCGTCGATATCCACGTCGGTAAACATCATCTTCTTCTACATGACCTGGACCAGCCTGGTGTTTTCTCACCCAGCTCTCGAACTACATTTGTCCGGCGTCCTCGTCATCCGCGTCATCTTCTGGCTCATCCCCTCCCTCGTCTTCCTCCTAGTCGACGTCGGCGTGCCCAGTCTCGCCGAGGGCTTCAAGCACGGCGGGCGCAGCTCCTTGCCCACCCGGGATGCGCGCAAGCTGGGAAAGATGCTGGGGCTGGCTTTGCTCAACGTCCTTCTTTGTCTGGCCTTCGAGGCCGCCATCAGTGTGGGATACACGCTGCTCTTCAAGCGGCACGTGTTCAAGATGAGCACGACGCTCCCGCTCCCTTGGACCCTCTTCAAGCACTGCGTCTTTATACTGACCTCGCGCGAGCTTCTCAACTTTTACATTCACCGGTACGCGCTACACGGTTCCTCCTGGCTAGCAAAGAAGCACATGGCATATGCCCACGCCGGCGCCGGCGCACCATTCAGTTTGCAAGTCTTTGCCGATTATCCCGTCGCAACTCTGCTGCACCGATCGCTGCCCGCGCTTCTCCCTTCCATGCTTATCCGCACTCATCTGCTCACGTACTTCCTGGTCCTCATTATCACGTCCATTGAAGAGACGCTGGCCATGTCCGGGTACACGGTCATTCCGGGCATCGTCATGAGCGGCATCACGCAGCGGACAGCAATCCACTACGCAAACAAAGGGACATCCAATTTTGGCGCCTACGGCATCATAGACTGGGTGCACGGCACGAACCAGGGGCGTGGGGTCCTGGAAGATGTACGCAAAGAAGCAGACAAGCACCAGGCTCAGGAGAAATCGGCAGACAAGGTGGACGAGGGAACCAAGGCCATACAGGATAGTGTGGACTCGCTGAAGAAACGACTACGATCTATGAACGATAAGTGAAACGAAAACATGGGGGGCGGATTATCTGGGAAGGGGGGAACAGAAAGAAAACACGGAGGGATTGGGTGGTACTTTTTTGTCTACGAGTAATGTAACAAAACAGAAAATGTGTAATGATGCGCTAGATACCCAGTCACAGTTTTTGCATAATGCAGATCACCATAACTGAATCAATATGTCGTGTAACCAATATCTATCATTGTGATGTCGCCATCCAACGCCAGGGGGCAAAATCATGTCATGTCGTGTCTATGAGCCCAATGCCGGCATCTAACCAAGGTGATCAATACCATGTATACCCATTGCCCATGCCCATTTAAAAATCACACCCAGTCATTCTTCTTCTTAAACCACTTCAACGTCTCCAGCCCGCTCTGCACGCGCATGCCAACTCTTGCATCGAGCACAAACGTCTCCCACGCCTTTACTTTTTCCAGATGCTCCTTACACTGATTCGCCTTTTGACGCCGAAAACTCGCCACCTCGTCTGCTGTCCCCCCCGGCGGATTGCAGCATTGCGTCCACGCAATCACGCCCAGTTCGTACGTGGCCACGGGCAGGACGTAGTCGTCCTTGTGGCCGCCTTTAAACACCGCCCTGCAAGCGCAGAATATTTATTAGCCGAATTGTTCTCCGCCTGTTCCTTTGGTAAATGCCCCACCGTGGGAATCAAAAACTTGAAAAAAAAAAAAAAAAAAAAAAAAAAAAAAAAAAAAAAAAAAAAAAAAAAAAAAAAAAAAAAAAAAAAAAAAAAAAAAAAAAAAAAAAAAAAAAAAAAAAAAAAAAAAAAACTCACCTATCGTGCGCCAAGACATTGTCCTCGAGAATGTTTGCGGCATCGTCCATCTTCCCCTGTGCTTGTAAGAGCGCCGCCATGCCAATCGCCCAAACCGCCACATCGTCCTTCTCCTGCCGCAATGCACTCACGACGTCTGCGCCGGCGGTACACCTCTCCCACTTGAGATGGGCCATGGCCCCGTCCAGCTGCTCCTCCGACATGCGCTTCTGCCCGTTCCAAAAGTAGCAAACCTCCATGGCGGGCGAGGGCCCAATGGCGTCGGCCAGGTCGACGCTCAGCGCCTTGGCCTGCCCTTCCCACTTTTGCACCTTGCGCTGCAGGAAGGTCTCGAGGGGTAGCTGGCGGGCCATAAGGCGCTGCTTGCCAGAGACCTGCGGCGCCTTGCGGAAGTACTCGTGCGTCTTGGCCTTGTGCCTCCTTGCCTCCGTGCTGTCGCCGGCGTGGTGGGCATCGCGGTACAGCTCGAGGGACGCGCAGCCGGCCATGTAGTAGTACATGCCGGGGCTCCAGTCGCTGATTTCGAGGCAGCGCAGGAAGGTGTCGCGCATGAGGTCCCATTTCTGCAGGATCATGGCGTTGATGGCGAGCTCGAAGTCGTTGACGGCCGTGATCTGCTTCATGGTGGACTCTTTGCCGGTGGACAGCAGGTCGATTGCCCTTTCGACATTCTTGTCGTTGGCGTGGAGGCGGGACTCCTCAACTCGCCACATGCGCGAGTCTGGGTAGCGGGCGCGCAGGTCGGCAAGGAGCTTTCTGCACTTGTCGCGCGGAGGGCCGACGGACTCGGCGTCTTGGTCGTAGTCGCTGGCGCTGGGGAGGATGTCGACGGTGCCCAGGAGGCCGTTGTAGTAGGCTAGCAGCATCATGCCTGCGAGAGCGCCGTTGATGTTCTCGTGGGCGGCCGAGCGCCAGAGCATGTGGACGCCGCGGACCCTGTCACCGTGGAAGCCGACGACGGAGAGAATCCGCGAGAATGCGGGCGGCACCAGGCTCAGGATGAGCAAGATGAGCCCAAAGCACATGTTGGTGCCGGAGTGGATGAAGGCGTCCACGGGATCCGTCACTTCCAACTCGGTCTCAAAGTGAGCAGACTGCAGGTTGAGGGGCGTCACTGGTCGGGAACTGTCGTAGTCTGCATCTCCAGGAGGCTGATCCGGAATATCCGAGTGCTTCGACAATGACGCATTGTGCTTGTCCCCGTTTGAAGTCTGCAACCTAGGTGTAGACGAGCGTGAGCTGGCCGCCTCGCCCTTGACACCATTGCTCAAGGCGGCCTTCTGGGCGGCCGCAGCCTTGGCCTCGACGGCTGCTATGCCATCGAGAATGATAAAGGCCTTTCGCAACTTGTAAAAGCTCTTCATGGCCTCGACAATGCTCTCGTTGAGCACGCCCACGACAGCACTCATAAGCTGCGTCTCGGCGCGAACGAGCTCATACTCGGTCCCGGGAGGATACACCCTGCTCGCGGCGTGCCGGGGAACGGCATGCCGTTGGGCCTTTTTGTAATCGGCCCAGGCCCTTGTCTCGCAATCGGCCAGCTTGGCGGTCGTCTGGGTCATGACCTCCTTCTCGAAGCCGAGGATGGAGCGCATGAAAAACGTCACGGCGGCGCCGAGGCTGTGAAACGACGACTCGCCCTTCTCCAGGCCTTGCCAGGCGCCGTCAATGTCGTCGTTCATGATGAGCTTGGTCCATCTCAGCGCGTCAGCGAGGTTCTCTCGCTCCCTTGCCGCGAGGGTTTCGGCCTTGAGCGAGTCGGCGCTGGAGTTGGTGCTGCGGAACCATCCGCCGAGGAGGCTCATTGTGACGTGCAACCCGCCGGCTGCGGTTCGTGTGATGTGCTGCGACGTGACGCAGTCTCGTATTCTTGACAAGAGGTGCTCCGGAGTACTGGTATATAGACGCGGGCTCAGCCGTAGATAAGCCACTGTACCACAGCAAGTCGGAGTTAGAGTCAGTCAACTGCTGGGAAGTGCGACGAGTTGGAGCGCTCGAGGCCGAAATTGAGACACCAGGCACCAGACAGGGACCGACGGATCCGTGAACGCGCGGCGTAGAACAGCCGTATACTTCCAAACGATGCGCCGTAGTTTGACTGCTTCTTACGGAGTGCCGGCGAGGCCAATTAGTCCGTGGAAAACTGCATTCAAAGCCTCTGGCCGGCAAGGTTGGTGCCAAAGCCCGCCCGGACTTCGGGCAACCATGTCGTCATTGGCGGGACGCTGAGAGAAAGAAACATTGAACCCCGTTGGGCCCTGCGACGAGTCAAGCCATGACGGGGAAAAAATAGAAATAGCTCAGCACTAAGGCCAGGATCGTCTTTTGGTGAGTTACATGACCGATTGTCCGGTTGGCGAACGGTGACAGCTCTTACGTCAGCACGTGAGGGGATCAATGATGCACGCAACAATATCCTCCCCCACCTAGAGGGGAAACTATCTTGTTCCGTGGCTGGAGTCACTTGACTGTGTCTGGTTGTGCAGAGAGAATAGCTTCAAAGAAAAGGTAAAAGGGGGAGAGAAAAAAAGACAAAAGAGAAAATCATGGCGGAATCAAGTCATCAAGCAGTGTTTTTGTGCAACTCGGCCGTTGCATCTGCACGCCGCGGAAGCACGTTAGTAGTATTCATCATCTCACACCAGTTGCAAGCCATCTCATCATTATGCATAATCCAAACTAAGTATTTACACTCCGTAAAGAGAAAAAAGCCTCACAAAGAAGCTAAATAACACTACACATGTGTATTCTCCGAAGCCCGTCTACCATCCTCATTGCCATTTCTCCCCAGCCACCACCTGCCTACCCTACAACAAGACCGGACGCCGCATTCTTCCGCCCCGGCCAACACACGAGCTCCCCAAGCTCGCCATCTACCGGAGACCATTCTCCCACCATCTCGAACAAACACTTAGCACCGCCAACCGTCCTTCCTCCATCACAATCCATACATCTCTCACAAACAGAACCCCTCGTCTCACCCCAAACCCAGTACCCAAAAATGGCTTCAGACGCCAAGCCCGAAACCCAGCCCACCGACGAGAAGAAGCCAGAGCAGAAGACCACGGCGCTAGGCGAGGACGACGAATTCGAGGACTTCCCAGTCGATGGTACACATAACCCCCTCCCCCCCCGACACCACTCTTTCGAACCAAAAAAACGTGGTCCACAATGAGGGAAGCTGACCAAAACCACCAGATTGGCCAGAGGACCAGACCGAGGCCGCCCAGGGAAACGGCGAGACAAAACACCTGTGGGAGGAAAGCTGGGACGATGACGACATGACGGATGATTTCTCCCTGCAGTTGAAGTGAGTGTTGCGCCTCACGCGGCCACCTACCTGATAACGCAAGTTTTCTTCATGGTTCATGCGAAACTAACCTGCGCAGGGAGGAACTCAAGAAAGTCGAAGCCTCGAAGCGGAGATAGGAATGGGCACATAGAGTGGTATAGATGGTTATGAATAAATGCTATGAACTATACTGCTGGAGCTGATACGTGTGTGCGTGCCTTCGTGCCTGCGTGCATGCGGTGCATGGGCTGGCGGGCACTGACTTGTGTTGACGCGCGCACCATTTTCACCCTGACAGACGAGTGCGATTACATTGCGATATTTACGTTTTCTAACTATAAAAGCGACTGTCTTGATCGATCTTGTCCGTCAATTTACCCTCAGCTACCATGTCTTGTTGTTTTATAATATCTCGCGATTCCCTAGTGGATTCGGGTTCTGGTGTTTACTTACTCGAGAGAGCAACAACGCCAGGGAGCTCCTTGCCCTCGAGCAATTCCAGACTGGCACCACCACCGGTAGACACGTGGCTGAGCTTGTCCTCGACACCGTACTTGGCAGCAACGGTAGCGGTATCGCCACCGCCGATAATGACAATCTTGCCGTTCTCGCAGCCCTTGACGGCAGCGTCGAGGATGGCCTTGGTGCCGCTGGCAAACTTGTCAAACTCAAAGACACCGGCGGGGCCGTTCCACAAGATGGTCTTGGCCTCGTCGACGGCCTCCTTGAAGAGCGCAGAAGACTTCTCGCCGCAGTCGAGACCCATCCAGCCATCGGGGATACCTTTGTCATCGGTGGCGTAGCCAGATTCGGCATCCTTGGAAAACTTGTCGCCGGTGACGAAGTCGACAGGCAGAACAACCTTGACGTTGTTCTTCTTGGCCTTCTCCATGAGGTTCTTGACATTCTTGGAGCCGGCCTCGTCAAACAGCGAGGAGCCAATGGGCATGTCGTTGAGGACCTTTTTGAAGGTGAAGGCCATGCCGCCACCGATAATCAGAGTGTTGACCTTGTCCAGCAAGTTATCAATGAGCTGAATCTTGTCCGAGATCTTGGCACCACCCAGGATAGCCAGGAAGGGACGCTGAGGCGACTCGAGAGCCTTTGCAAAGTAGTCGAGCTCCTTCTTCATAAGGAACCCGGCAGCCTTCTGGGGCAGGTCAACGCCAACCATGGAGGAGTGAGCACGGTGAGCGGTGCCGAAGGCATCATCTATTCAAGTCGCCCGTTAGCTTCATCGTGAAAAAATGTCGCATTTCAAAAAAAAAGTGTGGTAGAATCTCACTGATGTAGACGTCACCAAGAGCAGTCAGGCCCTTGCGGAACTCTTCAACCTTGGCCTTGTCAGCCTTGGTCTTGTTGCCCTCCTTATCCTTGGAGCTGCCCTCCTCCTCAATGTGGAATCGCAAGTTCTCGAGCAGAACAACAGCACCGCCGTCGGCCTTGTTGACAATGGCCTCGACCTCGGGGCCAACGCAGTCGGGAGCAAAGGTGACGCTCTTGCCCAGCAGTTTCTCGAGCTCGGGAACGACGGGCTGCAAGGAGTACTTGGGGTTGGGAGAGCCGTTGGGACGGCCGAGGTGGGACATTAGGATGACGGACTTGGCGCCATGGTCGATGGCATGCTTGATGGTGGGGATGGCACCGACGATGCGCTGGTTGTTGGTGACCTTTTTGTTCTCGTCAAGGGGTACGTTGAAGTCGACCTGTGTACTTGGTGGTTAGTCTGGCAATTGACTTGTGTCTTGTGTGTGCAGTTCCATGTTGCAACCAAGTCGTGGCTGAAAAGCTCCGTTGCCCCCGCCTTCCGCGGGCTCGCGGGGCATTGGGAATTGTCCCAACAACCCGGGCAGATACAGGCCAAGAATAATAATAATACATGAATGAGTAGTAGGTCCTTGGTCTCCAAATCCTCACATTACGACCCCATTCTCATCTTATGAGATGAGCCCCTGCACCCAGACGCGGGGGGGAAACAGCTCCCGAACTCACCCGAATCAGGACCCTCTTGCCCTTGACGTCGACGTCGGTGATGGACAGCTTGCTAGCCAGAGACATGATGGCGTGTGCTCGGGGTACTGTGAAGAAGGCGGAAATACGGGATCGAAGGGACAGTATCGTGGGTTGTAAATTGATTTTCCGTTGGTCAAGCGCACGGAAAACAAGAGGAGGATGCAAAGTACGGTAGATGCGCCAGGTGGGAAAGAAGTTTGAGCTATGGAGGGGTCAAATGGTTGGGAGGAGGGGGGCGTGAAGGGCAAGCAGATGGCGGGGCATTCAGGACCTCTAGCTTCAATGTTGATGCTGGTGGCCCAGCATGACCACCCAACACTGCATTCCCTGTGGGCACATGCAACTAGGCGTCAGAAAAGACATGGTGTAGTCAATCAACTGGTTAGGCTTGATGCTGAGGCAGTTTGTCCTTCCTACCCTGTTTCAACATTGACGTCGGTGGGGTCAACCGGAACTGCTTGGTTGTACATGATGGAGTTGGTCTGGAGCTGGGTTGGAGTGCCGGCTCTGCTGATACTTTGCAGACAGTCTGGTCATAGTCTGGTGCCATTCGAATGTTTGATGTTCTGCCGGGCTTTCACCTTGCCAGCCGTGGCTGAAGCATTTTGCACTCCAGCTCAAGGTTGAGTGAGTGGGACAGTGACGTGATGCAAACGCCGTGCTTGTTTAACCTTGTTGGCGGCATGTGGGCTGTCAAAAATGACTCAATCGCGAGCGATCACGTCCCAAATCACAGTCCATCAACTTGCATCAAGCTAGCATCACTTGATTAGCAACACCAAAGTCGATCCAGGTAAATGCAAGCAAGTTCCATTTTACGTGTAGCAGAACTGCATACAAAGAACTGTACACTACTGCCACCGTTCCAACCGCAGGCGTCTTCCGTGGTCGCCGCCTCACTTCTGTCAAGAAAGCAATATATCCCAACCCTGTAAAAAGATGAGAACCATTTAGGAACCAAAGCGCAATGACCGGAATGCTCCAATGCCAAACTGTCAAAACGCCTGCCCTGAGAGGCACCCAAAACTGTAAATCAAAAGAAACCGAATTTGTATGTGCTATGTGCTGTATAGGCAGTCCAATACCATGATCCATGACCAGATTGATCCACCGCCGGTATGAATACGAGGCGTCATATTGTGGACTGTTTCTGTTTGTCTCTCCCTTTTCACTCATTTGATCCCGTGGCCATGATACATCTAGTCGGAGGCGTTGGTAAGGGACAAGTACGCCGTCCAAGCGATACCGATTGTCGATACGAATGGCTACGCAGCCAGGAGTCAGTACACTGATGATTGGTGTGCCGAAACCGACGCAGTGGTCCATCATTTGGGGATAGAAGCTATTGGAACTTACTAGCTGAAACTGTACCGGCATGAGGCGGAAGTTGACAATCTGCACGGCTGGCCAGACGACATAGTTGGCCTTGAGAGTAGGCACATACATGTCGCGAAGCTTGCCGCCAATGGCGCGTCGTCCGCCGCCTTCGGCAATGGTCATGACGACAAAGAACAGGCCCACACCAAAGGGTGCATACACAAGCTGATCAAACACCACACGCTTCATGGCTGGGCCAAATGCGCTCGTCTTGGTTATGGGAAACGCTCGTTCGAGGAATCGGAACCATTTGAACTGAAGGGGCGCGACGCAAAAACCATAGGCCATGAATCGAGTTAGCCGCTCAAAGTCAAAGGCTGTTGGCAGTGCCTTGCTGTCGGGGATAAAGTCGCGTTCATCAAAGTCTGCACTTTTACGGTTCAGTTCGTGAATCTCGATGGCAAATTCGTCTTTATCGGCGCCGATGCTTTTCCGAGAGGCGCGTGTCCGGATGGCTGTGATGCTCTGGGCAACTGTGTCGGCGACGCCACCGAGGATGGCATTGGTGACCATCATGGTCATGACTATATTTTCGCAAGGGTTAGTCGTGTCGAGAGAATGCAAGAATAGCAAGGCTGCTTGTGGGCGGCATGTGTGCGTACGTGGTCGTTCTTCATAGTATGTGTTGAACCTCGCCGTCAATCGAGCGATGAGGGCCATTTCGATTAAGAAGACGACGGCGTGGAGAATTGGCTGAGAGCAAACGAGTTAGAACCATGGCAATACGAGAAGGACGGGTTCAAGGACAAAATATGTTGATGCAGGCGAGGCTGCATGATGAGGAATGGATGAACGAATGAGGAATGCATTCAATGGCAAGGACGGGCCTGAGTCTGGTTATGCGAGCGAGGACAGGCACAGGAGGCAAAGGCGCATTCACACGACACTTGGGACTTACGATGCGACCGAAGAGATATTTTTCGTTGATGGAGCGGAGAAGCCGCCTCCTGCTGAGTTCCCACGACATGGCAGGCAAGGTTTGCAAAAACGCGAGGGAGAAGGGCGGAGATGGAAGGGGACCGAGATGGGGACCAAGGGTGTTTGGGTGCGTGTGTGGCAGAGCCTTTGTAGATTGAGGGCCAGATTCCCAGAATCGTGTGCCGGGTGGATTCAGTGACTCGACGATTCCCGATCGATGACGACACAGACGCAGACGTTGCTTTCCGACGACGGATTAGACGTCTCTGCGTGTGTGCAAGGTCGAAGGATAAATAAAAAACCAAAGAACAAACAAGAGAGGCGATCCAGGCAGGGACAAAGGCGGGTTGACGAAGCAAAGAGGTTGAGGCGATGGTGATTCAAGGTGGAGGCGGTCAGAAGGACAGGCTGGTTCGTAAGATGAGAGGGAATGGGCACTGCGTCATTTGGGCTTGGTCGGTTCGCGAGGCAGTTGGCGGTACTCGGTAAAGCACGGAGAGCCGACATGCAGCCCTGGAGATGCTCAGTACTCTCTCTGTACTCTGCAGGTATACCAGACATCAAATGGACGTCAAGGAACAGGTCCAGGGTACCAGACGTCAACTGGTATCTAGTACCAGCTTGGGCACGCCAGATGTCGACTGTACAAGCCCACTGAACTCAAACGGTGGCCAGCAAGTACCCACATGCACCAGTAGACGTTGGACAGAACTGACATATTGACATGTAACAGTCCAGTTGCTGACCCGCATCAAGAGGTTCCCTCTGGCGCCTTGCAGACAACCTGTTAGATGTTACTGGATGACACAGCCGCTGGCGCACAGCATTGAAGTTACTTTTCAGCTTTGCAGCCGGAAAGCCTCAAATTGCTTTGCTTGTTGAAAGCCAACTTGCCAAGCCACCAACCCGGTCACCACTCGAGCCGCCAGGCGGATCCACACAGTGACGCAGTGACCAGACACCAGTGACATCAAATGGAGTTGACTAGTGCCGCCTGGCCTCAAACATGAATAAATCAGACGCCTGACTTCTAATCTGGTTCGTAAATACTAGTCGACGGTAATTGAAAGGAACTCCACCAGTGACCTCGCCCTACTTCCTCCCTCTAGGGTTTCAATGTTAAATGCCTCTTGCCAACTACCTAGCAGGTGCAAAGGGTTACCTAGCAGGTGCAAAGGGTCTGTAGTTTTAATACCTATTACTTAGGTACCTGCTTGGCTACAGCGAAACAGCTTTATTGATTCTTGATTGAACATGTTGGACTTGCAAATGGCTTATAATAATTCAAGACTTGTCTTGAACTGAAAGGCTATGCTATTACTAGAACTAGAGGCCCTGCGCGTAGGAACCAGCGACCTATATATATTCTACGGTTCACACCAGCAAATGACATTATACTTATACGCCCTATGGTCTTGTTGGTGGCTTAGTCCTTGGATGTATTGCTACATGGCACCAGGTCTAGTAGAATTTAAAATATGAGAATAGCAGTGCAAAGAGAGCTTCGTTATATTGATAAACCGCATGTGAAGCTGGTAAGCTTGTGCTAGCATCCCAACGACACTTATGGGGCTACGGAGCCTTGGTTTTAAATAATTTAAAGCTAAAGAAAGGAATATCAAAGTTGAAAGGGACAACTAGATGCCGTTGATCTCTGCCGCTGGACCGAGCCAAGGGTCTGGTGCAAACCGAGTCGTCAACTAGACCCTGGCCGGGGGCTCTGCCTCGTGGCCAGCTATGCATTCGTCGTAGCTTGCGAAGCCAAGCCTATCTGTAAATGCCTGAGAACCTACTTTCTGCCAATCCCATTCAATAATCTTGCAAAAGAGCTCCGTCCCACAAGCCCTGTCGACTAGATCGGCACTGAGGGAATGAGAGCCAGATTGCTTGAGGTCAGCGAGACCGGTACAGAGATCATCCCCCCCGCCCCTCCTGTTCAAATATGCTGGGTTTGGACTAGGAAAGTATCTGTGTCTCGCTTTCGTCCCTATGCGGCGCTGGAACCGGAGCTGGAACCGCCGAATGAGATGCATGATGAGTTGGCCCGCGAGCCCCGAGTATTTCGCGATACCCTGCCCAATATCCCATGCGTTCCTTCTGGCCCTCAGTAAATGTTGACGCACAGTCCCTAAAGAAGAAGTTAGAGTTGCGATTGCCATACCGTTGCAGTACAGGAAGAACTCACGAGTAATCCATAAAATTATACATATTGGTTTCTCTCCAGTCACCACAAGCGTAATGGGCCGGCGTGCCATCAGGCAAGCGCCCTCTGACGGCAGAACAACGCCATGTCGGCTGTTCCTGAGGAGAGGTGTCGTCAATGATATCTCCATCGTCGCTGCAGCTGCCTGCAAAGGTGTGCAATAAACCCAGCCAGTGACCGACCTCGTGGGTAGCCGTGTCTCTATTGACCGACCGAGCAACAATGATGCACCCATCGCGTACTAGGTTCCTTTCCGACACGATGACGTTTTTGTGAGTTGTGATGTCCACCGGGTTTCCGTTGACATGGAACGTCACGGGCAAGGTACATGTACCACTGGTAGTCGTCCCTCGATCCTTATCTTCTTCAATGGTTGATACGTAGTAGAGATTCAAGTCTGCGTATGTTCCCTCGCGCAGTTCGTTCTTCATTGCTGCTACGTCTTGGAGGGTAGCCCAGTCTCGGTTTTCCGTGTAGCTGACATTAATCAGAGTAAATGAGATTCCAGAACCGTCAAAATTCCAATTCATGGCTTCTATTGCGTTTTTGATATCCTCCTCCTGCAATGTAGTTTAGTATATAGTAGCATACAACTCAAACAAACGCTCAAACGTACCTCTACATAACCGCCTCGGGCAGTCTTATCATAGTAGACAACATGAGCGAACACGTCAAAGTTGAACTTGTCCCCTGTTTGGCGTCGTGTAAGGGACGAATTAGAGGATTGTAGGAGCTTGGAAAGCTGTAGAAAGTCTGGGCTTGGCGCTTCGTCTGCGCACTCAAGGATTGGTTCTTTTTGGCGTGCATGTATTGCGCTTGATTTGACAATGTTTGCCATTAACATGGCAATGAAGAGAGTGAGAAAGTACATGATGGAAATCAAACGTGCCAAATACTCGTCGACGAATGGGTAAAGTGAAGAGCAAAGTGAAGATGATTGTGAAGAGTCTTGCAAGGCTCATGTCGACGTATAAATACCATTAGAGAACCTGCTTCCCTTGAATCAAAGCGCGCCACTATATCATCATCTTGACTTGATTGCGTGATTCTTCATTCAACCCTACTTGAAGTGATCCTGGGCAAACTTTAACCGACATTCCTTCTATACAGTCGATGTCCTTAAGCCAGGAGGTATCTCATACTGAGCCGAGCATACAGTAAGTCCCCTGTTTTAATAGCTACCTGTGACAAAGCAAGGAGATATATAGCCAGTCGGTGATAACGTAGCCAAGATGGTCGTGCTAGCAGCGGGCCACTGGGCTGGCACGTATAAACAACCAAGCTGATCCAACCGAGCCTCAAACTCCCCACTCATCCTTGTGTGTAGAAACGTAGCTCGGTACAACCGCGGAGGACTATGCAGTAATGTTTCCATCAGTGGATTGACCTCCTCCGCAGTCGGATGTCCTCCCGGATATAGTGTTCGTAATATGAGTCCCGACGCGTATCTTACGAATGCAAACCCCACACTTTTCTTGCCCATTTACTACAAAGCTGCCGAATGATCACATCTCTGTCAACTTAGACACGCGACCGTTTTGGCTCGTGGGCGGCAATAGCAGTCGTACTAGTGCCTTGCGGCCACAGCATTCCGAAAGCATTCGATATCTCAAGTTTCGGTTGTGTGGACAGGGAGAAAGCAGACGGCCCTGAGGAACAAAAGTCACACCCACTGAACACGACAATAACCTGGTCACCACTAAAGTATCAGGGCCACGGAGAGAAGGGAGAGCCAACAGGGCACCGCAAACTCAAAACCCGGACGTCGGGGATATTCGGCCAAGTGCCGCCATTGCTGCATCTTGTTGCCCCATGGTTCAACGGTCAAGCCCAATAACTACTCTGACATGGAGCTCATTTGTTCAAACGTCGTAGTACGTAATTTTGATACTTGTATTATAACCAGGGCAAGCATACATGCATATTATAGAAAGACCGATACGCGCCGCATATCCGCCAGGAGTTGCCGCCCCTTTAGCGAGCGGGATCGGTTAAAAACGCCCACATCCCCTAGAAGTAGCGAGCGGTAGTGAGGTCACGGAATCCACAATGCCCCGGCCAGCAGCCGGTGACCTCGAGTGACATTGATAATAACTGTATCAGGCCTAATAAACGTGTGGTTGTGATGTGTGTAATGTGATTTCTTATAATATAAAAGTATACTAAGACTTTTATTATAATATAAATCGAGTATAAAATCAAGTACTGATATACCAGCTTTTAATTGGCTTCAAATCCCCGTCATGCCCTCGCTGCCGCCTTCGCTGCTTTTAGGGCAAGCAGACTAGCCAAGCGTCTGGTGTCCAGTTTGCAGTTGACCAGACACTTTGCCCGACACTTTTCTACATAATCAATTGACATGTATGAATGTGAGGATTGCGTCGCCCAACTACGCGCCCTCCCTTTGCTGCCCTGCGATACCAAGCCAACTCTGGGGCATCTGGAGGTTTTTATATAAGCGCTGACCAATGGAGAAACGCTACTCATGCTCATACTATAGTTGACCAACGCACTAGCTACAGATTACAAACTGTAATAAGCTCGACATTGGTCACATAGCCTCTTTCGGCAGCTCCGATGTGAGACGAGCTCAACAGAGGCCTCACTGCCACCCCCATATTATGTGCGGCCCCGGGTCAGCTACGGCTATTTACGAACTTTATTACCTTCCTTGTGATATTTGCTATGTAACTAGTTGCTCCGATTCAAGAATATAGTGGATCGCTGGCAGCACAGTCCACGCGGTTTCATTGCCTGTGGAATGCCGACTAGGCCTCCACATTCTCGCATGTCATGATGGGCTGCTTCATGAGTTGATCAGTCCAACCAGTCTCCACTATGTCAACACAGCAATGCAATAATGCGGATCCTTGAATCCTGCCGTGGGAATAATAAGAAGCAGCATTATTGTTGGCAACAAGGATTCGTTAAAATTACCATATCGCTGACATGCCTAACAAACGTCTAACTACTAGTTACAAGAGATGTCGTCTCAGAAGCAAAAGGACGAATGTCGGCTCACCCAGTCGCTTGTACAGATATACTTGTGCTACTAGTGGATGGAGATGAAGCCCAGCTGGCACTCTGGCAAGGCATCGAATATGCCCTGCTTCTAGGAACTGTCGTGTGCAGCAGGAGCATCTCCAGCACCGCCGGCAGCAGCAGCGTCTTCAGTACCGGCAGCAGGTGCGAAAATCTCAGGGTGTTGGGCTATATAATTCGCCAAATAAGCGGCTTCCTCCTCTGGCGTCTGGGGAGGTCTCCAGTTATCCTCATCCACGGGTTGGTTTTCTTGGGCAGGCTTGACATTGTGCTTGTACAAGATGGAAAAGACGGGTGATTCGACAGTCTGCCAATGGGTCTCGTTGGCGGCATCGCCCATGATGGACAGGGCTCGAGCAACAAGCTTGTACCGGCCGGGCGGCGCGTACTGTCCCGGGGCAAAAGCACCGCTCCAGTCAACATGCACTCTCCTACGACGGGCGTAGTGCTGGGGATAGCCGGGCAGCTGGCCGATGGACTTGACACCGGCAAATTCGGTGACTATCGAGTCGGGTACGCAAGCCTGAGATAGATCCGGCTCCGTGGCGTTTGCTCGCCTAGCAAAGCTGGCCAGGCCTCGAGCGCCGACGCTTGCCGTGTTGACAGGAGCAGGCGTCGGGCACATATCGAGCGGCACAATATCGACGCGAACCTGGGGCGAGCCGAGAACGAGTTCAAACGAGGTGGACATGGTTCGACCGCGAATAGCGTCCGGAGAGCTTGTAATTCCCTTGGAAGGCCCAGGCTTCTGTCCCTCTGGCGGATCGCCAAGAATGAATTCTGAGCCGGCCAAAGAGGTCAAATGACTGGCAGGATCGAGGACGGCGGCCGAGCGGAGCGAGCCACCCAGTCCGAGATAGGGAACAGTCAGGTTTGTACCGTCAGACCCCTGGATGCTGACCCAACCGGACCACAGGGGCAGACGCTTGGGATCAAGGCCGCTGGGATCGATAGCTGAGACGTCAACAGTGGCCGACTGACCTGCACCGATGGTGATGGAGGCCTGGCTCAGCTTGATATCGGCTGGGGGGGCGACAGCCTCACCAGCGCCAGGGCGAATTGGGTCGCGCCCGAAAGTGTACAGCGTGGTGGCAGCGAGGTTGGCAAGCTGGTACGTCACCTCGGTCTTGGCCGTATTGTTAATGCGCAGCGCAATCGAGTCAACACGGTTATCAGTATCGTTGAATGTCAGGGCACCAGGTTCGACGAGGGTAGTGGCGTGGGCAGCCTCCCACGCCCTGAGAAGACCACCTCCCTGCTGGGCCACGGTAATCGGACGGCCATCGTCGCTTTGAGGCTCCGCCGTTGACATGATCAGGCTGTTGAGGAGAGCAGGATCGAATGTGCCCCGGACCTCAGCCATGAGGGCGAGGACACCGGCGACAAGAGGCCCGGCAAAAGAGCTGCCCGAGTCGAAGCCGTAGCCGCCGCCCCTCTTGGTCACAGGAACATCCTGGCCGGGCGCACCGATGGTAGGCTTGATGTCCAATTCCCACGTCGGTCCGTTCGCCGAAAGTTTGGCAATGCGGCCCGTCTCAATCCGGACTCGGCCGATTTTCCGTGCCGTGACCGGCTGGCCGGATGCGAGGGCACGGGCCATGGCACGGCCGACGTCTGCTCCGGTAATGCCGACTGCCCTAACTCCATTTGCGTCCTGGGGCCGAATATCGACGACGACCGGGTCGTCTTGCCAAGCAAGGATGTGCGCCGCACCGCGGGCGACGGCGTTTTGCACTCGATCATAATAGTGGCAGTCTTTGGTCTCTGGTGTCTGGCGGATCAAGGCGATGTGGCCGACGAGGTCCTGGGCGAAGCCGGTGCCCGAGTTGCCCGGGGACAACTTGCAGTTTTCCTCGAGCTCCGCCCAGAAGTCGATTCTGGTAGGGACTTCCTTGCCCCTGCTGAGGTCATCGTCGGGCTTGTCGCCAAAGTCGGCATCGACGTCGTGCACCGGACGCCACTCCCCGTCCCAATCGTCCAGCCCCCGGCGGGGCTCAAAGGTAAAGTCAACCGGCTCGGACCTGTTGCCAATCGAGTATTCACCGCGCTGCTCGAGAGCTACGTACGCGCGGCTAAACGAGTTGACAGACGTGACACCGCGGCCGGTGCTGGGATTCATGGCGTAAAAGAGGCCGTTGTCCCGTATGTTGCCCAGGCCGGCGACGCAAGGCACTCCGCTGGCAACGATGCGAGCAGCGACCATGGCAAGCGGTCTCTGAGCCCAGTTCTCGCCCTGGAGACCGATTGACGAGATGATGATTTGCGCGCCGTCTTCTTTGGCCTTGAGCCAACCCGCTATCATGTCGTCCTCACTTCCCTCGGCCTGGCAGTTAAGCACGCGATATGCCATGATAGTTGCGTTTGGCGCCGCGCCCACAAAGCCATCGGCCTTGTTATAGCCGGCCAGAATACCGGCCACAATGGTGCCGTGGCCAGAGCAGTCTATGGGGTCCTTTTTGTCTCCTTCGTTGGAAAAGTTCTCTCCAGTAGCAACCTTGCAACCTGGTCCAAAGCATCCTCCCAGTGCGGGATGTTTGTAGTCGACCTGTTCTGCTTGTTAGCGTCTGCACTCTTCCGAGACTCGGGAGAGGCAAGAGGGTGGGGGTACGTACACCAGTGTCAACAGTAGCAATCTTGATACCACTCCCTAGATATCCCTCCTCGTGCAGCTTGTCGACGTGCGTCATGAGGTGGTTCCAAGGGGACTCGACACGGTCATCGTCGGCTCGACGGCTAAGAGGATGGCGCCGCTTGGCCGTTTTTGACGTCGCCTCAGGCTTCTTGCCCGGCTTCTCTTTCTCTCCCTCGGGGACGTCGGGCTTGTCCTCGGGCTGGTTCTGGGTTGTGGCCTCGGGCGCTTGAGTAATGCTCTGAGCCGGCCACGATGCCCTGACACCCTTCAAATTTTTCAAAAAAGCTTTTCTGTCCCCTACCGTCGTCAATTTAGGTAGTACAGCTGAAACGCCGTTGAAATAATTCGAATTGTAAACGTGGCGCAACGTGCCGCCACTGGCCTCGACAGCCTTGGCCACTGATTCGCGGGCCTCGCTGTTCTCGCACTCGATGATCAAGGCATCGGCGGCGACCTTGGTTGTCGACTCTATTCCATTTTCTGCGGCCCAAGCTGGCGATGCTCGTATCAGGCCGAGCGCCAGAAAAGCTAACCAGGACGAGCAAACCATGGCAGCGGGATAGGTGCCCGTGTAGTGGGGGAACGATTTTACTATAACACAGGTGAAAGAGAATATGGCCAACCGAGCAAGGTTAGGAACGATGGCTGTCTAGAGCATGGCTAAAATGATAATCTCGAGAGGTTACTTTCTCCTCGTTTTATACTCCCGCATGTCGGTGCTTGAAAGGAACGGACTGTGCATTCTCTGCATGCGTACCCATAACCATATTTTCTTGGTTCATGCCGACGTGTATATGGGGCAGCAGCAAAGATTTGGGAATCCAGCGAACGACGTAGTCATGGAATATTGACCATTCGCGCGCAGTGGAAACCAACAGACGATGTTTATGCAACATCGAACAATTTAAGCGTCTATTATTTGCAAGTTACGTCAGCCGTGGTGGCAATTCTCAGGTCACTTGAGTCAAGGCCGTTACGGGATAGGTATAGTAAGGTCCGACTCATAGTTGAGTGCTGATATCAAGAATTGCTATTGGGACAGCAGTGTGTAGGTCCCCAGCTGTCTACTCCACATCGGTAACGACCCGGGTTAATTAATCGTACAAGTAATTTAACAAATATCCACCGGCCCTTAATAAATCAAACTCGGCTCACTCCATAGTGTAATAATTGATACTTTCATGCGGGTTCCCCTTGCAGACGAAGTCGTAAAAGAACAACGCATCAGGATGGAATATCAAGACTGGACGGCAATATCCTGTTCCAGAACACTCCCGTTTACATTCTGTATTGAATCGAGATGAGGGCTGTGTGCTGACCGACCCAGACATGGCGGCGATTCTGTAGAGGTGAGAAGTCTACATTCTAAACAGCAAACGTGCTAACCTAGTATGGATATCTCAACGACGTCTGGTCGTGAGTCAACAGAGACGCGCAACTCTTCTGGAAAGCTGTCACATTCTACCTCCGTTTTGCGACAGAAAAGCCAGCCACTACACAATATAAACTGGTGCCGTCTTCTCTTGCTGTCCATGGTGGCCGTCAAATTGCGCATGACTTGGGCCGTCGAACGACACCGGCCTGCTGTCATTGATGGGCTCAAACTCTGCCTCCTCTCCCAGCCCAGGGGGAGGGAATGCGAGGTTCAGCCCCAGGAACACAACAAAGCCGATAGCTAGACCGACTATGAAGGTGAGATTGTAGAGTCGGATCCAACCCACCCAGCTAGGATCTGTGAAGGCGTCAACAGAGGCGACCAGACCAGCTACCAGGAAAGCACGTTAGCCGCCTTGACATTTGTTGTCTCCTCTCAAACAGTCAACTTACGAAGCATAGGCCACGCGCCCATGAAGAAGGCGACCGGTGCACGCCAATTCAACCCGCCACGGTACCAGTAGATGGAGGAACTGTCTCCGCGATACAGATCGTTGATCTTGAGCTTGCGCTGCCTGACAATATGGTAGTCTGCAAGCATGATGCCGCTGCATCAACTGTTAGACACAATTGTTACTCTAATCCTGTCGTGGACGCTACTCACGTCAAGGGGGCCAAAAAGACGCCAAAACCGCTAAGGACCTGAAGAAATTTGGCAGCAGTGGCGAGAAGTTGCCATGGCCTATTACTCATTAGAAGCCACCTCGTGTAGCGTCACAGGAGGAAGGGGGCGTACTGGATTGCAATGCCAATTACAGCCATGACGGCGGCTCCGCGTCGAATGTTGATGTACTGCGGCCAAAGACCTGCCATGTCCATGCCACAGGACATGGCGTTGAGCACGACGGAAATCTAGGTCAGACTGTGTTAGCCTTGCAACAGGCCCAATAGCAACATGGCCATGCCATGAACTTCTTACAGCAAGTTGGGAAGCAACGAGACCCAATCCACCAAAGAAGACGCCAGCGCGGACACCAGAGTTGGAGCCGTAGTATTCCTGCATGGCGGCAAGTAGGTAAATCGGGTTCCAGATGACCTCGCCACCGAGAATGTCTCGTGCCGCGCTGGTCACGACGATGCCAATGACAGCAGTAACAGTAATGGTCAATGGTGAAGCTATGAGCTGCGAGGGGACCGGTGCCATTTGCTTCGTGGCATACCGAGTCCAATCCGATTGACCCAGAGTCCCTCCGCCCCAAGCTCCCAGGATGGCAGTCAAACTGAACATGAAGGCCCATCCCACGTTGGGAGCGGCGCCGGGCTCGTGGAACATGGCTCCGGCCCCATGGGCCTGGCTTACGGACCTTGTGGTCATGCCAAGTTAGCACAGTTGCTCGCAATAATTGTGCGGAAACCAGCCCGTGTTGGAGATGTGTAACCCTACCATATGAGTAGACCGAAGGCGGTGCAGCAAAAGAGCACGAAGCAGACAGCAAATGGAACCTGTAGTCGTTCGGGACGGATCAAGACTGCCGGTATAAAGGCGCACATCCAGATGATGAGACCAATAAAGTCTTTCGTTTCGAGGTGGGAGCTGGCGGAGAAGTAATTGGGAAGATGCGCGAGGCCTTGCAAACACGGTATTAGAGCGGCACATGGCAAAGTTGCTTTGGGCCAAGAGCAAACTTACCGGGGATGATGGCTCCGATACAAACTCGAGTTGCCTGGCCACCCCAAAATGCCTGCATGCCAAACCACATGGACGCGATGAACACGCGCAGGATAACAGGGACTGTATGCCGGGAGGGTTCTAGTCAGCCTATAACCTGAACATGCCGCGACGGAGGACATGGCCGGTAAACTAACAGTACGATCCTCTCATTCCCCATGAGAACCGGCTGGAAACCGTATAGCCAATGTAGTGTTTGGCACCCATCCAACCACACGCCACGGCGAGAAGACCAGTAATGATGCCACCCACGACCTTTGATTAGGACTGCCAGTTAGTCACAGTCGGTTGCTGATGCAACGTACATGTATGTACTTACAACCGCTGCAATCGCCTGTTGCGGAGTGAGCCCGAATGCCAGCAGCGTGCTTCCGACCGTCCATGCCGAGATGTTGGAACCCGACACGGTCCAGTATGCTGTCGAGATGTGAGTAAAAGGTTCCATCGCGGGGCGGCCATGTGTGTCCTACCCATATACGATATGAAGCCATAGGTCCGTCTTTCACGAGGAATGGGAATCAAATCGCGATTGCACCAAGTGGTGTTGTCATAGTTGGAACCATGGTCCTTGGGACTATTTGCGACGAGCCGAGGTTAGTTCCGACGAATCCGCATCACGGCAACCGGGGCGTGCTATGTAGGTAGGTATCAGAGATTGGCCAACAAACCATTGTAATCGTTCCTTCAGGGACTTGTTTCTTGTTTGGTCCATTGTAAGGGCATAACGGCACGCACTGATGCTGGTCGGGCACTTGTGCGATCATGTGTCTCTGGACAAAGTTTACGATCGGAAAGCGCCCGACGCAAAGACCATGTGGGCAGGGACGCCTGCTTTATATCTGTCTGCGAAGAGTCTGAGTCTGGTGAAACCAACAGGCTGTTGGCTTCGGCGACGACCCCCCCTCCAGCTCATGCCATGGTCATGATGCACGCAGCTCTGGGATTAGATTGGTAGCGCTGCCAGGCTAACCCAGAGGAGTTCATGTATGGAAAGAAAACACTGTGTGAGACCCTGCCATGGAGATTTATCCGCAACCTAGTTTCGAGTCCCTGGCAAGAGGAGCAGAAAGCCTGTTCAGCCCAAATTTGCCATTCCTTCTACGCCCCAGTTTCGTCCCGTGTCGGCCCGCACGTCATGTTCCCTTGCCATGCCGTGCTATCACGAATGGCGTTAGTACGAGACGTTCTGGTCGCGGCGTTGGCTCTTTCTGTCCCGTTGCAGTTCCATCAAGCCACCACGCCGACCTCCCTTGCGCCATTCGAATCGTGAGTGAACCAATGGCTTCGCAACAGATGGAGCCCCCGGAGTAGCCCTACTGGCTCGGCGCGTTTAGGCGTGGACAATCGGCCCACCATCTTTTTTCTCGTGGTGGTATCACGTTGGTAGCGAGTGTCGTGTCTTCCCCCTCCGTGTATAGCAACGAGCCCTCAGTGAGCGGCCAAGGCATCGACTCCCCTTGGAATAACTCTTTTATAGTAACGATGGGACAGAACAACATACTTGTGTCTGCCACGGTTCACTGTCCAAGCTGGTCCTCGGGTGGGTAAGCATCGAGCCATACATAAACTTGTCAAGGTGCCTTGTTGTGTTCCTACTGGGGCTTGTGGATAATGGCACGTCTTGGCAACCATCTTTCCAGCGATGTCCGGAATAATACATATCCTGTCGTTGCATGTTGAACTGTATGTATGTTGCCAAGCTCCTCCCTTTGGCGTAGGATTCAGATGGAACTGCTACGTTGAAGTCTTGAACCTCTGCAATGCAAGACAATCCACGGTCCTTTCGCTTCTCAGGGCTTCACATGGATTAATGTAGGGTCACTTCTGCTCACTCTCTGGCAGCAATAACTAGTCTTTCTGACTCTGTCGATTATTGACCCCTCACTCAAGATGGATATACCCATATGACGCAGACCCGTCGATGGGAGCTGCTCTCAGGCGACCGACTGAATACCTCTGTCGTACGCAACAGTGAGACACTGGATGGCAGATTCCAGACAATCGCAAAACTTGACCCTGGGACCGGCTCTGCCGTGATGTTTTCTGCGTTGAGACTACTGTTTTGGAAGCCTTGGTGCTTGGTACAGTTGTTGTCGGGCTTGACAATTGAGCCATGGAGAAATAACTTCAAACAAGGTCCAACAACAGCGGCGCTTGCGCGCATACCCTCGACATCCAGCTTGGAAGCGTGCCCTTTGGCTCTGACACTACTACTCGCACTTCTCCTCTCTCCCGATTAATCTTGCCAAGCACTAAGAATATTCTTTGTCACCCCGCTATATCGCTGTTAAGATGACGACTTTAGACATAGATACAGCTCAGAGAGTAGAGTTTTAACGCTTACGGCTAATGATGAGCTATCGCTTGAAGGATTATATTTTGGGTAAACGTTCGTTAATTAGTTTTAATCAACACGTGAAAGTAGAATGCACTGATTCTCTTAAATTTATAAGAAATTATGTATTTCAGCTATAATATAAACTATTGGGAACGAGGCTTATATTAGTTCTATTTAAGTTTTTATCATACTATTACACGGTTACACAGGACTACGATCACGGGACCTAGGGCACAACACTCACCGATTTCTTGTATTTATAGAGCTCTTTGGTCTATCCAGGCCTTGAGAAAACCAAGGTCCTTGGATACTAAAGACTGTTGTTAGCTGAATTGAGCTATTGCTCCAAGCCCTTACCGAGCCCTTGTCACACATACTATCTCCCTGGGGCCGTGGGCTGCGGGGACACTAAATGTCGTGTTAATTATAAAGGCAAGCCGAGCTGGTTTCTCCGGCATGTCAACGGGTCACTGAGTCAAGTCCAGCCGGCTGGATATCAAACATAAGAATACTGCAGTGACAGTTAAATAAAGGCAGCCAAGAGGTTCAGGCCGTTCCAACCGGAAGCTGTCTACTGCAAAGCGAGTAATTGCTGACCGCGCGTTCACACAGAGGAGAATGTATCTCATGGCTCCAAGGAAATATTCTTACCCTTGAGTAAGTAAAGCAGTCTCGTTGTGTCATCATCAGGTGTGTTTCAAGTGCTAGAGCACGTGGCAACAGCTCTAGGTCTTGAGCTCCAAATAGAGCACAACCTCACGAACCAGCAGAGTGGCAATGGAACTGGGCTAGAAAATGGAATTCCAAGATGAGCGATCTGCTGTCTAATGAAGCGCTCGAGCTGGAATATACACCGATAACGAGCCCGGTCTCAGGGACACGAGAACCAGTTATATGGGCAATCTTTTCACCACATCTCCTTTGATTGGCTCACTCATATTGACCTACCGCGATGAACTAAATCTTCGAGTGTGGCAAGATGGTTGAGGGAACAAAACCAGACACAAAGTTGAAGGTTATTTGGCAGTCAAGTTCTTCCTAGATCCTTAATCAAAATGTTTTTAAGTCTTGGGCGACCATGAGATACTCTTACGATATTTTTTTTTTTAATACTCGTCAAAGGAATCGATGGATCTGCAAAGAACTCGGCAAGTCGCGCATTCAGAAACTTGGTGAGTAGGGTAGGGCGAAGCGATGCAAGGCGGCGGCAAGATCTGATAAAAGCTAGCCCAAGACACACCAGTTCAATTCCAGTTGTGACATACTGTTCATGTCGGCAGTTCAAGTGCGCCGGAAACATCACGGCCATTGGGTCCATGCGGCTTCCCGCAGCTCCCACAAACGCAATGCGCCCGCCATTGGTCTTATTGCAGATGACCATCAGCCACGCGCAGAGAGCGGTGTAGTTGGTTGTCTGACGCTGGAGCTCCACGCGCGCTGGTGTGTTTTAGTTTTTGCTAAAAGGCCCTGTCTAGGCTCAATGAATGCTCAGAATTGCGTGTCACTTGGGGTTGGTGTGAGATGTGTCATCGGATCAAGTACGAGGCCGCATGTTGGTTGATCGTAAAGACACTTCCCAACCGGGTTTTCATTGCCAGATGATTGCGGCTGGACTAGTACCACCAGTTGACCGTTTTCATCCGCGCTCCATCCTTTTGCTTTGCGTTGCTCATGGTTGGTTCGGCAAACAGAGCCGCCAACGGCAACTTCTCGACGCAGAGGCACACATTCACGGGCGTAACTTGACCCGCGGGACGATTTGCATCTCTGATTTGGAGCGATTGAATGGTCCGCCCTGCTCCAGGGCTGATCCGGCTTAACCGGGGCCCAATCTGAGATGGGCGCGCAGCATCTCCGTCTTGAGTCGTGGCCCTCAACTGTGTACCATCCTTGCCCAGCCACCATCTGTGCCGTCATAGACATCTTCGACGCTGAACAGCACTTCGGCAAAGTCCCGATGTCAATTTGCCTTCTCCTTTCATCATGGTGGTCTGACCTGACGAAGCGCAAATCGTAATCTGCCTTGAATGTTACACCGTCTTCTGGTGTGCCGGATACTTGGAGAGGACAGCCACACTCGCAAGAGGCAATACAACCGTTAAGCTTCCCAAAGCAGAACTCTGATGACATGTACGCAGTGCAATGTACCAATACACTGATATTCAGCCACTCATGCAGCCTTCTTTATGTGGAAATAACCGCCCCCTTGCCCCCTACACTGCCTCTACCCCCTCAGTTACCGTCTCTGTCAAGCATGGACGGCAGTTTTGCTTCTTTCTGTACACTCGGGCATGGTCCGAGTATTTGTTTCGCATGACGTACGTGGGAAACACAATACATGTATCTGCGTATATATTCTGTCCGGGGCATATGAATCAAAGCCGGATGATTTTACCTCCTCTTGTATATACGCAAAACAGCAATTGAACATGGACAGATACGTCTTGCGCAGGCCCCGGACCCATGCGTCGGCAACGGAAGCAAATGCTCCTTGTTGTCAGAGACTTTTCACAAAACCTAACAATCACACCCCTCTCATTCACCGCATAGCCAAATCATACGAGTTGGAATTTCCCTCCCACCAGAAAACCACGGACCACATTGGAGATGCAACACGAAGCAAATCAAGATGGCAAGCTCTAGGCGGCGGCAACGAGAATCACTCGTTTGGCGGTACCTTGGTTGCCACAACCGTGAACCGCATCCCTGATGAGACGTATGACGAATACAGTCGAACCTTTCACATGGTCTTGCTTGACCCCAGCTATCAAGTGTACACTAGTCCCACAGGACATGGTTCGGTGATGTACAAGATTGAGAACGAAACAATGGTCGTTGTTGGCGATCCAATGTGCGGCAAGGATGACCTTGGCTCTCTCCTGGAGGAGATTGAAAAATTCCGAAACTTGCGACATCCAACCAAACTGAAGCTGGCGTTTATGGGTGTCGGCCAGTCTTTTATACAATACGCCGACACCAAGGGCTGGGACTACATTGAGTTTGGCAGCGAACGAGTGGTCAACCCCATGCGCAATGCCGTGTTAGAGAACCAAGCTGGGAAGCGCATGTTGACGCAATGCCAGCATCTTCTAGATCCAAAGCAGGGGCTAAAGATGGGCTTCTACGCACCGAGTATTTCCGGCATCAACTCACATCTGGAACAGCAACTGGAGCAGCTATACGACGACTGGCGGGATGCAAAGGGGGCTAAAAAATCCGGAGATGCCCAAGCATTTATAACCGCGTATGACATCTTTTCGTACCGAAGAAAAACGGCGTTTCTCTACATATCAGACTCCGAGGGCGAAATTGCCGGAATGGCAATGCTGCGTCAGCTGGGAGCCGAGTCTGGATTCTACGTGGACCCGTGTATTGCTTCGGGGTCTGCTCCCAAAGGAGTCACTGAACTCCTCATGGTGTCCGGCATGAGACTGCTGCGACGTGCCGAAATACCATATCTCAGCTTGGGCGTGGAACCCTTTGCTGATCTGGCAACAAGAGGGTTCCTCGCCCGAGCAGCGCGCTCCTTGTACAAGATATTCACAGACCGCGCGTCTGTTACTGGCAAGAAGGCGTACAACGACAAGTTTCGCCCCGACCCTGTTCTCGAGTCAAGCCTTTACGTCGTCTTTCCCAAGGGCAAGAAAAAGGCTCTCTTGCCTAATTTTCCCATTCGAGAGGCCTGGGCAATAATGCAAGTTGCACACATTCAAGCAGATGATGGTTTGAAAAAGCCAGCATGCCCCCAACACCCGCATATCCCGGCCGCAAACGATCTGGCTCATGAAGAAAGGGAAGGGGTTCCTCGTAGGTTTTGGGACAAAGCGCTAGTAGTATAATGTATCCTCTTCCTTTGTAAGTTTCATGTAAAAAGTAGTAACTTTCCTGATGGCAATTTGTATTTATTCGCCGAATAAATTATATGTTTGAAAAAAACTATACCCGGTCCGTGCGCTATGAGATGTATCAATAATCAAAACTTTCGAGCCCATTCCAGTGCGGCAAAAAGATTGTAAAATTACAAAAAAAGTATTATGCTCATCATCATCATCGCCAGGACTAGTCAGCGACGTCACACCAAAACGGCCTTGGTCAGGGCCGTTTCTACGTCGGAGCGACGAAAGCCAGCGGACCTGCCCAGGCATACAGCGTTGTCAAGCAATGCTATGCAAATTAGCGACCAAGTCTCTAAGGATAATTCCAGCTCTTTGAATTGGGCTATACCTGATATCAATTCTTTCGCATTAATATGCGTTTGCCCTCGTTGCATATTAGAGTCACTGGAAGCCGCGGTCCCAGCACTAGCAGCAGCAACAAGTTTGACATTCTTCTCCATGAGGAAGCACTCAAGGTCCTGCATATCAAACCAGTCGCCGTTGAGATCTTTTTGTATATCGGATGAGAAATGTGACAAAGGAACGGATATGGCCGGCCAATGACGCGACCGGTGCGTATAGGGACCTAGTTCTGGCGGCCAGGCGTAATGGGTTCCAGCACCGCCGAGTTGAAAAAAGGGAACCGATTTCCACTGCTTGGCGAGTTCGGTTTTACTAATCTTGGCATGCAGAGCTGCGGCAAAGTAGGCTGTGAGGTTGCTGCGGCCCATGGCTGGATACAAAAGGCGAAACTTTTGTCGAACACCTTCGGCTGATACGGAAGGATTCGTTAGCCGTAAGTATCCGTGATATAGAATCGCCATGTGTAGTTGATCCACGAATGTAGCGCACTGTGAGTGCAAGTCTGTTTCCGAGCCTTCTGTGCCCGGGGGGGTAAGAGGCTGCGGCAGCAAAGAGTGCATATAGCCGATTGTGAGATTTGGGTCCTCCTTATCGGATACTTGGCTTTGGGACTGGCTGGAGCTTGCGTCCCCTTCGTCGTCCACATTGGTCGTTTTGGCTAACCGAAGGCACTTCTCCAAGGTTTCCCGAGTACATTGAGTCAGATGGGCGTGAGGCGCGAGAACGCCAGACTGAAGAAGAGAATCACTAAATGTGGTAATGGTGGTGCTCACGTCTTCAATGGCTTGCTCCAGTTCAGAGACCCGTTTGGTGAGGAAGGAGATTCTGGATTCTTTGCGCAGCCGATAGGCTCGTTGAGCCTCGCGTATCTGTTTCTTCCTTCTCTATACCCGAGACGAGATAGCCAGGTAAGCAAGTTGTCGCACATAAAGACCATACGTCACACGGCCATGGCCACTCACCTCCTTTGGACCTTCCCCATCATCGCTAGCTCGTCTCTTTGACGTGTTGGTTTTACCAGCGGGCGATGCAGTAGATTCATCTTGTAGGATAAATGCGGGTTGCTGAGTATGACCGTCGATGACGCAGTTCAGCGCCTCTGCTGGACCAGCCCCATACAAGCCGGCAGAGTCTTCGTGGTCAACATCGAAATCGAAGGATAGGGATTGGAGAAAAGCACTATCTGTCTGATTGGGTTGGAAATCGTGGGTAGTTGGAACAGGATACTTGCGCGCCGATAGTATCGACATGAGGTGGTTGCCACCAATGTTGATGTCAGTCGTCGGCTCGGATGCCGGCGCTGCATCTCGTGCGGCCATGTCGTTGTTCACGTCCACGCTCGCCGGCGTTTAAGGCGAATGATATTCAGAGGATATTTACGAACGACAAAGTTCTATTGATGAGGGCCAAGGGGCCTCGTGCTCAGACAAGTCACCATTTCAACCTCGGATGTGGCTTCTTGGTCGGTGGGGCGCGGAGGCGTCAACTGGCTGGCTGGTTTGTCATCACAGCCGTTTTGCGTACCGAATCCATCTGCACGTGGGTATCTGACGGCTCAGCCTGTTTATGATGGGAGGAATTTACCGCCATGTTTCGCCGTAAGGCCTTTCTACAGTGGCAGAAAAGAAAATATTACACGGAAAGTGTAGTGACATGTAATGCCTGCAACTTCATACAAATCAGGATATATTTCTCGCGAAAATCATCATCAGACGTGTCAACATGAATCATGGTTCTAAGCACATCGGTGCGTGAGGGTTGGTGTGCGGGAGAGACGTGACGGAGGCCTGGAGCGGCACCTGGGGTGTCGCCTGGCGCCTGGCGCAGAGCTGCATGTGCCATCCACGCCTGGCTCTTTTGCCTTTTGCGACTCCCGAGCCACTTTTCGACGCACACAGCCAAAACAACACCACGCCGCCAGCACCACGAGAAGAGACCCAATCACCACAATCACGATGAAAAGGGCCCTGTTGTCATCGATCCACGACGATACACTGTTGCTACCGCCGCCATTGCCTCCGCCACGGCTCCTCGGCGCGCGACACTCGCCGCTGTAGCAGAGAGATGCTCCGCCAGAGCCGCCGCATGGCGTCCCGTCCAAGAAGTCGGCACCGGTGGCCTGACACGAATCCGAGGCTGTGAGAGCGCAATTCATCTGGCAGCTGTTGCCATCGCATGCCGAAACGCTCCCCCACTGACTCGTCGAGTTGAATAACACCAGGCTGCACTGCATGCCGCGCGACGTGCATTGTCCCGAGGCGCATGTGGTGCCGTTGTTCCCATCGCCACACGACTGTCCATCCGGGAGTCGCACATCCGTTGGGCACGAGGCTGATGACCCGTTGCACACCTCCTCCGGGTCGCAGGGGCCGATGCTCGTTCTGCAAACATTGCCGCTGCTTGATACCTGGCACTGAGATGTACAGCACTCGTCGTTGGACGGGTCGCACACGGCGCCGTCGACGAGCCGGCAGGTTGTCGGATGGCAACATTGACTGTTTGCACCGCAGCCCTCTTCTCCTCCGCAGTCACACTCCTCGCCGGGTTCAACGATGCCGTTGCCACACACGCCGCTCGAAATCGTCGTCACGTTCTCGTTGCCCGATAGGCAGGATGTGCGGATGAGGTTGCGCTCCATGGCCGTGCAGATGGTTGCTATTGTACATGGCGAGAAGTCTGTCATGCTGCTTGTCGCCGCCGGGTTCATTATGAATCTCCCATTGGCGTTGCAAGCACTCTCGCTGAGCGGGCAGCATCGCTCAGAAGAACCAGAGTTGCAGTCTGCGGTGCAGTCATGGACCGCTCCAAAGTTGTGACCGAGTTCGTGTGCCAGGACTTGCCATTCGGATCGGGTCCTAATAACGACATTGGCTCCTGGTGCTCCCCCTGAGCGGCCACTCGCTCCGTTGCACACGGTTCCAATCCACGCGATGCCGACTGTTTGGCCCGACTGGCATGCGCTAAACAGCGACCAGACAGCATTGCCATCCACCCCGACGCCACGTCTCCAGTCGGTGAGGCGCTGGAGTCGACCCGAGATGTCAACTTGACTGCTGCAGCCCAAGTTCCACGGCGTTGAACTTGAACCACTGCCGCTCGGGCAGTTTCGGTCGCTGATGGTCAGGTTTTGCACCCTCAACGAGACGTTGAAGCTCCGTTCGTACACCCCAGACGCAGTATTCACAATCGAAAGCACGTGTTCGCGAAGTTCGTCGGAAGAGTTGAACTGGGCTGTGTAGGAGCAATCCGTGGCAATTCCAAGAAGTGCAATCTGCCGCGAGGTGGGACAATTGGGCGGTGATCGAAGCAGTCCACCGAGATCCAGACCATTCAAGCCGCCGCTTTGGCGTCTCGCCAAGTCTTTGTCGCCAGTGGCCGGGTCCAGGTGAATCTGATTGAAGTCGAGTTCGGAAACGGAGCATGTTGAGTTCTCTTGCTGTCGCTTCCTCAGTTCATGGCCATCATGTGCCTTTTGTGCAGATTCTCTCCATGCCACCAAGTACGGACCTCCGCCTTCAATCGACATGTCCGGTTCCCCGTCAGACCGTGTTTTTCGGTAGGTTGAGTCTGCCACAACATGATATTCGACGCCGTCAATGCTGAATGCGCCCTCTCCCAATTGCTGCCCGTCCCTGACAAAGAACGACATCCTTGCCCATCCTGAAGGCGACAATGTCTCCGATTGTCTACCCCCTTCTTGTTGCAAGAGTGTCGTCCCGCGAAACGCTAGGTGGCTGCCCGCCGGTATAGTATCAACCGACTGTACAGTTCCGTCTGATTCAAGTTGGCGTACAATAACTGGGTACAAGAAAAGATCATCGTTCCGCTGCAGATCCAAGGCGACTTTCTTGGGCTGAGCGTCGCCAATAGAGAATGACATTCTCACATTTTGGGCCGCTGCTCTTGGTATAAAGTCGGAATACTCTACCCCGTCTAGGCGGAACACCTCACGATGGTTGTCTTTGCGGAGTGATTCACCTGTAGGCACAACACTTTGTCAACACAACCATGGACATTCGCCCCGCAAACAAAAAAATTTTTGAAATTGAGGCACAAACCATGGGTATTTCGTATCAGTAACAAGACTAAACCCACAGACGCAAGTGACGGAATGGGTATCTGCATTCTGTTCAACCAGTGGGACGTGAATTGCTGACCCGGTTTGACCGTCTACTAAGGTAAGGTGATCCGTAACATCTTATATATGCTTATTTGGAATCCGGGGCAGATATGGTGTGCCATTGGTGACAGAACGCGCAGCCGCTGACTTGAGACGAGCCTTGGCGGCCAAGACTTTCATAGCCTCCGCGTGACGTCTGCATCTCTACCGGCCAAGTCTTGGGGCGGAAGTAAAGAAACGGAACCTCGGAGATGTGTTTCATGCATGTTAGACATTCGTCTCTCTCTCAGGACTAGATCCTGCTTGCCTACGAGTAGTGAGGGTAGCCTCCGGGCTCATCCTGCAGGGGATCTTGAGGCTCTACGGCCGCAAAGGCTGACATGAATGTTATCTCGTGGATCGAAGCGCATGTAGAAACAGCCGGCTATAGCAACCGCCACTTATGTCCGACCAGGTAGGAGGCTCAAATCACAGAGAAGGCAGTTCAATAGGGCCCTAGCCGCACAAATGTCAATACGCCTCGCCCCCAAGATTTGGAAGAGTAACGGACGAGCCTGACTCGAATTGTCAGCCAAACACATACGCGGCAACTCAGCCACCACCAAACAACTAAGCTTGCATCAAGAAGCCGCCCTCCACAATCTTATTGTAGAAGCTTGGTGAGCCACGCGTCCGTTGCTCAACTCTCACTTGACCGAATCTCTACACTCCGATGGCAATCCACTAATGCCAGTTGTTCCGGCCTTGGCGGAACCACAATATCGGATCAGTCAGTGGAGATGCAAATGGTTCGCAACCAAGATAAGGCCGATAAATCCGGTGCCAAGTACTGTGAGATCTGCCACGGAACGATGCGTGTGTAAGTCGGTGGGTTTCATTCATATAAAGTTTGCTTCCGCGTCTTGGCAGTGCGGGTGCTCTTACAGCTTACAAATGGCTGATGAAAGACGCTCAAGAACGACGTTACGTGTGCAAACTTATGCAAAGTCTTGGCACTATCATCTTTATGAGAATCTCTTTCATGTAGAACATTTGCACAATAGGGTGAACTTTTCTTGATACCGTATTTGTAGTGCGAAAACAGCTACCGGATATTGCACTGCTTGGCAGGTAGAACAGGCCACTCATCCTTTTCTCGACCAAGCCGGCGAGCCAAACCATCAAGTATGGAGAAGAGCTAAATAGCCTTTTCGTGGGCAAATTTTCAAAAACTAGTAGTCGGAGTGGTACCCTTTTCATGCACTCTTCATGCGGGTTGTTTTATCATCTGAGGACTTGTCGCTGCAAGGCACTTATTGCAGGCGCTTTGCACTTGTATCCTTCAAATGCGTCTTAGAACAACCATGTCGTTCATCCATTGGCATTGTATCACTAAACTCCGTACTCTCACCCACTCAACTCTCCGCTCCGCTTGTTTCATGTTGGTCTGAAGTTGTGACACTTGCAGGACTGCGTCGACAAACACCTCGGGCCGCTCAAGCGAAACATGCTCTGTACAGCCCTTGACAACACGGTGCACTCCTGGACCAGTAAGGCACGGATCAGTCGTGCTGCCATCTGTGTATGAAATACACAACAGTCATTTTCAATCAGTCAAGGGCAACAACTGACGACGCTTGGATAGTGGGCTGATGGGCAGCTGCGGCATGAGGGAATGCTCTGCCTCAAATCAGATCCAGCAAAAGTGGCAATTTGGATACCAAATTGCACCCATGAAATTAATCATGTCTTTGCTCGGGCATCTTGCTTTGCACTCCGTCATTGGAGAAAGAAAAGTGGTTGGCCCATGGCTGCGTAACTACGGGGCGATCACACGAAACCCCTGTGATGGCAGGCAGGCTGGAAGGCCGCATGAACGAACGATTGATGGAGGACGGGAAGACATGATGGATAAGTATGACTGTCGATGCTTTCGTACTCGGCAATCCCGGGTCGTAGTACCTGGTTGGGCCAGCCCCTCAAACTCCTGATGTCAATAATTTTATGATGTCCAGCAATTACGTCAAGTCTGCTTGTTCAATCAACAGAGACAGCCTTATTTGACAAGCGGATGGACGACTCATTGTGGCGCGGTCTTGTATGATCTCCCTTGGCTAAGAGGACATGAAAAACTGGCACGGATGTCTGAATCCCATTAGGTTCTGAGCTCCCTTACGAGCGCCCATTGGCCCGACGAACATTTCATGAAGGTAATTTAGCCAGGCATTACCACGAACGCAGTGCCACGCCACTAGTTTTTCCAATTTCCTCTGTCTTGAATAGCCTCTTTACATCTCCTGGAGCTTATTAGAAGCTAAATGCAGATTTTAATTCAGCGAGTCTCAGCCGCTAGGCGTATCTAGTTGATTATGTGTTGCAACCTTGACACCGGATTAATGTGCTCTTTACAATCACATTAACTGCTTTTGTCCAAACTTCCAGATAGCAAGTTCAAGTCATGAGCCATGAGCTTGCTTTCCTTCCTTTCTTCCTCAGCCCTAGTTAATTCGCTAGACCAATCCGTTTTAGGTCTGTACTTTTACCTTAGGACTCTAGTTTGGCTCAAAAGAAGAGTCTGGACTGGGCGATGGGTTTCACTTGACGGCAAGTACCCAAGTGCAAACGTCACCGGCGTGAAGAATTGGAGACCATCTGATTCCATCTCCAATATCATTATTTTAGATGAATAATTACCGATTTGCAGGATTTGCCGGGCATGTTGAATGCCTTTGCCTGAAACTCGCTCAGTTGCATCCTTGGACGCAATGGACTACTGGCAGTGCCATGGTAGACTCCAATATATATCAAAATATTTCAGGACATGGTCTTGAAAGCTGACAAGGTCATGAGGGCCAATGGTGCTTTCAACAGCAAGGACGAGTGGTGATCAGGCGGTGTTGAAGGGATGGGGGCTGCCCCAAAGGCACCCCGAGATTGCAAGCTCTCAAGAAAGTCACAATCTACGCAGCTCCCGTACGTCAACCCCGTGTGGGAGAAGACATTATGGTCACTTCTGACGCTGTCCTGGGCGTCGAGAACCGTGATAGAATGGACAGGATGCTGGACAAATTAAAGGAAGATATCAAGGGCCCCCTAGAACATCTTTCGCAACGCCCCGGCACTGGCGCCGGGACAGCGGGATCCGCATTCAGAGGATAAGAGAACATTAAAACGTCGACTATTTCTCTCCAGGCAACCAGGTGGCCGAGACGTGGAACCCAAGGTCCGCGGAGCTGGTCAAGTATCGCGACGGGTCCTCGGTCAGCACCGCGTTGGGAGCAACACGACTTGCTTCGTATTTCGTCGATAGGCCTTGTCATCTCGATGTGAGCCTCACGACGTCGATCGACCTCGACATGTGCGGAAATAGCCGACAAAGTTCCAACAGGTGAGATTGGCCTGTCCAGCCGACTACGAAAATTGATGAATAAACGAGCAAGTTCAGGGTAGTTCCAACGCCAAGTGGAAAAGCAGCACAGTCCGGGTGGTTCTCTGGGGTTGCACCAACAGCTGCCTTGTCAAAATAAAAAACTTCGTCCAAATCTGTCCCAGAGCCAGTGAACGAATACCTGCCGCGGAACTACCCTCCAAGGTTATTCCAGTGCTTGGCTCGATCTGTATGGGTCGTAAGGAGCTGCCTGGACTGCTCTCCCACACATGGACATGGCATCGTTTATGAGACTCGTTACCTTGACTTGATTGAACTTGTCGTCTAGCATGACTGCAACCCAAATTTTTGAACTGTTTGTCAACGGATACGTAATCTAGGTCATAGACTGCGTAATCTAGGGAGCCCGGCTAGACTAGCTAGCTCAAAACCTTCAATTAGTGCCTTTTCAATTAAAAGGTGGCCTTTTCGAATGTCTTCATTTTCAACTATAAAAAAGGCTTCAATTGCCTAGATAGATGGCTTCACTCCAAGGACCAATTCCACTATTCAATGCAATCCATAGCTTTAAATGGTGATGCTGTTCTAGGCGGCCATCTGGTATAGCTTGAATGGCTTTCATTGTGATGCCAACAGCTTCATCAAGGTGCTCGATAGCCCTATTGCGACAGAATCTGTCTTCTGGGAGGGCCCCAGGGGTATTAAAACGTTTAAACGAGACCGGATGTTTGTCGTTGGTTATCTCAATAGCTTCCCTCGCAACTTGATGGCCTCCTTTATATCCACCATCGCGCCGATGGTCCAGAATATAGTGCCAAGATGGGCGGCAAGGCTTTTAATCGTCCTCCGTGTTCTGAATTATCGTCTATAGTAGCCCAAATGGCGGTGTTCAGAGGCACTGTTTCCCAAGCGTGTATAGACTTATGAGCGAGCTGATTTGGAGGTTATCCAAAAACTTAGCTCGGTTTGGGTCGTTGTCCGGGATAGCTGCTATGGTATCTAATAACACAAATAGCTTTGTCAAGATTAGCTCCTCTCTACATACGGGAGTCTTTGACGCCGAGATGGAGGCCAAGACTGTCTAAGCGTAGTAGTGGCCGCTTTGGATCGTCGTCTGCGGTGCCGGATACTGCCGCTCTACAAGCATGAACAGCATAGCCGATGTCCTCGGGCGCCCTAGTACCCCAGAAGTCTTTGACCGAGTAGGACTCCAAGGACATATAACTGTCCACCCCGGTCTGGATGATCGTCTGGGACGGCCTCCGTGGCTGCCCTAGTGATGCAAATCGCTTCAAACGACCTCGGCCATGGCAACTTCGTGGGAAAGAGTCCAGACACCCTTTAGGGGAACATCAGCCGTCACTACACATGTGGCCAGTTGACACTAGCCACTGGCCCAGGCTGTTCCTCGTCCGTCTGCGTAATCAGATGGAGGCCGGCCAACCGCAACGGCATCAAGGCCCAAGTCGACCGAGGCAGCAGACGTTTTGGTGTAACACGAGTATAACTACAACGCCACTATCGTCCAGCTCGTTTTTTTTTTTTTTTTTTTTTTGGTTTTCGTTACAGCATTGCGTGCCCCAGATCTCAGTGGTCGGTCAAGTTTTGATGGAGCCGAGATATATACCGGTCTCATGAAGACGTCTTCCTCGATAGCATGCAAAGCGTGATGGAATCCCTAAGCGACTCGGCTATAGAAACTATTGCGAATGGGCCCCGTTTGAAACACTAATGGAGTCAAATGTCTTGTTATTGGATTTAATGTAGGGCCAAATCTCTTTTTGTACCTGATAGAATTTGCTATTGTATAAAACAAAGAAAAGATAGAGAGGCAGAATGTTACACGGAAATGGCTGGTTACACAAGGGCTTCGGCCACGAGACCTAGGGCAAAGTCCCTCACCGACTTCTTGTATTTATAGACACCTTTAGTCCCTTAAGGCCTTAAGGAAAACCAAGGACCTTTGATACCAAAGACTGTTATTAGATGAATTGAGCTATTAGCTCCAAGCCCTCCTTGAGCCCTTGTCACACAGAACATGCTTCGTGACATGGAAGCAACTCCTCTTCCTATTGGCAGGTACACCAGTCATCTTTTACCTACTTGGCCTCCTCTGCAAATATTGCCAATTGGCTTGTCCGTAGTCGTCGGAGGCCCGCCTGCCGGTGAGTCAGGAACCTTTGCGTTGCACTTGCCAACCACATTGTCTGGCATTTTACCGTCAATAGCGACAAGGCTCGAGCCACAATCCGCCCCTCGAGCGACGTACATGCTGGCATTGTCCGGATCATAAACAACCATAGACCTGCGCAAAAAGTGACCGCCAGTCCACAGATCTAAGTAACAAAACCAAAAGAGTCAGTGTGAGGTTTCTTCTCCTAGTAGTCAGGGGGGTTTCTCACCAGCAGGGGATTTGCCCGCTTGAACAGCCAATTGACAAGTTTTGCCATTATCAAGTCGGCTCGTAACTAAATCTAAAAGAGGTATCGAAACGGTCGTCTCATCACTCATCTTGAAGTCTATTGAAGCTTTGGCGTCAACAGCATCGCATGGAAACTCCATAATTCGGCCGAGGCGTTTCCAGGCGCCCCCCATCCTCTCCGCAAATTCTTTAGCCACATCCATAGAAACCTGTAAAGCCGGGGCTCCGGAGTCTAAACCCATAGTTAACGTTTTGCCTGAATTGCCCTGTTTGCCCAGCAAGACTGTACTATTAGTAGTACCATTGTTGAAAAGTACAGATTGGACTTGAATAATAAAGCTGTTAAAGATGGGTTAGAATATGTTGGGATGCGTGTGGGGTTTTCTTTTTTATTCTTACTGCTTGTTGTCGCTTGGCTGCATAGCGAACTTCTCAAGGGGACCAGAGAACTTGCTAGTGTCATATCCGCCAAAGGAGAGAGCCCCTTTACCCTTTTCGCGCAGGCTAAAGCTGAAGGCTCGAGACTTGACCAAATTTTTTTCCAAGAGCTTGTCAAGAATAAAATCCTTAACCTTTGGGTTGGGTAGTAAACCCATTATGCCGACATTGCGTCCCAAGCTTGTGTGAGGACTGGACAAATTGCCCACACCGAATTGCATGCTGCCCAACGATGTACCTGATAGCATGGCTTAGTTGAATTTGGAGTTTTGCGACGGGGGTCAATAATGCCCTTACCTCCGAAAGACACTTCATCTGTAACCAGGGCATAATTCACACGCTCCGATCCACCGCCATAAGCAGCCCCATCATCTTTCTTCAAGTCTTGCAGAGAGGTGCTGAGTTTCATGTCAAAATAAGTAGACCCGTTACCCCCGCGGTTATCGCCAGGCTTTACACCTAGTACCCAAAATTTCGACGATCCAGTGTCTGGTTCCACGATGACCTTTTGCGGCGGTTGCCCGATCTCCAAAACGATGCCCACAGACGTGGCTGGTTTAGGTCCTTCATATTTGAAATAGTCAACAGGAGTTGAGATTTCACGCTTCGCAATATCTCTGGCATCGACTTCTCTTGCGATAGGGACCAAAGGTAGGTGCAGGATGCCATTCTGGCCGGCGGCATTCTTTGTGCCCTCTTGGCTATCGACAGGCGCGGCCAACGCCTGAGACGCAAACAACAAGAATAAAGCTTCGAATACACCCATGGTAAGAGAACGAATTTTCAATCTTCCTCAGGCTTCAAAGCTGTAGAGAATCGAATAAAAGGTGCGATTCGAACTCGAGGATTAAATTGCCGGGATCATGGTTGCCTTTTTATGAAATTCTGTTTGCCTGTTGCCGTGTGGCCACTTGGCTTCCACGCAGCACCTAGTATCCTGTCGTTTCAAGCAACCCGTGATAAAGAAGATTGAATGTAATGCTAAGGGGTCGTGCTATTCGTGCTACCAACACTAGCTATTCGTGCAAACTTAAATCGAGTGGTAGTAGCACGACCCATGCTAAGGGAGGAACCATGGTGCCACTGTACAGTCCCCCCCCTAAATATATCTTCATGCGTAATGTGACAGGGTAGCTATAAGTAAGGGGTAGTGCACTATCTGTAATCCATAAATTTCAGCTGGTCAAGTGTTGAGAGGCTTATAAGAATCTATGATAAAAACCTTAACTTATTAACAAATCTCGGGAAATTTTAAGTATTTTTTTATATTTAATTTCCTTTTATGAGACCTTTTTCTATTAGTTATTGGCCCCCTGTCAGGTCACGCATGAAGAAACATGTAGGGGGGGATTGTATGAGTCGTGATGCCATTTGGGGTTAGGCAAGGTTACCACGTTTCAGCACGGCGTGGTTTTAAGCTTCACCTTACTAGTATCAATAAATCAAGAACCATGCCACGGTTGAAAGACTTATAAACCATGAACATGCTGATTTTGTCGGGGTCACCACGGCCGCTCCAATACAAGTAGCATCAAATTAGGTCGCTGAGATGGAGGTTGAGCACACAGTGTACACTCCATGCATTGTAAATCTGCGAGGCGCAGTTGATGTGGTGTGCGTAGTATGCCGAGCGAGTATTTGTCGCGTTACAAGACCCTGATGCCAACGAACGAGTTGTCCTAGGGGTAGGCAAAGCGGCCGAGAATGACTCAACATTGAATCGATTTTATCTAACCTTGGACCCTCCTGGTGCCCTTCGGGGACCCTGCCGGGGGCCGCCTGCGACGAGCTCTGGCCTGTTGTGGCCGCTGTGTGGCCGCTTGGGCCTGCGGCTTCAACAATTGCGAGGTTCACGATGATACACGTGAGTGGCGTAGGCTGTAATTTTCCATTGACCAGTCGCCAATGAGTATCTTGCCGTTGACCAATTAAAGCCCAGGTGACGCTTCTATTATATAATATTGAGGATGCAAAGCGGGAAGCTGTTGCTCGCCCACGTGCCATAAACTCTACACAGCCACCAAATTTATCCCGCTCTGCCTAATCAAATATATTAAAGGGCCGAGCTGCACGCCTATCAACGGCTCCCCACTTCGGGCTCGGCTCGTTGTATATTAAATCCATCTCATAACGTGCCGGTTAATGCGGGCTTGGATTACGAGCGCCAAGATCAACGTAAGCCGCTCCCGCTTCAAGTTTGGTTTCGGACCAGTCATTATATTAATGCCCGGCAGGAGAAGGCCCGCAACTCACGTCAGAACGAGTCAGGCCTAAGGTGGCTTGTTATCTGTGGCTTTGCGCTGTTTCAAAATATCTCGAGTCTCCGGTGTGTAGGGGAGAACAAGAACATGAATAATTTTGCGAAAGCTGTCAGAAATACGGTGGCACAAGATAACTGCGATGGCTGTTCACAATGAGAAGGTAATTGTTGTTCTTCTTTGAAAAGCTTGTTCTTACATAAACTAACCTCTGTCCTTGACCGAGCGCCACAAGCCACAATTTAACAGACAGCTATCCCGCTCGTATCCCGAGAAAGTATTCCACATTCTGACCCCTAGATCTGGCTGGGATCCATAAAGGTTATGCCGACACTATGTTAACAGGCGCTAGCCTTATCAGACGTATTTGGTACATCACGCGACTAAGTCATGAACCAGGTTCAGGCACGGTAATGTGTGGCTTGGCAGGCACAAGTTCTCGTCTTGGCTCCCAAGGTGTATCGACTCTCTCTAGTCCTACCCTCTAATCAACAATGAATGCCCTGCAGCCTGCAATGGAACTATCATCAACGATAAGAAAATGGGCCGGGTGATGCAGCTCCAGGGTGATAGCGCAAACATGTTCAGGGATTCCTCATCGATGAGAAGAAAGGCGTAGAGCTAGACGAGACAGGGCAAGGGCCCATCTATGCGCTAACGGTAAAGGTGCATTTACAGAGGCTCTCGGTTATTCTACATGGGTGTAAATGGTTAGTAAAGTTAGGTGCATTGAATCATGCCTTTGCACCAAGTCGGCAAGGGTAGTTGTGTGAATGGCCCAACACGTCGTAAGCTGGTAAACTCAAGCGGCCGCCTGAACCAAGGCCAGGACGACGTCGGCCTTTGGCAGGGTAGAGACGACTGCCCCGACCTCATTCGCGAGCAACGTGGTGGATTTACTAAAAATGGTCGTTGGTGAAGCGGAGACGGCACGCGAAACCACACGATACGGGTCGCTAACCCAAGGAATGTGCGTGGGCCGGCAAAGAGATGCACGATAGATGATGAATTTTGAGATCCGGCCTCGCCGGCGACTGGGGTGGAGGAGAAAACTGAGGAGTCATTTGAGGACTGTCCAAAAGTTAGTCAACTACGTCGATCCGTAATACTTTCATGTCTTGCATGTTTTGACTGAAAGACTTGTGAGAGTGCTCTTTCCGCATCCTGGCAAGTTGGTAGGCGAATGTGTTGCCCACGAATGGTAAGAGCAGACTTGGATATACCAGTTTTCTCAAGGCCCCCCTCGGCGGCCTGGAACCCATTCGCCTTGATGTAGCGCTGCACGGCGCGAGCGGATGCGCTGTGCATCTTGGTAAACACCTCTTGTACCGTGTTTCCCTCGGCGGAGAGCACACAGACTTGGCCTCGAGCGTCGTCTTGCACCAGGTAGCCTGCCCAGGGAGGCGAGTGTTCTGCGTCCAAAGCCGTGATGATGTGTATTTTGGCATCACGGCCGAGATACATGCGGCAGTTGCCTGTATAAAAGTTCCTCGTCCGCGACTAAGTGAACAAGAAGCTTAGTCCAGGTTAAAAAATAATACCAAGATAGTCTCACTTAAACCCTTATATTTAGGATAGATCGTTTTAAACACGGCAACTATGTTTGGGAAAATTGCTTAATGTTCCATGAAAAATAGCGGTCCTTAATAGCCTTGTTTAAAAAGCTACGTCCATCTATCCGGGCTCTGGGAGTGTATGTATAGTGATCACATCCGTTGGTAGCGTTAGCTCATGAGAATATTTTTGCGTGCCCTGTCCGCAAAGTTGATCCGATAATTTTATTGAATACATCTTCCACTTGAATAGCTTTAATCAAGAACCAGTCCACTGTTAACTTCAATCCATAGCTTTCAATCTTAATAGTACGTGTATATACATCATAATATATGTAGCTGCAAATCACAATAGCTAGCACTACGGAATTGTCGGCGAGCTCTTCGAATTGCAGGGTACTAGTGACGGCAAGTCGGGCCGCGAAGCTCTCGTTGAGTCTGGTTCACTTCCCGAAACGGAGGGTGCTGGTGCTTCAAATTGCGTGCTATGAGATGTCTTGCCGTCGTCTCTATGACATTGCTGAATCAGAATGAAATATCGGACAGCATACACTCTTCAAAACGTGGCTTCGCTCGAGGAGCCAGGCTACTTGCGGGGAATCTTGCTTACTAATAGCAGCCCGCCCGGCAAGCCGGGCCGGGGGCAAGAGCTCAAGCCGAGCCACCAACCGGGCTTGGCCCGTTCGCTCATCCAGGCGCGCACGAAAGGCGGCGAAGGGTCTGGTATGTCTTTTTTCGCACTTCAATTTTACTAACTGTGCGTATATAGTAAGGCTTCCCTCCGAACTGCCTTATTTTTCATGGAACATCAACCAATTTTCCCAAACATGGTTTCCGTGTTCAAAACGATCCATCCTAGATTATCGCGAAAAAGAACGCGCTCTGATCGAATAGCAATTATAACCCCTTATATGCCGTAGACATAAATACAAGAGTCCGAGTGAGACTGTCCCAGTATTATTTTCAACCTGGACCAAGCTTCTTGTTCACTCAGTCGCGGACGAGGAACTTCTGTTCAGTAGCGAGGGGTTTAATGTTGAAACGCAGCGATCATCAGCGTCGCTCGCGATAAATTTGTCCGCATATCGCTCCGTATCGTGCACGACCCAATCCATGTAGCCCCGTATCCAGTACTTAAGTCCGTCAACATAAACTCGTAGTTCATCACTTATAGACGGAGCTGTAACAATATCCGCCAACTTGCAAAAGTCAGAAAGCTCGTTGTTCACGCGAGCAGTTGTAGTCGACACAGCCTCCGATAAAGATTGACCCTGCTGAATGTAGATTGTGACCATATTCCTAAATTGACCCGGCTGCTGAATTTCCATACCTAGGCTTTGAATGTCATTGGCCCAGCAGACAATGTTGTTGGTTTGAAGCACAAGTTTCTGCACATCTGGCTGATAGAACTCGTGAGCTTGAACCGAGCCCTTGTTGGCGGCATCTGCTAGAGAAGTACAGGGGTTCAGTCCACTTGTATGACGACGGATGGCTTCGTACTCGCGTATGCCGACAGACTTGGGTCGCTGATGGTTGAGGATCTGGAGGGCAGCAGTCGTTGCCCATAGCCGCATTCCTTGGGCGAAGCGCTGGAAGGCTTCGGGTTGCAGTAGATCTCGCAGCCTCTGACAAACGTCGAGCCACGCAAGTTCACCAAATACCGGTTCTTCTCTAGCAACGTTGCGATCAAGAACATCGATCATGGCCGTCAAATTACGTATAGTTTCGTCCGTAACTACCTCAACACGATCAACAAACAAGTCGTCGGCGAGAAAGAACCAGACAAAGTAGTCCGCAATTGCTTGGAGTAATTCTTCTCCAGCGTTCGGGTAGCATCGCGCCGCGAGCAAGCCGTAACGGGTGCGTATCACACGATCGCGATATTCGCCATTCACCAGCAGCTTATGGTGGTCAGCCCACTTCATCATCCTCTCTTCAACGACGTCCGCTTTAGGCGAGCGCCGTTCAGGCCAAGCAATATTGAAAGTCGGCACGCGTAATGCCGCAATTTGAGATTTCAAGTGTTGTTTTTCCATGACTTAACAAATGGGATCTCTGGATGTGACAAGGGCTTATTGTGATAGCTTGGAACGAATAACTTGCTTTGTTATCAAAAGGTCCTTGGTTTTCCTCAAGGCCCTTGAAATTGATGACCTTTATTTATACAAAGCAGCGGGGAGCCTACAACCCGGGGAGCTTGAAGCCTCAGCTAGGTCTCGAGCCCTTTGCGTACTATCGTCAGGTCCGCGAGACGGTCCGTGCCGTAAATGTTGCGTGACCTGTAACCCCATTGCTACCATTGCTCGTGGCATTGTCTTATTGTCCATCCGGCTTTGCGTCTGTCGGCTTGCTAATCTATACCGAAAGACCCCGCACCCCCTCTTTCAAGTACAGTCAATCTAACAAGAGTAACTTGGCAATGCTATTACTTAATATGCCATTATATTTTCCTCTTACAATATGGCAGGGCCTGTCTGTCCGGACACTCTTGACTGCAAGTGACCAGCTCAAGCTGTTTTCGACGAGCTATCAACTGCCAAAAGCAATGTCCAGTTATTACAAATGGTCCATTCCATGTGGCGCTGTGACTTTTGTAAGAAAGATACCCCCTGCACCTTCATGCATTACGTACGATCCAAGCCAGCATTGCCATCAAGGGTGAACCCTGCGGATTGATCACGATACAATTAGGAAAGTCGTCAAGCAGCCGGTTGTTTATCTGATAATACGCTGCCTACCGCAGAATGCAGATTGCTTTGAAGATGAGCAGGTTAGTAAGCGTTCATAACAAGGAGGGGCTTAGGCGTTTGAGTGTTGGTTGTTGAGAGAGCTCTACTAGCAACAAGAAAGAGAAAACGTACTCCAAGTTCTCATGCTCCAGACACGTACCCGTGACTGGGTTGTTAGACAATGCATTAAGCCGCACACCAGTGGGTATTTCAGCTTGACACTCAGTATCAAGCTATTTAAAACTCACATAACACGACACATAGGAGGGCGGGTGCGACCGTCCACGGATTGAATGACACGTTGTCAACACGGTGTATCACGGGATGAGCAGCGCAGTCTCCGGATGATAAAAACGGCCAATGGTATTATTTGTGTTGGTGCGCCTAGTCGATCAATGGCACAGAAATATAGAATGCGTCCGTCAAGGTGATGTCGCGGAATTCAAATTCGTCCAAAAGTTGAGGCGTATTTATTAGCAAGCCATAGCGCGATACAAATTGCATGCACGTTTGTAATACCGACACTCATCGTGGCACGAAATTGGAGACATATTTCTCCCTTTCACGACATCCAGTACAAGGCCACGACTTTACAGATGGTTGTTCACCAACATCCTATTCGCCCTGTAGCAGTAATGCTAGTGCATGTAGAGCGTTGGGCGGACGCGCCAACCTTGCGCTCATTTCCCCCACATTTGAACCATTCCTGGGCCATTGTCTAGCTTGTCAATGTCGAGTACAGTCCCCGGCGTCGATCACGGGGATGATCAAGGGCACTCCTTGAGCTGTGGTTGCGCCGACTGTTCGCCGCCGGGAGACCAAACATGATTAGGCTGTCCATGAGCCGGCTCTAGAAGGGATAAGCCATTCATTCTTCAGATGACACTCGAGAATTCTCCTTTCGCATAGATCTCCCTTGATGGGCCGATATTCTTCACTCCCTGTTCCATTATAGCAGTGTGCATGTCAGACCAACGCAGGCGCCAGCAGGCTTGACCAACACTTGACTCGTCAATGAATTATCGTCACCAGAAATTCGAAGGTCGCTTGCTCCTCCTGAGGATATTTGGTCACATGGTTGGTGCGTGCCCCAGGTGTCTATTCCACCAGACGTTTACCAAGTTCATGTGCACCACCGTAGCAAACTGAGATAAAACTTGATGGAACCTACCGTTTCGAAATACAGCAGGCTACAGATTTAGATACTGCAGAGAAATAATTTTGTCAAATGCCACTCCTACTTACCCTAAAGTAATTCTTTGATTTCGCGACCAAAATTTCGCTGGAAAACCTATCAAGTTGATCGCAGATAACCACTTACCCTTAACTTTATTAGAAGTGTAATTGAAGCTGAATAGAATTTAAACAACTAAGAAACTTTTTTTGTTCGAGGCTTTAAGCCAGCATAGTCTTGGACATTAGTGACAGCGGCATTTCCGCCACATCGAGCAAAATGGGGGAAACGGGCCTACCAAGGCATGGTTATTTACAAAATGAAAAGATGAATCGATTATAAAACCAAAAGGGCTACTGGAAAAATAACCTACGCTGATAAGTTACATGTCGTTATCGATTCTTCGCCCTGTGCAGCGCACACTGTCAGATTTCCATCGAGGCATTAGTGGAGCTGATACATCAGAATACAAACACGGCCATTACGATGATTCATGTCAAGTTGAAGCCTATGATGGAGAAAAATCCCGAGAAGATGGAAGAGTGGAACTAATATTTCGTAGATTATTTAATATACTTGGTTTTGGAAAGAGCCTCAAAAAAGCTATACAGACTGTCCCAGGCTTAAGGCCGAGTCACTCAAGGGACCAAAACAAAAGAAAGAAAGAAAAAGGAAGAGAAAAAAACAAAAAATTTCTTTATATTGAAACTGGCTATTTACCACGGCTCTCATTGAGTTTGAGCGGTAAGTCATAGAGCAACAAGATGCAGCATGAGCGGCTCACGGCCGAATGTTCACAATATCCAGGTTGTAAGTGCTCCGCTTTGTCTTTGTTATGCCTTGACCTTACCAGAGAGGTCAGCAACGCGGTTTAATACCGTAGAGTCGCCGCATCAGTATTCCCTACCTCCTGACCGAGGGAGCCTATAGTTACGGCCTATTACGAGCCCCATGAAGAGTTTTGTCTATGATGTACAGTTTGCTGGTCAAAGTCATAACCCGCACTCGGTTAGGCGAATGCACGGAGGGTCTGCCGCCTGCTTGGAAGCCCAGTTTCACGTTGACGAGCGGCATAGAGACGGATCTTGAAACGATTGGTTAATATGACATAGTTATTCCAGCCATTTCAGGTATCATTTAACTAAGAAATATAACCAGGTCATATAGGACCCCGGTAGCCAGTTGGGCTAGGGCCGCCAGGAGGCGATCGCGGTTGCCAGTAAGGGTATGTGGCCGAGTTGGACTAGACCACAAATTGCAACATATCGCCAGCTATAAATCATTCGTGAATAACGGCATCACGCAGTTGAGTGGATGGTTACTCTGTAAATTGGGAGTGTTGCCTAATTGCTTGTATTCCATAGGCTAGAACGAGATTCCCACGGCTCGCTACAGCATGACTGCCGTGGACGCGAGATATTTTCAGTGCATTGCAAAAGTGAACAAACGCACCGAAGTTGTTGTGATGCTACGCGACAGAGCTAACATATGAACATTCCTATTTTGGCAACAAGCAGCACGTCACAATAACCGATTCAAAATGCCAGATCCCAAGCGGGAGCAGCCAAGTGCTAGCAAATGGCCGTGTAAAACGAGTTATGCCGCACGTACGCAGCTACACTGGCAAATTTAAAGCAGTAAGGGATAAAGAGGTACACAGCTAGTTTAGATAATGGAGCAGCTTTTCGTTCAAGATCCCTTCCCCACGATAGTGGCGGCTTAGTCCTCCCTTGGAATACACCAGGCATAAATGAACTAGTTGAATAATATGGTGCATTGTAACCACGTAATCAACCAAGGGGCATAATGGTGCAACTGGGAAACCGCCCCATAAACTAGCAAAACTAGTCGTTCACTACAAGAAATAGCACCGACTCCATATGCTCCCTGAGTTGCCTTTCAGGAATGGATTGCCACGTTCTACTATTCACATGTGCCCAAAACTCAGGCCTTGCACAACCCCTTTCATTGATTGATCAACAGAACCATGTCGCGTAAAGGGGCCACGGGAACACGGCACGCGGATCAATTGGCAAATTGCCGATCGGGCAACCGACTTTAGAAATGACTCGGATGATCTTCCCACCCCACGAGACGGACCACCATGCAGCGTACAATGCATTCACGAACTACGAGCATCACGTAGTCCCTTTGCATTCCTGTCACGTTTTGGCCGCGAACTCGAAATGCCAGTATCTACACCAAGCACAAGATTTGGCTTTGTCTTTGGGCCATGGCCCCTTTCCAGTTCATCCCGTTCTACGGCCCTGGTGAAACCGCTGCGTCACCGCGAACTCGGGCTGGGCGTGTACTGCATTCCATTTTACTTGGTAATGAGACTAAAGGGTCAAAGTAGGGGACGCGAAGAGCCGTCTCAAACACGCAGCAAATATAAAAAGGCAGCCTTGGCACCTGCATCTTGGCATTGGAAAACTGCATCACCAACCCCCAACAACGTTTCATACCCAAGAACATACAACACACATTCATTGCACCATTCTACGCACAAAGACATATTTTATCAATTCTAAGAACAAAATACAAAGTGGCCAAAATGAAGTCAAGCCTCGTTGCCATTGCTCTCGCCCTCTTCGCCGGCGCTGCCCTTGCGGTTCCCGCTGATGCCTCGGCGGCCATGCTCGACGACCGCCAAATGAAGGCCGTCCATATTCTTCACAACAACAAGGGGGCCCTTGGCCTCACCAAGGAGGAGACAGAGAAGTTTGACAAGTTCATGACTAGCATGCGCAAGCGAAGTCCCCAACTCGGCGCGTTGGGCGGATTGGTGGGCGGCGGCAAGGACTCCGGCAAGGACTCCGGCAGCGACGCCGAGGGAGCGACTCCAACCGGGACCGCAGACCCCAGTGCTACTCCTACCAATCCACCCAAACCTGGTGGTATCTTGGGTGGCGCTCTTCTTCCCGGACTTTTGTAAATCTCGACTACGCGCGTCGGGATCAGTACGGGGATATTAGAGAGACGGATGAAGGGACCTTGTGGGCTTTTGAAGTTATCAGAGTGTAGGATAGGAAATGGGATGCATCGCAGAAGCTGCTCCTTGTGCCATGTTCGCCGTGACGTCTTGTTTGGTGGCGGCATGTAAGAGGTGTGACGTTTTGCAGAGTTGGCAGCCGGTCGTGTATACGCATCGTTCCATCCAGATGACGTTGAAATACGCGCCGCATCACGCCGCGGTGAATCTTCAAATGTTACTAATTGAATATTTAATGCCGTGTTGCGTCAAACCAAGACACCGAATTCCATAGCTTCAATCGCCATCCCTGACATGGTCGCACTAACATGGCCACTCACCCTTTAGCCCCCTTCTCATGGGCAGCGTCTTCCTCCATCTTTAAATATGTCATTCGAGCCATCTTCTATACCTGCATACCTCTGCAATTATGGTAAGGTCGATCGATTTTTTAGTGGTAATTTGTTGGTCTTGGGATTCATTGGGGCTCCTATTACCGCAGTCAAGAGGACCCTGTAGTAAATATAGGTAATAATTAGACCATGACACATCATAAGGTGGTCTCGTAGATCAATGGCTTAGATCGCGGCTTTCCGGTGGCCGAGGTTCCAGGTTCGAGTCCTGGCGGGATCGATATTTTTGGACCCCAGCGACTTTTTTTTTGGACACGATTTACCCCGCAACCCCGAAAAGAGCGTAAAACATAGTGATACAATGATGCGTGTATTCAGGATGAATCGTCACCTTGCACAAGGGCTGTTATGCAGTGCCTTGCCGACTTTAGCGAGGACGAATAGGCTTTTACAGACTGCATTTTGGACAAGGTGATATCCGCGCCAGCCACAGATGACGACACCGCCAACGAGCAAGCAGCCCCTAGTGGCTGCGAAGAAGCTGAGGCTGCATGCGAAACGACCAGTGCCGAATTTGAAGCCGCCTGGGTGAAAAATGAAGGCGGTGGGACAGATGATGCTAGCGAGAGTAATGGTGTGGCTCCAGAAAACGAGTCGCCGGCTTGCAAGGAGGCAAAGGTCTTGTTTGACAAGGCCTGGACTGCAAATAACTGCGAGGCAGTACTAAATGCCGCCATTGGCGCCTCGCAAGGCCATTCAGATCCAAACGATGCCTCTCTTCATACTAGTAACTAGGGGCCAGGACATGTTTAGGCCATCTGATGTGTTAATACAGGCATTCATTTTATAGGTCCAAGTAAAAATGGACGCTTTTTTAGGCACAGGGTTGGCACTATTCTACCGCGTATACCCTATAATCTACCATTCTAGAGAAAAGCCTACATTATACTAACGTTCCTTGCAACGAACATACATTTCCAGGTCTTGGTTGTTGAGATGCTTGTGGAGCGTATTAATGTGCCAAGTGATGATCGGCTCCTTGTGTCCTGTTCGTGGAATAATACCAAGATATGCTGTCCCCATAGTCGAAATGCCATTTTGCCCATTTTCAGCCGTAAATGTAGCACAAAACATCCTCAGTGGTGGACATTATCTGCTTAATTTTTACAAAGTCGCCCGAGACGTCTATATGCAGGGTGTGATCGAGGGTAACATTCTCACTAGGCGGATCTATGCAGGGATTAGCCAACGGAGGGAGTAGCCAGGAATCCAAACATACAATTCTCAAAGGTAACAGTTCCACTTAGTGCATCTCGCCGCTTTGCAGGATCTCTGCTCTGCCAGATGGCCCAGACCCGATCTAACATGGCATGGTGAAGGAAAAAGGCGGGATCGCCCGGCGATGTAAAAAGGTTGAGCTGCTCTCCGCCATAGTAGAAATGGCCTCCGCCATGTACTCCGTCATCATTCTCAACAACATGGTTAAAAGTCTCCATGTTGGGACTGTTCAGGATGAGATTGGTGACATTCTGGTACGAGTTCTGCTGGGCGAGTATAGGCATATAGAAGTCGCGTTTTAGGCAACGCGGATTCTCTGTCAGCTTGGTAGGCGTCGTTGCGCCCTCATTGCCGGCATCAAGGTGCAGTGTGAGGTTCTCGAATGGCCCCGAAACGCAACCACCACCTTCGCCTGCAGGTCGCGTGAGGAATTGCACGGGGGGCGGGCCACCGGGAACAGGCATGCGGTACTCTTCATGGGGAATGTGCTCGCCATTTCCCGAAAGTGAGGCGCTTGACCCATCAAATATAGTCGATTTTTGCGGATTCTCAACGTACTTGGACCAGTCCCAATAGGGCTGGTAGCCTTCGTAACCACATTCTTCTCGTAGAGCTTTCTCGTAAAGCCAAAGGTAGTAACGGTGCCACGGAAGGAGCAGACCCTGATTTTGTAAGCTTGGGAAGCGAGTCCCTGGATTCCTTAGTATACACTTACAGAAGCATGAATCTCCAGAGTTTGGTTAACGTGCGGTATAATAAACTCTTCCAGTCTATTGCGCGCTAGGCCACCAGGCTGCCTCGGTTCCTTTGACTGCAGACATCGCACTGCTCGTATGTAATCCAGGCGTTGGGGTTCTGACAGCGAGTCCCTGGAACGGATTAGCAAAGTTGACTTGCAGGTGTGGTGACGCAGTTTGCACACCATTCGTGTCGAACTGCAATGTTTTTGCTTGTGCAGCCGGTTCTACGCAGACCTGACAAAACAGTCTGCACGTATTCGACCTTCAGCTTAAGCATTACGCCAGTGGCATCATTTGTGATACCCGAGCCCCCCTTATCGCCCAGTAATCGGCAATGAAGGCCGAGAATGGCACAAGCGGTCCGTAAAAGTGAAGGTATTATCATATTTCTGATCAGACAGCGACCTTTCTGGGTGTATAGGAAGGATTCTACTGTAATGTGTAATGGAAAGAATGTAGTGCTAGGAAGTCGGATCGAGGACTACAATATCACTATATATAAAGTATTATGTATTATCACTGGATTTTAATTGCTCCATTTTCAAGTTCGACACGGGATTAAGGCGACTGGATGTAGCCAATAAACTTGTACACTCTGGTCGGTTTTCCCGCTTCCTTGCTAGTGCCCCAACCACAACAGGGCTAGACTGCAATGTTACACGGTTGGGACTCAACAAAGCCCAACGCCGATGGAGGACTTGCAGGCTTACCTAAACTGAATACACGGCGCACTTACCGCCTATAGTATCTCTATTTCTTTTATGTATATATAAAAGTTACCGCGCTCTTTCTTTTCTTCTTAAAACTAAGGACCTTTAATACTATACCAGATTATCTCTAAATTGAGCCCTTTTGCTCCAAGCCCGCGTAACCGAGCCCTTGTCACATGTAATCTGATAGAGAATTTGCCGCGTAGCGCAAAAAGCAACGAGATCATCACTACGCAATAAAATTGCCACCATATCCGTATCTGCATAATGATTCTGGGGTCCGGTTAGTGTTTCGGATTACTCCGAGATGTGGGCTCTGCCCCCGGATCTCAGCTCCTCTTGTCACGCGTTGTTTTATTAGCTCTTTCCAGTTCAGCTCGAGTATATTTACCAAATGGCTAACTCTATATTGCCTATCTGACACTAAGTAGAAATCAAAGATCAAGAGCATAAAATCGTACTGAGGTCGAGACAAGCTAATGACAGAGCTCTTGAGAGACCGGACGTGGCCTGTGATACCTCCTCTTAAGTCACTATGCCCTCTTGAAGCAGGCAAGGGTCTATCGATATCTCCCTCTTTACCAGACCCTGTAAGCACCCTGGCACATCCCTGTAATCGAATTCTTAATACTCAAGCGCTTCTTTCCGAGAGAGTTTTCAACGGTAATAAACACCTCTATTAGCAAAAACTGCCTTTTGGTTTGTGGAAGGATGCAATATTGGGGCCTCAATGGGACAATGATGCATTAGCATCAATATAAATCTCAATTAATGCCCATATATTACCTCAATAGGACGTCTTGCTATTTTTAATATGGAGTACTATCGTTCCGCTGTGGACCCGGCGCTGCCGGTTCTCTCCGTCACATGCAATAAAGTCGTTGGATACCTAGGTATTTCTGGCCATGTGTGTTCGGGTACTAGTGGCGGCTTCAAAAGTCCTTAATACTTCTCCATTTAGATATTCCTCCGTCTGTATACATCGGAGTCCCGCATACATCGCCGCATGTCTTCGCCAAATCCGGGCCAGTAGAATCACTCGCTGAGCAGGGACTGAATCAAATCTCTTTGCGGTGAACCGTCAGAGCTGCATTGTGCGTTTACTATAGTCCTTGTGCTCAATAACCGTATTGTGGGATCCAAAACCGATACAGCCCAGCATGATGCAACTCGGCCCTGTGACGGCGACTGTAGCATCACGTAAGGTCCACGTTACATCCACGATCCAGTCTACCCGACCGTAGTGACTCCTCTCATAGCTTGGCTATTTATGTCCAGCTTATCGACGTTGTAGCAGGTGCGATATCTTGGTAAAGCTGAAAAAATTTGCTTCACGTACTGCGGTGTACTTACGATATGCTTGCGAGACAGCCTAAGACTTGCTTGCCTCGCCCGCGCTCTCTGTAATGCCTTCCGCTACCGGCTTCAGTAGCCTTATTATCGCATGTGAGCAAAGATCTCGAAACCCGTGCGACCGGCCGTCATTGTGGACAGGGGGTCGGGAGAGAAAAGAAACCCGCAAAACGGCGGAGGGACGTGTAAATAATAGGGCCGCCAAAATGCACTAGAAGATTCTGATATCGTAATAAAAACATGAACTATGCCAGCGCTTGCGTGAGCAACAGGTCGAGAAGCAATACTACGGCATTGGGGTTGTGGTGCTGAAAATTTGCCAGGCGCTCTATCTGTTAGACATGAGAGCTTGAGCTTGCATTCAAAGAAAGGGAGTCCAGAACACACGGAGAAGCAGCCCTCCTACCATTTCGATCGCCGCCCGAATTCCAGCACAAAATGGAGGCATTATTCAAAATGTCGCAAGCTGGTCTAAAAAATACCAAGGAGTATCTGGCATAGAAGAGTCATATACTTAACAGCCCCAAAGGAAACGTACGTAATAATTGAGATAATAACAGGTATTCGCAAACGCTTTCCCATTTCACCGGGGTATCAATGCAAGAAATGCGACCATGGGTTGTCGACAGAACTAGGGCGCGAAACGAGTCGTCAATATCTCGGAATCTAGAACTTGGGGTTACTGTCAAAGATTTCCCGCGTGGCCGGCCTGTTTTGGTTACTTTGACAGAGTATTTTTGGCTTGAAATTCTTTATTGCTATGTATGCCCCCAAGCCCCATGAAACGAGTAGCTATTGATGGACTTGATATTTTGTTACGGCGGATTGATTGTATGAGATATCTTTCTAGCTCCAAACTGAGGAAATTGGACGCTCAAAAGTCTTCAAGGAACAGCAAAAAGGCCAAAGGGATGCGACTTCACATTGAAAAAAAAAGCGGCAACAATGCGTCTTCAGGAAGAACGGTGGGAATGGAAGAATTCTTATCGCCGAAAAATGAACCAAAAGCCCTATTTACGCTTCACAATCAACAATGCTAGTTTCGTACGAAAGGCCACTTATTGAGAAATTTCGACTCGAGATTTATCTGCAAAATATAGTCAAAGTGCACTTTCTTCTAACTACACGCGTAGAAGTCACCTCGTTTAACGGACTCGGAGTTTGTCCATCCCTGCTTTATAGCTGGCTTAGTTCAACCTCAAGCCCAATTCAAACACGACGACATGAAAAACGTTTATATAATATCAGCATTTTATAGTTCACTTTTCTACACGTACCAAATTTCATGTTTGCCAATTTACTGAAGAAGTTACTGGACCATGTTTGCGAAACCAGGATAAATAGCCAGTACTTTATTTATTTGTACCTGCCAATATGCAGGCATTACAAATATCTTTTAGAAAATACTAAAAAAATGATTTACTTTTGGCCCTCATAACCGAGGATAGACCACATTCCCATTTCAAAACTTCAACCACGTTTGGCCACATCCTCAAGCAGTGTAGTGGCAGCAAGCTTGCCCAATGCATTTGAGGCCAGGGGCGAATCACCCGTAAGAAGAAACCTGTCCCGGTGAACTTGCCCAGTCATGTCCTCGTTGAGTGGCTTGACACCAAGTTTCTTTAGTTCTTCGCCCATAAGCCACGGCATCTTGCCGGGAATATAACCCATGTCAATGTTCGCACCAGTGTCCAGCGAGTCCGGGAACACCACAATCTCGTACCCGTCGTATATGTATTTGCTTCCTTCGGGTTTGCCCACGTTGGCGGCCAGCATGCTCGCGGGACCGTGGCACAAGGTAAGATAGTACCTCTGGTTATCGTGTGCCCAGCGGATGATGTCTCCGACGAGTTTGGAAAAGGGTACATCATTGAGTGCGCCGTGGCCGCCCGGGATGAAGATGCCCAGGTACGGCGTCTCGCTGGTGAAACCGTCCTTGCCCCAAATGTCCTGTAGATTGAGCGGGCTACGGAGCTTGTCCTCGTACTTGGCGTAGATTTTCTTTACTGCTTCGTCTTCCTTGGGGAACGCCCATACTTCAAATTTGACGGGGGCGCCGGATAGGGTAGCAATGTCAATGTCGAAGCCGGCGGCATCAAGATGGACCATTGGCAGCAGCGTTTCTACCGGATGATTGCCGGTGGAGAAGAACTCGCCGCCAGCCATCCTGAGGTAGCGCTCCTGGGTGGCAATGAGGAGAACCTTCCATTTCCCACCAGTGTAGGCATTAGGATAGTCGGCGCCGTCGAAGTCGGTTTTGGGGGAAGTGTACTGTGTGAGAGAGTACTTGGACGGGAACCAGGCATTGAGCTCGGCCTGATCAGCCACAGGGGCACGGTCGGATGTGTTTGACATGATGATATCGAGGCACTGCTCTGCTGCAGCTGTAATAGTAGTTACTGGTGAGGGGAAGTAACATTCAATGTTAGCTCTTGGGGGCTGTGGGCCGTTGACCTATTTATACGTATCGATGACAGGCTAGAACTTGGGTGTGGTAGTTATTCCCTAGCTCTCCATAGAGGGCTGAAAAAAGCTACCCATTGGCAAGATTGCCAAGCCAAATGTAGATCTTGAAGTCTCCGATGATGCTGCGAGTGGCTAGGTTAACACAATAAGGTTTCATCGATGTCATCCCAAGGGTTATTTATGATTGGTCGAGTTATGTCATAAATTATGCTTACCGCCACACAGGTCCTCCTCCGCCGGAGCACAGTCCCAGCAAGTTGTCAGGATATTTTGACGGAGTTTGGTACGGTTGGTGGATCATGTGGCGGGCAGTTCCGGCGGACTTCTCTTGGCCTTCCGTCGGAGTGCACTGTGGCAGCTTACTCGTGTCAAAGAGTATCGATTTCAGTTTTTTATTAGATGTGCAAAGATGAAAAATACCGTCTTGGCTATTGTTAGAATTGTCGCACGGGCTCGCTTGTCGTTCAACTCTTTGTTAGTATTCAAAACTGTCAAGCTGTCAACTGCAACAACTCGGTTTTAAGGAGTGTTGTCTTGTGCAAAATAAGCTCGTACAGAGGATCACTTGCCAGAGAAATCCCTAGTTTTACAATTTTTCTACGTCAGAAATTGTATAAAATGCCTCCATACCACTAGGGGCCTATTGCCAGGGACAAGTTACAACAAATTTTGTACATAACGTGTCACACGGCTACACGAGGGCTACGATCACGGCACCTAGCGCAGAAGGCCCTCGCCGACTTCTTGTATTTATAGAGCTCTCTAGTCCCTTGAAGCCTTGAGAAAACTGAGGACCTTTAAAACCACAGACTATTATCAAATGAATTGCGCTATTGACTCCAAGCCCTCATTGAGTCCTTGTCGCATCACATCAGCACAGCAAGCAAGCAAGCAGTTTACAGTCGTTTACTTTGGCTTTGGCCAAAGCTGCCAATGGCGCCTTCGAAAACAAAGAGCCACCAGACAAAAGAATCGTGAGATGATGAAGCAACTGCCCTATAATGGATAAGATGAAATAATACATCGCATAATAACCAACCCTGTTCAACATCTACCTTGTGTTAACAGCCATGCCTTGACGATAAATTTGATCCCCGTTGGGTTCTTTACTTTTCAAACATATGCTAGAATTTTGTGTAGTACCTGGGACTAAATGGCGAACTGGTCATAATTTATATCGGCTTGACCCGTACTAAATCGCTGGGTTGACCTTTTAAGCGGATGCAGTGTTCTGATCGTGAAACTGTGGACCGCTAGAGCTAATAGCGCAATTTAGGACTCTGTTATCCCTGTAATTGCATAGATAGTTGGGATTCCATAGACAAAGGTCCACGGCGGGCCATTTGCTTTGATTCAGAGACCTAATCAGCCGTCAATGAAGTGAAGAGGAATGGAAACCGCGATTCAATGCGGGGTGTTGGTCCGAGGCAACTTTCGAATATATTCTGCCGAAGAGGTTTTAAACAAGTTGACAAGCGAAAACTAGTATCCTCCAATCCGAGAATACCTCAAAGTAGATGAGAACGGAGCTCGACAAGCGGTTCTCCATCGAAGACCCGTTTTGGCCACTTTCGCCGCGTCCAAGCTAGGTTGAGAAGATTTTGGACAACGGATTGAGCTAGATGAGACGGCTGGACCTATTTTGAAGCATAATGATATGTTGGCGTATCGTTTGGAAGAGTCAAATGGAGGGCACGCTGTTGTGCTGACTTATGTGATCCACAGCCTCTCACATTTCTCAACTCTTGGGGCAGCTGCTGGGGTGAAAAGGGCATATTCAGGATTGAGGACCATAGGGTGCTTCGCATATATGGCATCCCAATTTGTTTCTACGGCGTGTTCTGATTGGAAGAAGATCTGACTGCGGCGGAACAAAAGGCCTACGATGTCTTCGTGGACGGCCAGGTGCGCTTGCGGGCCGCAGACTTTCCCGGTATTTTGGCTTTGAGGCGCTTGGCAGGTTAGGTCTCGTTTCTATTCATTATTCATTAAAAGGTATCTATTGAAATGGAAAACGGTTGGTGCCTCAAGGACAATTAAGGCTCTTGTTTTATTAGTACGAAGTAATAGCCCTATATAAAGCCAAGGAAGTCAATCCCCTTCTCGTCGGTGCCTCATTTCGAGAACCCTGCACCCCGAGAGCTACTAGAATAAGAAAAAGCAACCGATGCGAATGTTTAGGTGCTACTTGGGTCGTTTGGCATTGATGACAGGCTTAATATAACCCCACGCAAATATCACCCTTGACCCTGGCAGTTAAATGAACTTCGGCTTCCAGGTCAAGTTTAATGCCAACGAGCAGCGCCGCGGCCTTCTGGTCTCCCTTGTCATCCGTTGCTCCTCGCAGTAGTTGGCCTGGGGTCATTATTAACATTACTTGAACTGCAGGATATGGAACGTTGGAACCGACCAGCTGGCTTGGATAGCCCAGACAAGGTAGGTAGAGCCTGGCTAATCTGGCTCTGTCTCCTACGACCGCCCTGAGCTTGACCGTCCACTTCGGACTCGCCACCAAAAGGTCCGATGGTTCCATCGGCTTTTGGCAACTTTGTTGCACTATGAAGATTAGTGACAGTGTATTTTCGCATGTTGCTCCACAGTAAGGAAAGGTGCGGGGAGGATAGAGGGTGCCATACCTTGCAGAGGAGGAGGACATTTTATATGGGATTCTTTAAAGTGTAGCAGACAGTCGATGTATATCGGATGGTGTTTAACTCTTTATGCTTTCACCATATTTGTGTATTCTGGAGGACTCTATATACTCTCCAAGTCAGGTAAGCTGTGGGTGTTATTGGGTTCCAGAACCGTCCGAGACGCATAATTGTATCGCAAATCAAACCTAATCGCGACATGCCTTCAAACCCGACCAGTTTTACCGCAACCAAACAAGGAGACATGCAACATAAAAAGGCCTTGATTTTCGCAAAGATCTGCAATTTTCTGTCGCCGCCGCAACGGTCGTGCATAGCTATCTTGTCGAAAGTGGTCTCAGAATGTCAATGTTATACCGTCACTAGTTCCACTGTGGTTCGATGTGGCTACACTCATGAAACAGTGCCGTCGACCGTCCTGTTCACGGGAACCGTCACTCGGCGACGCCACGCTCAACGTTCTTTTCGCCATTGATGAATACACTAGTCGCTGTTTCTCGTGTTGTACGAACAAGCGCCCATCGATCAGGCTATATGGCACCCAAATCGTGTTGAGCAAGCCTTGAATATATTTGCCATGGGCAAGATAACAATTGAGTTCAAAGACAGCCAAGACATCGCCATGGCAATCCCGCTGCTGTTGGCGCTGTCTATCTGTCCGGCGATGCTCGGAGCCCAAGAAGGGATACGGCAGAGCCAGTCCCAGAATAGGCGTGAGGAGCATCGGTCGCGTCGCTGTAATCTGATGGTGTCCTGTATCAAACCATCAGTTCGAAAGCGTGAAATAGATGGCACATTGATCGTGCTTAAAGACGCCAAGGTAATGATCGACTCATCTTCCCCATCTCAAACGTTCGATGTAGCTAAGCTTCTTGTTGGTCAGCTCTATCTTGCCACACATAATCCCTCCAGTAATAACGCAGTGGGACATTTGTTCGCGGGCTACTACTTGCCATACCCAGACTCGGCATACGAAGGGCTAGTCAGTACTATTAGCAACGATCCACCGATGCTCAATTGGATATACGTGGACAAGAATACACACGAAGTTAAATACGGCGAGCGATCTGCGGCGCAAGGACACATCACAGGTCCCTTCGACTGCACTCGTCAAGACCGGCGACTGACACTAGAGGGATGGGAGGGCTTCGCTGCCGTGGAGGAGTCCCCGGGGATCTGGGCTTTATATTTCGACCGCGATGACGACGGGCTCATTACCAAGGTACCTGTAGGCACACGGGTCCTGGAAGTGGAACTGTACAGACGGGAGAAGAAGGAGCCCAAGCCGAGCGGCGATATAAAGCAGCCTCGGACAGACGAGGACAACGAACGCGCAGCACAGCGAGAAAGTGTCGACGAAGCGGCGAGGAGTGACTTCCACGGCCATTCTGACGCGACTTTCGGTCAGGGCGGGAGAGGAATGGCGTCGGACCACGTTGATTCATTGGATAGTAGCGACGAAGACTTGCGTCTTGCTTGTAGTGGCGTTGGGTCTTGTGAGCACCACCATAGAGACGACTTGCCTGGCACACCCAGCGCTACTACGGACGTTGTCTCTCGGAGCCCCCTGTCCTGGGGATATAGTGGAGATGATGAAAACTCCTTAATCGACAGCTCTACGCTAGGAAGCGGCGAGCTCCCCGTCGAAAATGTTGTCCGAGAAGAGAGGGGGACTGTATACGAGGCTCCACACGTCGAAGATGAAGATCAAATGCCGTGAAAGATGACACGCATATCAAAGGTGACAACCAATCACTGCAAATGTTTTGTTTTCGTGTTAACGATGAGTACTTCACAATTCCAGTAAGGGGCATTTTGCCTATCAAAGTGCTGCTGCCTAGAGTACACGTGTTGAAAGACTTGACCCTTGCATAATCCGGGAACTGTGTCCCCTATATTAATACGTTGGAACTTGATCGACTAAGCCGTGGCATTTTCTCCAGCCTGCGGCTAACGCAACTTCGAAAACCTCTGGTCCTTCATCCACGGATACGCTCGTTCCCAAACCGGCAGTTGCACAATATCCCTTTACAATACAAATACCAATCCAACGATAACGAATTCATTATACTTTAGGCAATACGACACTGAAGCTTCTAATCTATCCTTCGACGCTTGCACTACCTGGGCCCAGTTCCCAAAGCTATAGGCACTGGGTACGCTCTCCCCATGAAACAAGCTGGCCAGAATGACTCCATCAGTCTGCTGTCTTTCCCATAGCTCTCTTCCGTGCTAGGCACTAATATTAGGTTTATAAAAGTTCATATATAATTATACTTGAAGCTATTTTCCAGTTGATTACTTAAATAGTAAAATCTTACCAAGCGGTACTAACAATATCTAGACTTACAGATACGCTCCAGGCAAAGGAGGCTTTATTGAGACTTTTACGCTCTGTTACGTGTGACGACCAAGGACGAAGCTGAGCAAGGGCGTCGTATTCGCATTAGGAATCTCCGCACAGGAATCTCAACGGCTTGCGACAACTGAGAAGTTTTATCTGCCTAAATCAGTTATCCTCAAGTCTCGGTTTTTTGATAGGTCATCATTCATGGAAATTTCCACGGCTCGCCACTAAATGGTGCGTTTAATTGATATGCATCCCGAGTCGGTGACTTTGACCTGCAACGTTGCAGCCGGGCATAACCCTTCCAAATGAGCGCCATTCTTGCTTGAAATACAGATATAAATATGCTATTCCGAAACCGAGCAAAACTTACGCCAAATTTATAGGGAACCTCAACATCACTTAGCTCGGAAACACCAGCATACATTCCCTACACGATGTCTGCTCTCCCAATCGCAGCGGTTCAATTCCAAAACGAATCCGGCAGCAAAACTGCGAATTCAGTGATTATTCGCAATTGTCTGCACAAGCGGCTTCAAAAGGATGCAATGTCGTCGCGTTCCATGAGCGTTCCATCACAGGATATACATTTGCGTCAAAACTAACCCAGATGAACTCGTAGCTGTGGCAGAGCCAGTAGCATCCGGCCCAAGTATACGGAACTCATTGATATTGCAAGAGAGAATGCACTCGTCGTTTTTGCTGGCTTGTTTGGGTATGCTTGTTTGAGTACGACAAAGAGCAAGACAAATTATACACTACATACGTCTGCGTCACTGGAGATGGCATGCTGGCCAAGTTTCTCAAGATTCACCCATTCATAAGCAAATATCTGTCTCCAGGGAATGAATTGTTTGTATTCGACTTGATGGGCTGGAAGGCCGGTATCCTCATCTATTGCGATAACGTCGTGGTAGAAAACGTTAGCGGAACAGCGTTAATAAGCGCCGAGATTTTATTCGCACCACATGTTACCATGTGCAGGCCATCGACGCGACCTGGCGCTGGTTTGCAGACCCTTCTTTATGGGTCAACCGGGACACTGATCCTACGTCGCCAAGAGCAGAGTTCAACGGGCCCAAGGGTCGTTCGTGGCTCATGAAGTGGCTGCCCTCGAGGCCCTACGACAACGCCATGTATGTGGTATTCAGTAATCCGATTGGTATGGATGACAATCAGCTCAAGAACGGCTGCTCCATGATATTGGATCCGTTTGGCGAGGTCGGTCATGGAAGAGTGCAGGATGCTCGTGGTGACATGGCGATTGCAGTATGTACAAGGGACAAGTTGCAATTGGCAGGTGGGTTTAGGTATCGCAAGGCGCGACGCCCGGAGATGTACGGTGCTATTATTGCGTCGAATGAGGCAGACTTGAAGGTTTCTTGGATGTAGTGCTGACTGATCTGTAGAACTGGACATTTAGGAGTAACGACTTAAGGAGAAAGGTCCATTTGTCCGTTGCGGTCCGACTAGTCTGGTCGATAACAAAGAAGTAAGAAACTGGCAATGCTTTTAGTGAAACGAATTGGCCTCATCGTTGAGTCTGGCGTCTGCCTTGTCCGAATGCGAAGCTAGTAGTCAATGTGGCGCAAGTAAGCAAATCATCAGCTTCAAACGCTCCCCGTGAGAACGACTGCTTCGCGTGCAACGTGCTAAATCAAGTTTGGCATCAGCCACCTTCACACAAGCTCCTCCAAGCCGTTAACATTCTGACTACCCCGCGGCAGAAATATTCACACGGTACGCTCACGTCCCAAGCGCCATTCACGTCGCCACGGCACCTGCAAACGAGACAAGTGGCTTCGATTTCACGGCACAAGTTGTTTTTTCTACCTCTGCATTATTCTGTACAGTAAACGGAGTACAGCAGACTAGATTGGGTATAAAAAGTCAATGTCTAGTCCCACATCTACTCAATACGCGACATTCACGAAGCAAGCTACGCAAGCATCAGTGGCAAACGTCAACGATACATTCAACCAAACCATTCACAATGTCTACTACAGCTGAGCCAGTAAATAACAAGGTCAAGATGCTCACCGAGATTAACGAGAAGCACCTAACAAAGAACAGATCGTGAGTCGCGACGAATGGCTCGCCGCCCGCAAAGATCTCCTCGAAAAGGAAAAGGAACTCACACGGGCCAACGACAAGCTGACGGAACAACGCCGCGCTCTCCCCATGGTCAGGGTGGACAAGCAGTACATTTTTCACGACGCAAATGGGGAGCAAGTCACTCTCAGCGATCTCTTCCAGGGCAAGCCTCAGCTCATCGTCTACCACTTCATGTTTGGCCCCGAGGAAGAGATTGGCTGCCATGGATGCTCTCACATAGGCGACGCACTCCCCGACGTGCGACACCTGCGCCTCAAAGACACGAACCTGGTCTGCGTTTCACGCGCACCTGCCGAAAAGCTACAAGCCTTCAAAAAGGCGAATGGCTGGACGTGGCCGTGGTACTCGAGCCAGGGCACCGACTTCAACTACGACTTCCACGCGACTATTGACGAATCCGTCTGCCCGGTGGAAATGAACTTCCGGACCAAGGAGGAGATGGAGGCCAAGGGGAAGCGTTGGTGGACCGGTGATGTGCCTGGCTTTAGTGTCTTTTACAAGCGGGACGGTGAGATTTTCCACACATATTCTACTTGGGAGAGGGGCGGTGACAAAATCATGCCGACGCTGCAGCTGTTGGACATGACGCCGCTGGGAAGGAGGCTGGACAAGTACGGACCTGCTGAGTTCCGCCTGAAGTACGAGTATGATGAGAGCGTGTAGGAGATTGACGGCGAAGGGTATCGGAAAAGTCAAGTCGGGAGCATAGATTGTATGAAATTGACCTACTGGGAGTGTTTTCGGAGGCAGCTCATGAGTATCAAATGGATGAAATTGCACCGGCACACCAAGCAGGCCCCGTCCAAGAGAGAATCTAGAGTTCCATTTCGTGCGAATCGCTGCTATGCGAACGAGCCAGGTCTTGTAGACATATCCAAGACCAACTCACCTACTGTAGCAACGGAAGGTCTCCCGACGCTTGGGCTTTCCGGACCTCCTCCTCGTAAATCGCAACCAACGCGTCGTATTCCCAGAGCAACGCATTGTTCATCCGCTTCCCTGGTGTCTGATCACGGCCACCAAATACCCGAACCGCAGCGTAATAAACATTTGCTAGGGATCGGCAAACCCCTTCTGCGGCAGACTGTTGGCACTGATAATAGAGACTATTGTACCGAAAAAAAAGGGCATTAGCAAGTGAATTCTGTCTTGACACGGTTCAGCGGAGCACGGCACTCACTCTGTGCGAAATTGCATGTCTATTTTTAGCTTGTTGGTCCTTGTGAACCTCTTTTGCAGCCTGAAGTTGGCATACCCAAAGTCATGTCGATGACAGGCGGGTAAGAAGGGGAAGTTGAATGGATTATTCGGCGAACTGGTGCATCCGTCACTGGTCCAGTCCAGTTTGTTGGGTAGCTCATTGTCTCGACGGATAGTGAATTCGGGTAGTGGAATTTCGAACATGATTTTGTCCGTCATTGTTGTGACGGATCTGCTGGTTGTGTTGGAGTGGGAGATGGGACTTGCTGCTATCGTTGCTGCAATAGCAGTCAAGACTGTGAAGACGCCTTGCATCATGGCTGATGTGAAGCAGTATGAGTGTACACAACAATATCCAAAAGGTATTGATTGACTGACGAGCTTATAATAGCCTCATCCAGGGGAATTGAATGGAAATATATGTGTCGATTTCGTTGGAAAGGCTCGGGCTCGCAAGCTTGTCCCATTTACGGGCTGCAGGCCGTTTGTGATCCACCGATTCGCAATAGTTCTAAGCATGACTCCGTATTAGCACGATGGCCTTGCCCACGATTTCTCCCTGGAGAAGGTTTGCCGAGCAAGGTGCATAAATCTGCGGTTATTTTGTTCAGGTGAGTGCTCCGGGGCCCCGCCGGCTGGGTTCGGGAGATTGACAAGACGGGGATCCCTCGACTGCGGCCAAGAGCCGAAAAGTGCGGGATTGGTCTGGCAGAGGGCCGCAAGGGCTCAAGACTCGGTAACTACGGGGCAGGTTATAATGCCAAGCTGTTGAGTTGAATATAACCACTGGCAATACGACGGCTTGGGGAGTTGGTCAGATGACGAGACTGATGCAGCCCCTGGCAACACGCTTGGGCGCGGAGACTCTGCGGGAAAAGATGCACACTCCGGGACGCCCAGTCCTTTAATAGTCATGATTCGGGTACGTAATCGAATTCGGATGTGGCCGCGGCTGGGAGACCGCGGCCGCCGTCTCGACGGCACTGCCCGTAGTTTCGACTTGCATTGGGAACTACAGCCGCCGGCCGAAGCCATTCTGGCCGCACATTGTCCAGTCCCGCAAACAAGGCGTGGCTTGGGTCATGTTACAAGCTTTTAAGCTTCAATCTAAGCTCGGTGGTAACCTAGAAAGCTGGCCATCCACCCAAAGTCACACGGTCAATAAACTGTGAAAGTAGCCTCAATTCCGCAACTAAAAATAAATGGGTGTATGTATAATCAGCGTGGCATCGCGCGGCGTCAACTGTAAGTAGACATACAGTGAATCGGGTATACAAGACAAGGTTCAAGCAAAGGTCATGGCGTCAAAAATGTGAAGAAGAAAAAGAAAAAAAAAAGACGAAGCACCAGACGAGCAAGGCCCAAGAGCGTCGGGAACGTCCAGCAGCATTATCCTCATCGCTGCTGCTACCTCCACCGCCGCCAGCGCTGGGGAGTCCGGATGAAGCCAGAACCTTCTTGCCCGATGGGTATTGAATATTATAAACGGGGGCGTCTTTGAGGGAAACCTGTCCACCCAAGACATGTGGACAAGACGGCTGATTGGCATCTGGCCAGTTTAATTTGCACAGCTCGTCCACGCCAAGAGTACATATAGAGTCAACAATGTTGAGTGCCATGTAGTTGTTTGCTACCCAGCTGTCGGATTGCGCCAGACAGCCCGCGAGAAAGTTCATGCTGTTGGCTGCGCTCAGGGGCAATTTGTTGTCCTTTGTGTGAATGAGGGATTTGCACTTTGACGCATCGACATTACGGTACTGCATGGCAACGGGGCCGCCCGAGGTTGGCTTCTCCGTGGCAGACTTGCCCGTGTAGAGGTAATTCCACGCATCGTAGCTGACATCGTGGGCGCCGGTGGATTGGTCGATTCGGAGGAGGTAGACTTGACGATCCTCGTACTCGAGCGAGACACATATATTGTCGCAGTCGACTGACTGCGGCCAGTATGCCACGCGATTTGTGTTGATCTTGCAACCGGGCACGCCAATTGACGACGAGTAGCTATCGTGAGGCGTAGCCCAGATGGTGGAAATGTCTTCTCGTTTCGGGGTGACGCAGGCGGAGTCGCAGTCGGAATCGGAGATGGAGGGGGCGCCAAGGCGAGGCAGCGACAGCGACAAGCCCGTCGCAGCTAGGAAAGGAATGCGCATGCGATCAATCTGGGGGTCGGGGACTGGCGCGCGGCGAACGACATGCGGTGAGGATACGAGGCCAAGCGGAAACGAGAGAGGGTGCTTTGGCAGAGAGCCTGCGCGGCTGGCGCTGCCCAGTGGAAGAGGGGTGGATGAATAGGTCAATGACTGAATGAGTAAATGAGCGACATGTGCTCTCGCACGGGCAAGGATGAGAATGGGAATGGGATGGGAATGAGGCTGGGGATAGAAGGACCCGCGATGAAGTCGCCGGCCATTGCGGTGTTGGGCGCGCGTGACAGGGGATGAATGTGATTGGCCCGGGCACCAGACGGACGGCCGTTCAATTGACCCAGCCAGTTGACCCAGGTGCCGCTTCAGGCACATGGGCTCAGGCACCAGACCAGGAACCGCCAGATGTCAATGTGGCACTGGCTGGGGTGTATTTGGACGCCCGAGCACCTTGGAACTCCCACCAGACCCATTAATTCCCAGCCAGACATTAAACCGCTCAGAGTGTAAACGCCCCGTAGCATCTGCCAGTGTCAAAATGGGTCACTTGTTACGGGTACTAATTACGTACGCATAATTAAATAAGTAACCACGAGTAAATAACTCTAATAATAAGCGCACTTATAAAAAAAGCGTATATAATTCTCTCTTTTATAATTAAATATAAACTTATATATATATATTATTATTATAATTAATACTCTTTAAAGTATAATAATTATAAGCTTAAGAGAACTTTAAATTTCTTATAACTTTTACTTAAGAAAATTAAGTATTTAAGGTATTATTTTAATACTTATTTTATTATATTTATATATTTAATAAATATTAATATTACTTTTATAAATACTTAATTATTTATTAAGCTTAAGTTAAAGCTTTTAAGCTAATAGTATAATTAATATAAAGTATTAAAGAGTTAAGCTTAAGTTAATAAGCTTTAAAATATTATAAACCTGAATTAATTAAATTACTTAATTAATACGTTACTTACTCTTCTTTAACTTACTCTAATAAAGGCTTACGTTAG